CCGGGCTGATCTTGGAAAGAAGAAGTGCGCGCAGCTCCTCATCAGGCTGCGGCAGTCCTCGTAGCATGCGAGCCTGCATGCCACGGGCTGTGGCCTCCGCCAGGTGCCCATCATGATCACGGCCGTCCGGCGGCCTCGCCGGCTGCATGTACTCATCGCCGTACGCTGCTGCCGCAGTTCTGCCGCTGTTGCTGACCGCCAGCGCAGACGTTGACCCAGTAGGTCCCTCACAAGCAAATCCGTAAACTGACTGCATGCCCTCTCCGACTACTGCCACTGCTGCCGCTGACCTTGTCTCCAGCAGGCCCGTACGCCAAGGGATCGGTGGACTGTCGGCGGCTGCTCCCGCCGCCGCCGCCTCAACCGGAGGCGCCCCAAGGTCGTAGCCGTCGGGAGTCGGTGGGATGTACGATGGCATGCTGTCACTTGCCATCAGGCTCCAGCTGTCGTTGCTGCCTGGAACCGGGGACGCCTCACTGCCCTCCTCATCAGTGATAAGGGCCGGCACGTCGTCGCCAGCCTCCCCCGCCGACCTGGCGCTGTCGCTGTCTGCAACCGAATCCGTACTGCCGTCACCAGTGGAGGACTCCATGCTGCTGCCAACGGAAAGGACCCATGGGTCATCGCTGACCATCGCCCATGACGACGCATCTCCCTCCTCCATATGCCACTGCTGCGCCAGCCACTGCTCGGTCCGCTCCGTCGCCTGCTCAATGCGCTGACGCTCCTCGTCCGTAAGCGCTCCCCAGACGGGCTGCTCCGACTGCGCCGAGGCCGGCTCCTCCTCCATCGCCACAGGACCCTCGACCGCCTCAGCCGTCACTGGCTGCGGCGTCGGCGCTGGCGCCTGCTGCGCCGCCGCGTCGGTACTGGGAGGAGCCGCCGAGTCGTTGTAGTACGTCTCGGAGTCCGCAGCATCCGGTGCCGTCAGGTGAGAGCAGTCCAGCCTGGCGACAGAGGCCTGGTCGCGCAGGAAGTGAATGGGGATGCTCGCCCGCTGGTTGGCGTCGTTGGTATACTCTAGGCAGTTGCTGCCGTACGAGATGCTAGCACGGATGGGATACAGGAAGTCGGTGCCCAGCAGAAGTTGATAATTGAGAGCGGTGCTGACGTAAGGGTCCAGCAGAATGGCCAGGTCGCCGGTAGCGATGTGGATGTCGCGCGCCCTGCCTGCCGCACGGCCCCTCTTGCCGTCAGCGTTAAGGAAGGTGATGTCCGCCTCCTCCATCGTGTCCAGCAGGTCCAGGCGCCGCAGCGTATCACGAGTGACGACGCTATGCGAGGCGCCGGAGTCAATCACCGCTGACACCGGAACCAACTCGCCCTGCCCATTGGCCACGAGTATTGAAGCCTTGCAGACCTGCCATCGCGGTGCGGCCACAGGGATGCTGAAGGTCTCCTCCTGCGCCATCCCTGCGGTAGGTGCCGACAAGTTAGCCACTCCAGCGACGGCGCGGGTACCAGCGGCGGGCTGAGCATCCTGCCGCTGCGCCTGCGCCGGCTGATGCTGGCGGGCTATGCCCAGCACCTTGCTGCCGACCTTGGTGTAGATGCTGACTGGATTGCACCGTAGGGTAGTACCCAGCGGTACTGCGTACTTGTTGACGCGGCTGACAATCTCCTCCGCGATGCGACGCTCCTCCTCATAGGGGTCAGCTGGAACGGGGTCCGTACGCCCCGTGGCCTCCGCTGCCGTACGACGAGGGCGATAACCTGCTGAAGGACGCTCTGCTGCTGCTCTGGCTGGAGCCGAAGGCCTTGCCGCTGGCTGTACAGGTAAGGGAACAGCCGGGGCCGCTGCTGGCGGAGACGGAACCACGGGTGTAGGAGGTGCCGCCGCCGCTGGCGCAGGCGCAAAGGGCATGCGCTTGCGGGGCAACGGCGTAGGCTCGAAGTCCGCCACTCGCTTGATGTAGGCCTCCGGGTCCGCTGCATAAGCCTCCGTTGCTGATGCTGCTGGCTCCACTTGAACCAGATGCGTAGGCTCCGTAGCTGGGGTGTAGTAATGCGCCTGATGTCGCCCCTCCACGAGCAGTGACAGACGAGCCATCTGCTTCGCCAGCTCATCCACCTTAGCCTCCACGGCTGGCGCCGCCCCTGCCGCAGGTGACGGCGACGGGCGAGGGCCGTCACGGGGTGACCGATCGCTGCCTTGACGCTGACCGTTGCCAGGATGCTCGAAGGGACGCCGCTGCCCAGGGGGCCCGCTGCCCACAGGGCGGAACGGGCGGCGTTCCTCGAAGCGAGGCCTCGCCGGCTGCTGGCTGACAGGCGCGTTGTCTCGTTCCGCTGGCTGGAAGCTGGAATCGCTGTCCCGCAGCACCTGCCGCTCCAGGCCCTCGCTGACGTAAATGGCATCCTTGATGGCCTGGTCCAGCGTTGACGGCCGCAGCAAATACACCTTGCTGTGGATACGTACAGCGAGCCCTTGGAGGAAGTTATACATGTGGATAGGGTCGGCGTTGAGGTCCATGTTGAGCTGAGCCGCCAGATCCCGGTAACGGTCGGCGTACGCCCGCACGGGCTCCCCACGCTCCTGGCGACAACGGGCGAGGCGGTTGTACAACTCCTCGCGGTCCACATCAAAGCGCTCTAAGAAAGCGTCTTTGAATGCTGCCCAGTCGTGCAGGTGGCGCTCAACACCGGCGAACCAGGACGCCCCCTCATCGCCAAGCCGGCAAGCTGCAACGTCCAGCTTGGAAGCGTCAGCCCAGCCATACATGCGGGCGTAACGCTCCAGCCGAGTAACCCATTGCAGAGCGTTGTCGGATGGGCGGTAGATAGGGATAGAGTTGACGCTGGATGGATGTAGAGCACCCACTGCGTGGTCCTGATGATCTGCCTCCATGCTAGAAGAGGATTAGGGTCTCAGGGGAAAAGGGGAGAGCGTTAAGCTGTCCAACAAAGAGGGGAGAAGGAAATAGGGTGACAGACGCCACCTATTGCCGTACTATAAACCCGTCTCGATACCACCCGCGGGACACGCGGGCGGTGGGACACCCCAAAATTTTTCGCTTGTGTCAAGTGATGCCCACCCCCGGTGACCGTCTAATTGACCAGGACTAGTACAAGCAGCAGTGTGGCACGCGGCGCCCGTGTGAGGACGAGGCTACCGCGCTTCTGTCCCTTCCCTTATGGCTAGGGTGTATGCGACCGCAAGCTAGGGCTGTGACCTAATGCGGCGCCCTACCGTATGTGTACGGTATGGTTGTATCTATTTAAGATCGAGATGCGGAAGCGAGCGGAAGTAAACTATATGTCGAGATATAACGCAAGCGGAAGCGTGTATGGCGTAGGCTATGACCTACTTGTTCTGGGCTATGATGCCGGCTGGGACTGCAGCCCGACGGCACCACCCACCTGCTCCTCCTTAGAGGGTTGCTGACCCGCCAGGCCCTTGCCGAGGTGGACTGAGAAGGGTGTCAGACCTGGGCTGGAGAGGGTTTGTATAACCACTGGGGCATAGACTAGGCCAGGGGGTTAGCGTATAAGTCCGAGGGTAGGATAAGAGTGAGAGAGACCTATGCAAGTAAACCCTATCGTGTACGACTGACGAGTCGTACCAGGTGTACGGACCGTTATGGGTTGTTGACCGTTAGAGTAGCCGACTACCTAAAGACTTAGCAAACTGATACGGTTGTAGGCGTACAGTATAACAACCTAGCTGCTGTGTAAGAGTAAGCTGTAATGTACGGCTGACAGGTCGTATTGAGGCAAACCGCTGCAGTTGGGTAACTAACTAGCTAACCACCTAACCGCTGACGGTTAGCGTCTAAGTGCGCACCCAAACACGGTACGGTATTTCAGAGAAGGACTCAAGGCTAGACACAGGCTCAGGAATGCCAATGCGGACCCTATCTAAGGCTGGATTGGCAAAGCACGAGGCTGCAGGTAATAACCGCTGGTATTTAGGTATGTAACAGACAGTAACGAACCGTATAACTGCCCAGGCAGGGCAGTGCTTGACGTCCAGACACGAAAGGTCCTTCCAGTCTCCACGTGTGTATCTTACACGGAGATAGGTCCGAGTCCAAAGTCCATTGGTTGGAAGCTTAGTCCAGAAAGAGGGTTAAGGCTACCCAAACCGACCCCAGCCGGCGTTTAGGCCACTTTCAGCTGTAAAAGGTCCAGAGACAAGAAAACTACGCCCTTTTATACTAATTCAAAACCCCGGTGAGCCAAAAACCGGCCACCGTTGACCACAACCGACCAACAAGCCGTTACCCCGCTGAGAAGCAGGAAAACACGCTCAGCGAGGCGCTACTCACTGGGACCAACGAATTCCCACTGACACTGGCCTCTCTGAGCCAATCGTCCCAACGGAAACCCCGCTGAGCCTCCGCTTCCTGGCCCGCTGACCCAAAACCGTCAACCGACCCATGGGACGACAGTGTCGAACTCGCCCCATGCCAGGTCGCCTGTTCAAGCCCTTCCCCAAGCAGCGCCGGCATGTTCAAAACCACGCCGCAACCAAACCCGTAGCCCCCAATAAGTGGGACTACAGCTACAAACTCATCCGCCGACAAATGGGTAAACACACAAAAGTGTAAACCCAACCTATCATGCCACACATCCCTATCATGCACCAAGAGCCACCTTCTTGCTCGCGCGTGCCGGTAACCCTTTCTTGTGTGGTGCCACAAGCGAACTGACCAGGATCTGCTGAGGGGGTCATGCGAGCAGTAATGGTTTGGTCTGCGGTTGTGTACTCACGATAACTCCGGTCTTTTACATGCCTTTCTACGGGCATTTTGACCGCTTACCTCTGTTCCGAAGAAGGCGAGGGCGTCATTGAAGAAGGATTCATCCTGATTTGCCCTGATATGTCAATCCGTACGAATCCGTACGAAAGCATGTGTTCGATAACTGATCTGGTGTGGGTCTATGAAGGTGTCTGAATGTAAAGAGCCTTTCCTTTCATTGCACGTCGGCTAATACTTTCGGCCAATGCACCTTCACCGTGCTTGGCAGTTGACACTTCTCCATTTCTGTGGGCTGCCCAACAAGTATTTTGCATTTGGTGCGTTTTTCAGCCACGTGACAAGAGACTCAACGGTACGACGAAGCCGCGCGATGAAGAGACTGGTGCTTACGGTGGCTGCTGCCAGCTTGCACAGGACAGCCTAACCCACGACGTATCTCCACAAATGTCACATATGTCTCCACATCGGAACCCGCATGCTTCTCTGCATCCTTGTGCGTTCACCCCATGCTGTTGTGTCCTGCTGGCCTATCCGCGCTGCACCCCGCAGCACCAACACCTCAACGGTTAGTCAACGGTCACAACCTCATCAACGGCCACCTGCGTACCTAGGGACATCAGCACATGACCCAGCAACAGCGACATGTAAAACAGCCGTCAACGCAAGCCAGATACCGAGAGAAGTCGGCAACACGCCACATCCAGTTGCCGGGACCCCCTCACTTAGCCCCGCTATCCCCCATCCCGCTGCTGCCAACCTGCTCCGCTCGTACTACTGCCACCATGTCCCCTTCCTTCCCTGGACCTCCGGTTCCTGGGATGCCTTTGGTCCCTACCCGCAGATCCTGCAACCCCAAACATCAACGTCAACCAGCCTTGGGACCTCCGCCGAGTTCAAAAAGCAGGCTAGAAATGCAGTACTTACATGCAGTTGCACTGCATGGAGCCACTGGTTAAGTGAGCGACGCTTCGTCCTTTCCGTCTAAATTAGGGTGTTGCAGTGGTTCATTAGCCTGCCTTGGCTGCCTGCCCTCACAGGCAGAAACACAACAGCCAACCAGTCCTAGCTACTGTATGGGCTACCGGTTCTGACCAGGCACCGAAACCAGGGTGCAGGAAAGATGTGCACCAGCCGCCGCCTAGCACCACTCCCTATCCTAATTGTACGGCTCCAAACCCCTCCCTTCCACTGTTAGCCGGAGCGCTCAAGGTGCATGCCTGGCTAGGTTGCTAGCGCGGTTTGCACGACTTGATACCAGTGCATACGGCTCGCAGATAGATAACGCTACACACCAGCTGCCTAGCACAGGCGACCAAGTGAAGGCGCTCGCGCGCCCGTCTAGTGCATGGTGCGTGAGAGGTGCACCAGCTGGTTCCTCACAAAGTTGAGCAGCAGGAAACCGATCATGGAGGAGACGTCGATGCCGCCAAAGGTGGGCAGGATGCCGCGGAAGGTGTTGAGGAAGGGGTCCGTGAACTGTGCAGGGGGCCGTACAGGGGGCCGTACAGAGGGTGAGAGGGATGGGTTGAGGGTGAGGTCAAGGAAGGGTGGCGAAGGTGCGGAGGGGGAATGGAGTGGAGGGAAGGTGAGGCAAGGTTGAGTAGGGAATGGAGGGGAGTGGACGGGGAGGGCATGTGCCAGAAAGTTAAGTATGTGTGATCGAAGGTGCATTGGGCATAGGAGGATTAAAAGGAGCGTGGAGGGTCCGAAGCAGGGAACACTCAAAGCAGGGAAGCCGGTAGCCAGGCACCCACCTGCCGCAGGGTGGCGAAGGGCTCATTGTACCAGTTGATGTTTCGGAACCAGGTCAGGATGACTCGCAGCGTCAGGACGAGCAGATAGATCTGCGGGTGCGTGTGTGGTGTGTGTTTGTGTCAGCAAACCGGGTGGTAAAACAGCGGTGATGAAGCAACACGGCAAGCAACATGGCCAAGGCAAGCGGGAATTCACTTTTGCTAGGTTTGGGTGTCCTAACAAGGCTCCAAGAGGAAGGCGATGTGTACGGGGAAGGGATGGCATGACCTCTAACCGCTTAAAGATGTCCTGCTAACCGGTAAGCACCCATGCATGCGTGCCTGCCGAAGCCTGCCGCTTGCTCCCTGTACGCCCCGGTCAGTCACCCCATCGTTGCATGAGGCGGGGCCCATGTCGTTGCATGAGGCGGGGCCCAAGCCTTGCACTGGCACTGTTGAAATCTTTTTGATTTTGCTCAAAGTTTTTATAATATTGTGATAAAGGTATACGTATTTCCAGGGCGTTGAGCTATGGGTTCCGCTGGCAACGTAAACGTACGTCTATCACTGTATCCCTCTCCCCGCTGCGCTGTTTCTATGCAGGCATTCCGATCCTTGTAGGCTGACATGCCCACGTATGCCCAAGTCCCCACGTTCTAGCCCTTAAGTACCCCTCCCCACATTCCCCAGTCCCATCTGCTTGGCCTTGCACCCACGCATGGCCGGATGCACTGAACTCACATCAAGGGCTTTGGCAAGAGTCCCATAAATCTCAGCGGTTGCGCCGGCAGATGACGGGATCGCAGCGGCGAATGGGAGGATGGCACCCATCCATTTTGTGTTCATTAACTGAGACTTCAGCTCCTGCCTTAGCACCTGGTTGCATTGGTTAAAAACGGGCAAGTCAACATACAGAAGTCAGGCACTCTTATCTGCAGTGAGCGCACCTCGCGGCTTTTCAGAACGGGCGTCGGCTCCTGCGGTTGCCGCTGCCAAGCAGATCCCACCGCAGCCAAGACACGAGCTTTTTGCATAAGCTTTGGACATATTGATACGCTTGCAGAGCATGATACGTGCAGGCGGGCCTGCCGCGTTGTAGTAATCGACCGGCAGGGACCTGCTGTCACAGTGAAACTGGTCCTCAATTAGCATACAAGAGAGTACCAATCGCGCCATCTGGGTGCCAGACCTGTTTGCATTTTGGGGAATTCAGGTATTGAGCTGGACTCCCAAGGGGGCTAAGCCGTTCCTCTAGTAAGGGTTTAATGGCGCCTAACAACTTGTATGGAGTTCGGTGAAGGATAGAAGCACAAGCGATGGCATGCCAGTACGCCATCGTGTCCCCAATCGTGGATTTATCATAACCGATCACGACAGCAGCTTATCACAATTACAAACGTATCCAAGTTCACTTCATTCTCAGCCGTGTATCACGCTTCGACTCCCTGCGGCCAGCTTTACTTACCTGGACGTTAAGAGATAAGGTTGAGCAAGTCTAAACTTGCATAGCCTTCTGCATGGCCGCCTGCTCTTTGCCTACTATTAGATCGAGCTTGTCCAATGCACATCGCAGTGCTCCTTCTGCAGTGGCGAGCACCAGTGGTAAGGGATGAGAAACACATGCGTCAGGCCTTCGTTTGCAGAGTGTGCCTGGCGTCGCATGCCATTCGCTGGGTCTGTTGCATTCTTTACAGCAAACCGCGACAAAGTTTGCCTCCTTTCGCAGGCGCGTCAGCCACTCGTAATGTGCGGTCCGCGCAGCGCAGCACCACACACTTGCGATCCCAGGCCGATGGGGTGAACGTACCAGCGCAAAATACTAATGCAGCAGTAACGTCTGCATCTGTATCTCAAAGCGGTAGCGACCTGGATGGCACTGGGCAACCGTTGGGAACTCTGAGTCCCAGCAATGCTGCTGCGCTAGCCTTCTTTATGAGTGGCCGCGGCGCCAGGGGACCTCCAAAACAAGGACAGCAGCAGTCGCCACCTATTAATGCTCAGGCTGGCTCCAGCGACGTTTCATCGAGCTCCACCGATGACACCCCAGGACCAACGGAAACAAACGCGGGCTCTGCCGAAAGGTCGCGGGCAAGTCAGGCGCCCAAGCTGACTCCATCCACACGCGTCAAGGCAAAGACACCTGTCAGTAAAGGCAAGGAACCGCAGGCCCAGTCTGCCGATTCAGGCAGCCAGCCCACACGGACAAAGGTTGCCAGCACCGCTAGCAGCAACACCAGCGGCAGGGGCGACGCCAATCCTAGCCTTACACGCGTGCAGCAAATCAAGGAGGCACTTTTCAGCTCCATGCGAGCCCAAGTCGAGACACCGTCGGCCCAAAACATCAGCCTCGTCTTCTCGCCTCTCACGGCTACACCCGGCACCGCCAATGCCGGGGCACCGCCGCCGGCGGCGCCAACGACGTCAGGTTCCGAAGTGTTGCGAGTTGATCCGCGGGCGTCGCAGCAGCTGCAGGCAGCCATGCAGGCCGAGGAGCTCCGGCAGCGGGCCAGAGCGGGAGCGGCGGCTGCGGTGGGTGAAGGCATGCGCCTCCGTCGTCGTACGGCAACCGCAGCCACTGCCCCACTGGATAAGGAGCCTTCAGGCCGTGGCGATCGTGACGGCCGGCAGCCCCGACTGCTCAAGCCCAAAGCCGTACGAGCGGCGGAGGCGGCTGTACGGCGGCGGGAAGAAGAGGCGGCGGCACGGCAACGGTACGAGGCGCCGGCGGCTGGGATGCGGCGGGACGAGGAGACGTCGACGTGGCGGCGGGAAGAGGCGCCGGCGGCTGGGTGGAGGCGAGAAGAAGGGCGGCGACTTGAAGAGGCGCCGGCGGCTGGGCGGAGGCGGGAGGAGGCCGTGGATGTACGGCGACGTGACGAACCCCCGGCGGTGGTACGGCGGCGCGAGCAGTTTGCAGCGCGGGCCTCGGAGGTGGCGACGATGCAACGGCGGCGGGGGGTGCAGCGCGCGAATGAAGAGTTTGCTGCGTATGTGGAGGGCATGGCAGCGGCTGTTGCTGCGGGTGGTCTGGTGAAAGGGAGACAGCAACGGCAGCAGCAGCCGCGGGAACGTGATGAGCGTAAGCGCGAGGAGGAGGAGCAGCGAAAGCAGCAGGAGCAGCAGCAGATGTTGCGACTGCAGCAGCAGCAGCGCGAGAGGGAAGAGGAGGAGCTTTGGATGCAGCGGCAACGGCAAGAGCAGCAGGAGGAGCAAGCAACTCTGCTCCGGGGTCTTGCCAGCATGTTCCGGAACTTTGCACGACAGGCGCCGCCTGCCACGGCAGCAGCGGCGGCGGCGGCGGGCTTCTTCACTCCGCTCGCCGCATCCGCTGCTGGTGCCAAGAGCCGTGACGGCAGCACGAGGGAAAGGAATACCTCCGCCTCCTCCCCCTCCCCTTTCAGCTTCATGCGCTTGCCCAAAGCCAGCGACGTCAAACTGATTTTGCAGCCCTTGAAACGTGAACATAACGACGCAAACGATGCCAACCCTGACGGCGGCCGCCCCTCCACCTCCTCCCCTTCGGCTTCTGAATCCACCGCAGAGGCGGACGCCGAAGCCGCAGCAGCAGGGTCCAAAGCACAGGGTGAACTACGCGCCCGGCCGCTGCCCACGCGTGATGACCTCCTTCGGCTGCTACGGCCCATTCGCAAGGCCTCCTTGCCGCCCGTCATGCGGCGAAAGGGGCTGCGTCTCATCTCATCCTCGTCACCGTCAGCAGCTGCCGTACGCCCCCGGAGACAGCGGCTGCTGGCCTTATCGCTGGCCTCGGCACAGGCAAGCGGCATTCTGGGCCCTGACGGGCAGCCGCTGCAGACCTGGCCGGAGGCGACGGAGATGCGCGCGCTGCGGCGCCGTGCGTACTACTTTCGTGTGCTGCTGGCGCGCCGCAAGGCAGCTGAGGCGGCAGCAGCGGAGGAAACGGAGGAAACGGAGGCGGCTGGTGGAGCAGCAGCTGGTGCTTTGGATGCTGCTTCTGGGCAGCAGCAGGAGCAGCAGCAGGAGGGGAAGGTTGCAGCAGTGGTGGGCGAGGAGAAGGAGAAGCTGCATCAGACGCAGCAGACGCAGCAGCAGCAGCAGCAAATCCGTGTGCTCCGGCCCCGTTACTCGCTGTCCGACAGGTCCTTCCGGATACGGCGCAAGCTGCAGTACTCTGACCGCATGAAGCGGGTGGTGCGGAAGGCCGGGTTTGCGAGCGGGGCTATCGTGCCAGGTACGGCTGCTGCTGTGGGTGCGGCTGCTGCTGGCGCTGCTGCTGCTGGCAAGCGAGGAGCGACGGAGGAGGCCCTGGCTGCGAAGGAAGAGGAGGAGGAAGACGACCTGCAAGCTGTTGTTGTCAGCGAGGAGGAAGGCGATGAGGGGGAGGAGGCGGATCCGCGCGGGGAATACAACTCGGCCGCCGAGGTAACCAATGATGTGTACGAGCAAGTGATGGGTGTACGGCTGCCGGAACGCGCCATGTACGGCAGGCGTGCGGAGGCGCTTTCGGCGCTGACCCCGCAGCAGGTGCAGGAGCAGTGCCGGGCGTGGGTGGAGGCGTGCGGCAGGGAGTACTCGCTGGCCTTCCATGCGAGGTGAGGGGGTTGCAGGGTGTGAGGGTGAGGTGAGAGAAGGAGGATGGAGGGCGCGTGCGGGGTGCATGTGTTGCTGCGGCTGTTGCTGGTTTACCGAAGGAGGTTGAAGTGGCATGGAGCAGGAAGTGGGGTTACATCGCCGCGGTAAGCAAAGGAATCCCGTTCGCAACCGCATCTTCCCCCCCTTCCCTCTCCACGCCTCCTCCCCCTGCCTCAGGGAGCCCCTGCTGCTAGCCCAGCCGCCCCAGTCGCTGCTGCTCTCCCTGGAACACATCTCCCGCCTGCTGCCCGACCTGGCGCCCGAGCAGTGCGTGGCAGCAGCGCTGCGCAAACCCGCGCTGATCGGGCTGCCGTACGATCAGCTGTACGGCACTGTGGAGGCGGTTTCGGAGGCGCTGGAGGTTGGCATGCAGGAGGCGGCCAAGATCGTGATGAGGTGTCCCATGCTGGTACGACGTGAGGGGGCGGGGGGGTGGTGGGGGGTAGCACTAGGTATCCCTGATACCTGATGGCCGACTGACACGCCTGTGCTGCTTACGTTCCAGCCGAAAACTGCGCCCCCGTCAGCCCTCCCTCCTTCCCTCCCTGCGGCTTCCGACTCGGGATTTTGCTGTCTACTGGTGCTTGTACCGATTCGTGTCGGCAACCCTCCTTCCCCCCGCCCTCTCTCAGGCTGTCCGCGAGACCAGTTTCCCCGTGTCCCAGCGCGTGGCCCTGCTGGGTGCGCTGCTGCCCGTCAGTCGCGAGAAGCTGCGGCAGGTGCTGAGGCAGCGGCCGCTGCTGCTGACCAAGTCACTGCAGGTGCTGTGAGCGCGCTTGTTTGGGTGCTGCTGGGGTATTGGGGCTTAATTTGGATACATGTTCCGCATTTGGCTGGGCTATATGATTGAGCATGGCTATGGATTGCGTACAGTCATACCGGTACTTGTTGGGTGCTGAGGTGCCGAGTCTCCCTTCCTTCCCCCTCAGAACCTGGCTGGCTTCATGATGTCGGCGAGCACCGAGCTCAACCTGCCGCTTTTCGACGTGGCGCTCATGATTGCAGGTGAGGAGGTGTTTGCTAACGGTCACCGTTTACCTGTATGATAACTGAGGAAGAGGCGGGTATGGGATGCCAAGGGGTATGGATGGGTGCTTAGGCGGGACGGTGGTAGTGTGGGATAGACGACCTCCATCGCGACGGGTCATCAAAGCATGATCCAAAAGCAGTGCCGGTAGGGAGGCCGTAGGGGGCAAGGGGCCGGTTGCACCAGTGTGCATCAGGCCCCTGCACTTGAACCTCCTCCCCCCTCTGCCCCCTTCCCGGCTCCCCACTCCTCCCTCCCTCCCCTAAAACCTCCCTCCCGCCCTGCCCTCCCAGGCGCCCCCGGTGTGACGGGTGTGGCGGCGCCCCGCTTGGCGGCCCGCTGGCGCCTGCTGCAGTCCGCCGCGCGCCGCCTCCCGCGCTGGCGGCGGCAGCTGGCCTCGCTGGCTCCCCCCGCGCTGGGGCGCTGCCTGGTGGCGTCGGAAGCGGCGCTGGGACGGCTGGAGGTGAGGAGCAGGAGGGGTAAAGAGGAAACAACTAACTGACTGAGGGATAAGGCGTGAGGAGCAGGAGGGGGGTGCAGACCTGGAGGAAGCCTGGGCATGGGGCAGGGCGGGACGGGACGGGACGGGGATAGCAGGCTACCGTAAGAGAACTGGTAGAGAGATTAGGCATGAGGGGCGCAGGTACCGGTACGTTATCGAGTCATCGTGCGTGTGGGAGCGAACTGGGAAGGACCTGCCCGCAGCATGCAGCAGTGCGGTACTGCTCGTGCTCCTGCTCCTGCTCCTGCTCCTGGTCTAGGTCCTGCTCCTGCTCCTGCTCCTGCTCCTGCTCCTGCTCCTGCTCCTGCTCCTGGTCTAGGTCCTGCCCTAGTGTTCCCACAGCAACCGCTTGCCCCCCCCCTCACCCTCACCCGCCTCCTCTCCTCTTTTTCATTTTCTCCACCCTCCTGCTACAGGTGGTGGCCAGCCGGCGTCTGGGCCACCTGCCCGAGTTCCACAAGTTCAAACGTGTGCTCACCATGTCGGCCACACGCTTCGACGCCGCATTGGCAGCGGGTGCAGCTGCAGCGGCGGCGAAGGCGGTGGCGGTGGCGGCAGCGGAGGGTGCGGCGGCAACAGAGGAAGGAGCAACAGCGGAGGAAGGGGTGACGAGCGAGGATCGAGAGGAGAAGGCAGGATCGGGCGGTGTTGGCGGTGGCCTGACAGCAGCGGAGGCGGCAGCACCGGCGGCGGCAAGTGCAGAAGTAGCGGAAGCAGCGGAAGCGAAAGTGGAGGCGCAGGAAGCGACAATTCCTGCTTTCGTGAACGCGCAGGCGAGTTAAGCGTGATCGGTCCGTTTGTATCGTCTCTCGTCTTGTCGAAGAGGTATGGTACGGGCGGTTAGCAGTTGATGGTTGCAGCTTTGCAGTTGATATCCGTTGGGTGGGTGCTTCTTGCCTGTTGTCGTGCAGTCTTTGGGACACGGAGGTTATTTGAGCTTTAAGGGAGAGTTAGAGGGACGAAAGGCATACCGGTCCTGGTTGTTTGCAGGGCCTCTTAAACTGGCGACGCCTATGCCGGTATCTACTTGCTGCATATCCCACACGATGCAGTGTTTTTTGTCGTACTGGGCGAATCTAAATGTCGATTGCCACTCTATTGAGTGAGAATTTTGATATTCCTAGTTGAAACTCATATCGACTTGCAAGAGGTGAAACAAGAGGTTTGAATGTATACCTCATGCGGGAATTTGAGAGCGCTGTGAATGCGATAGCGCAACTTAAGCAGTGAGCAGCGTGCTTCGGTTTATGAGAAAGTATGATATGAAGGTATTCCATTCCGCTATTTAAGGAGAGTCCCTGGAAGTCACCGTCCCCGTCGTATTGGGTAGGGCCTACCCCATCGCTGGTGACCCATGGGTCTCGTGTCTGCGCAGGCTTGTACCTTGCTATTGTATCGCCCTACTTTGGGCATGTATCGTCTTCCAACGTGCTGATGATGTGTTGACAGGTGCAGGGACGCGTTTCAGGGCGAGAATATTCTGTAGGTTTCCCCTGGCATGGGGACGCAAAGGTTGCTTCAGTGAATGCAGGTACCATAGCTAGGGACGTGTCGTAGCCGTAGGGATGTGCTCTTGGGCATACCACGCTGTGGCACGATGCACCAGGCGTGGCGGTGTAGCTAACAGCACTTTGGGTCTTGCCCCGAAATCGTGGTGTACGAACCTTTTCTGAAGCGTAGGTGTGTATTCATTAGTAAGAGTGCTGTCACGTCTATGGGAACCGCTACATCCCCGCGTATCAACCGCCGTTGTGCAGGGGGCCGCATGCATGTGTATTATACCTGTCAAGGTCGGGACCAGGTAGTAGCGGAGCTTGTCCCCTGCCCCCGGCCCGTGAAAGATGTGCTACGTGTTGGCGAGGTGGGGCGGGGGGATAGCTGGTGTTTTTTGCATTGGCAGCCATTTACCAAGCACTCCCACATGCCATCCGGTGTGTGACCGCAGTTCCTGACTCCGAATAGCGGCTGTCCTGCCCTCGGACGTCTTCTAGCTGCCTCATGTCGGGTAAGCGTCAGCATTGCTGTAAATGGTACACCACGGAATCGTGCATGGTGCACAGTTGGCCCCCCCGTCGGTATCTACACTCCATCGAGCGGTGCACTACTCAAGCTAAGACACATCCGGAACGGGCCAGTGGAGCCCCCATTTGAGTTATTTAAAGTACAGGTTGTACCGGTATACACGGCAAGGGCGGATTGACACCGCCAGCCACCAGCTGCTGTAGGCCTGAGCACATGAGCATTCATGACCAGGGCAGCATCCTTTGCTAACGCAGTATCATACGTCATCTCGCTCAAAGCAGAGCCCTCGGTCGTTCCAATACAATTCGTTAGGTCCAAAACCCTAGCTAGCGCGTCTATGTAAGACTTTGGTCCCGAAAACCGCAACGCAACCCAACCAGCGCTTCGGCGCGTCGCACCGTGTTAGGCTGCAAACAGAGGCAAACGTCGTTTTGCAAGTTCCTTGGACCGCGCAGCAGCTCGAAAGACAACACGCAGCAGACAAGTGCACATGTCAGTAAGAAATAGTACTTGACGACAGCAGCAACAGCATTCGTTGTTGTTTTTATAAGCCAGGACGCGCACACGCGAAACGCTCAAACCAGTCCTAACCGGAAACAACTGACAGGGAGGCGACGACATTCAAGGGGCTGCTATGTGCACGCACAGAAAGAGCGCGCCGCATCGACAGAACACAGCTGGAAGCTAGCTGGTCTGCTGCTGCAAAGTACACCGCGGCATGTTGAGCCTTTTAAACCTCAAAGCACTTCCCTTGGAGGGCCATAAAGCTTCCTCATAAGCGATACATCAACGCAACACCTTGCAGCAAGCGGCAAGAGTAGGATCGGAAAAGGTTCAAAGCAACAAAGTACTCTTCTTTGTGCAGAATTGTTTTGCCAACCAGCCAGCCGCACAGCCGAGAAACAGTCGGGGCGCCAAACAGCCATCCTTTGTCCACTAGACAATTGAATCGCCAACCGGCTCAGCGGCGCCAAACCTTGAGCGCATCGTGATCAGGACGTAATTTCAAACAACAACAAACAACAGGCGGCCCAAACTCCGCACTCAGCATTGCCGGAAAAACACACAGGCAGGCGATAACTGCGCCAGCTAAACAGGTAACAGCGGTTTTGCAGTTTTCCTCACAGGAAGGAATGCAACACGCCACATCACAGCAGTCCCGGAGCGGCAAACGGCAAAAGCCAAGGAAGCCAGACGAAGCATTAAGCACTTTGAAGGCACTAAGGATGGCGAACTAGGGGCTAAGGATGGCGAATTAGGGGTTCAGCAACGCAGTATCCGCATGCCACGTGCCAACGGCACGTGCGCCGCTGCCGCTGCTGCGCTCAAGAAGGACAAAAGCCCCCATCAGCCCACGTACCCGCCATGACCCCGACTTCCCACCACCTTCCAATTAAACCGCCAATCAAATCTTACAGTAGTACCGCACATCGTAGCAACCATGTCACTTTCGGCAACGAGACGCCTCCACCCTTCCCACGGGTGGACCGTTCTACTACATGCAAACCCCAACTTACAGCCCAAATCCCCTGTTTTCCTCGAGCAAAGCAGCACGTGCTAACGCGTCACGGGACCCCAGCTGTGTTGCGAGTGCTAGTCCTCCTTACATGAACACGTCTAACCTCACAGCTTCCCTTCACACAGCTCCCCCCACCGCCACAACCACCCAGTAAGCCCATTACCCATGCATCCCGCCGTCTTGCGCATAATCGTACGAATGTTAAGAAATTGAATTCCTTATTTCCCAAGCACCCCAACCAACAGTGCCAACCCACTCAACACCAACCAGCAACCCCGCCGCTCAATTGCTGGCAGTTCCCAGCGCCCCCGCGCTAGGCACCGTCCCCGCAGGTGTCACCGCCAACGCTGCTGCCGGATCCTGCTGCTGCTGCTGCGCCGCCCCCGCCGCTGCCGCCCCTACCGCCTGCTCCTGCGGGTGCTGCGGGTGCTGCCTCCTGGGCAGCAGCTTGGAGGGCTGCATGGTCGCCCCCTGCGTGGCCACCACTCGCGGGCAGGCGAACTCGGGTCGCGTCCAGGTCTTCTCCCCGCTCGCGCGGTGCACGTAGTAGGGCTGCTTGGTGGCGGGGTCGCGGAACTCGTCCCAGCCGTCCGGAAGCGGCACCCACACGCACGTGCGGAAGCCCTCAATCAGAGCCTGGGTGCGGACGAGGAAGGGAGTCAGTCGAGATGGGGTGGCGTTGGGTTTAGGAAGCAGTTATACACATCGTGCCATGATCACGATAGCTGGCCCACAACCTCCAGGGCATAACCCAGCTGTAGCACACATGCGTCATGATGTGACGCCTCCTACTCATGTCCATATGCTGGCCCTGCCGTGCCCCCTTCCAGCATGGTAATGCTTCCTTAATCCTCCCCTTTTCCCCGCCTCTGCCCGCACCTTGCGGTCCAGCCCCCTGCCGATGAAGACCACCTGGTTGACCGGCGCCTCGTCGGGCCGCCAGGGCTGCTCCGCGGGGCCGTAGCAGATGGTCTCGTGCACACCCTGGAACACAAACTTGGTGCTGCCATAGCCCTGGAGGACGGGGGAGACGGCGGGTCAGCCTCTCATGTCCGATGTGCACGGGTCAAGCCACACGTACCGGTACAATTCCATAAGCGTGCACAGGTTCCTTCCGTCGACTCCGGCTCCCGATCAACCGCTGCTATGGCAGGCCAAGCTGTGCCCTACTTCCCTCCCTGTCCCTCTCGTTCCGTTCCGCTCCTCCCCCACTCACGTGCACGCTGAGCACGCCCTTGCACCGGAATATGTCCTGCGCCTTCTCCGCCAGCAGGTCCCGCATGTACATGTTGAAGCGGTACTCGTCCAGCGGCCCCCGGGCCATGATGCCCACCGAGCTGATGTCGGACAGGTCGTGCAGGCGCTTGGCGCGGCGCTTGGGGTTGCGCTCAGCCTGTGGGCGAGTTGCATGGGTTGCAGGTGTGGAACTACATGGGAAGCAGGGGTATGGAGTACGGTAGGTGCAGTGGGTGGGCCGGGGCGGTCGAGGGGGTGTGCATCGCGTAGGCCAGAAAACCTCAAACCCCACATTCCGCGTCCGTTCCGTGTAATCTCTCCACACCACTGCCCTGAGGTTATGCCAGCCTCCATCGACGAGCCTGCGTCCCCCGCTTTCATTTCCTCGCATTCCACGCCCCAGGCTGCACCCCCCGGTGTCCCGGCCCCACCTGTGCTTTCATGCCCACCGCCACCTTGCACTCCTCGCAGTTGTCCTCACACTCCAGCGCGCTGTGCGGGTGGTGGTGCCCGCCCTTGTGAGGGTGGTGCCCCCCGCTGCTGGGCTGCCCGTCCCGCCCGTGCTTGTGACCCGACAGCCGCTGCTGGTACTTTAGGAGCGCCCGAGCAGTAGCAGCGTCACTAGCGGCTGCTGCTGCAGTAGTCGCAGCGCCTGCGGCAGCATCCGCGTCGCCAATCAAAGCGGCAGCTGAGGGATTGCTGCTGTCTGGGCCAGCGCCGGCCCCGCTAGCACCGCCACCGCCAGGCCCAGCTTGCGCTTCCGTCCGCGCCGCTGCTGCCGCCGCCGCTAAAGCTGCTCTATCCTCCCGCCCCGCTGCTAGTGTTGTAGACGGTGCCGCTGCTGTTGTCACCGGTGCTCCGGCCTCCGTGACAGATGTCGGGCGAGTTCCGGGAGCGCTAGCCGATGGCCCAGCAGAGGAGCTCGCGTGCGCGCCGGATGCCGTCCTGTCCATTATGTCGCGGTCTGCTTGGTGACCCGGCAGCTGCCACTCTGGGGAGGCTGCGGACTGCGGCGGTGGCAGCTGATCGTCATCGCCATCGTCATCGGAGTCCGAGTCCAGGAACTGCGGGTCGACCTGCTGCATATTCATTAAATGGAAAATTTGGGGGTCGACTCCCGTTTAGTAATTCGTCTGCAATTCCGAGATTAATGACGTGTATGCAAACAACATATTGCTCCGAGACCCATTACGGTTTTCACACTCATCGCTCTCGGAAACAGCCACTCAAGAGGACACGCATCTTCAACCTGCTTCAGAGCGTAAAGGCGAATGGACGCGCGATAACGTCCCGGACGCAAGCTTTCCCAGAACCACGCACTTACCTCTAACACGCGGTTGACCGAGAAGAGGTTATTGAATAGGAGAGTCTCCATCGGTGGCCGGCCAGTCTCTTGGTTTAATTGGCACTCAATGATGCGGGCAGAGTTGTTAATGCGCTTGATTGCGCTGAGAACTTGCCTCTTCGCGTCCTCATCCGCTACAAGGTCCACCTTGTTCAGCAGGATGAGGTCCGCGAAGGCAATCTGCTGCACAGCTTCGTTGATGGGGCCCTCCGGGTGCTTGCCATCTTCCAGATGCTGCACGTGAAAAGGCAACCAGGTCGGCATCCCTACAACGAACAAATGCTACAACGGAAACAGGCACCCGTCTCACCTGCATCAGGTACCGCGCATCCACGACGCAGCTGCAGCGCAAACGTGAAAAGGAGAGGTTGTTTAGAACGCAATCCCAAACCTGGCCCGGCAGGTGTGACTAACCGACTTACATGATACTGTCCAGGCGGTAGCGAGAGGCTAGCCAGGGGTTGGCGAAGAAGGTAAAAGCCACCGGCGCTGGGTCAGCAAGACCAGTTGTCTCCAGCACGATAGCGTCGACGCGTTTGCCCTGGTGTCTACTACGCCGCTCTATTTCAGCAAACGCTTTTACTATGTCCTTCCGAAGCGAGCAGCAGACACAGCCATTCTCCAGGGATACCAAATCCTCCTTAGCGAGCAGGTTGTCCGCGACTGTGCAGCGACGAGCAGGCAACAAGTGGGAGGGTAAGCACTAAGCCAAGCAAAAGACAAAATCGCAAGACTTACCCAAAGCTGAGTCGATATTTACTTCTCCGAACTCATTCTACAACATAAAAAGGAGTAAAGACGGTTGCTGGTACTGTGGCACTTCGCAAGGATGTTGGAGAACATTGGGCTTGCCCCACACTGACCTCAATGACCGCTATGCTGCGGCTCCCCTTTGCCTTCAATATGTAGTTCAGCAACGTAGTCTTGCCGGCGCCCAGAAAACCAGTAAGAATTGTCACAGGCGTTTTCTGGTGAGCAGCATGGTCGGAGGACTTTGGGGCCGCCATAGTGGCAGGCTTTCTATATAAGGCAGTTGTCAAGACATGGGGAAGACAAATGTTCCAGGGGATACACTGCCAGCGCTGAAAGCTCAAACGGAAGTTGGTAACTGTACGTGTAGTGTTGTAGGGAATGGGGATCCCACATGGGGCCCCCGTAGGATTCAGCCAAGGGCGGGAAACAGCTAACCTTATGCAAGCTATCCCTAATGCATGTACGAATGGGGTATAGCAACCATTTTCTTTTTACCAGATGATTGCTAGTGACTCGAGCCGTTGCATCTTCTTGTAGCCGCCAGTGTTACGGTTGCTTACATACCAAATAATAAGCTGAGAAAATGCTAGGGGAGACAGCGGAGCGCGATCAGCCTGTAAATGGGGCAAGCGAGCCGCATTTCCCCATAGTCTTTAGCCTGCAACAGGACCAATCGGAACAGAACCAATCTGTTCTTGATGAGGAGCGTGAGAAGCATAAACGCCGGTACGAAAATCATTGTTTACCGTGTGCGCGCGTTAGGGTAGTCGTAAGCAACAATCGGGCCCGTCCTTGCGCCAGTCTTCTCTTCTCCATGCGGGTTTGCAACAAACAGCACTAAATCATGCCCATGGGATTCTTACTTACATTTCCGCGCCTTTCACTCCTCACCTTAGGGCGCAGCGCTTCGGCACCGAGTACCATGACCCAGGTCGCGTGCGGCGGGACTTCGGGCTCATGATGGAGGCGCGGCGGGAGCGGCTGGTGCGGCCAGACCACCGCTTCACCACCGGTGATCTGGACCTCTTCTCCCAGGTTGGCAGGGGCCTGAGGGAGCACCGGTGTGGAACAGGATTGTATTGCAAGCGCCCCTGCCCACCGTTTCCCACCCTCCACCCGCCCATGCATCCCCGCATGCTCCCCAGCTCACCTTCTCCTCCCTTCCCCTTCCTCAGGAGGAACAGGCCAAGCGCGCCGCCCGCGCCGCCCGCTTCCAGCTGTCCGCCCCGCTGGCCCCCTCCGTGGACGCCTACCGGCCCGACGAGGAGCTGCAGGCGCGGGCCAGGCGGGCAGCCAAGTTTGGAGTGCCGTACCAACCGACGGATGCCGTACTCATGGACATGGGTGGGTGGAGGGCGGAGAGCTGGGGGGATGGGGATGGGAATGGGAATGGGTGTGTTGGGCCAGCCAAGAGCCAATGCTAGAGACTGCTCGGCCCGGGTGCTTGCTTTCACCATATGCGCCTGTGCTTCCCTGTTCCTCTGTGTTCCTCTTAACCGCGCTATTATTTGTTACCCGTTACCCGTTACTCAACAACGGTGTACGCCACAACAGATCTGTACGAGCAGCGGCGGGAGGTGGGATCTGACGTGGAGCGGCGGCCCAACGCCATCTACCTGTACGGCGTGGACGTGATGAGCACCAAGGAGGTGCTGTCGTACTTCACCGAGTACGGCCCCGTGTTCGTGGAATGGCTGGATGACTCATCATGTGAGTCAGATGTGTCCCAAACAGCTGGTAATGTCCTAAATAATAACCGGTGCAATGAAAGAGGAATGGGGAAAGAGCTGCAGTTGGGCTAGGTTGTGCCGCCTCTGCCAACCCGGCCATGCCTGTCCTCCCACGGGCTACAGTTACCGGTACTCCCGGACCGGAACCCCTTTCGTCCCTCTTGTCACCCTCTTACCACCGTTTCTCACATTCCCTCAGGTAACGTGTTGTTCTCGGACGCTAACAGCGCCAAGCGGGCTCTGGTGGGCAAGGGCACTCCGCTGCCCCCAAATGTCATCACCTCCACTTCCGCCACCGCACAGCAGCCCCAGCAGCAGCAGCAAGGCGAGGCTGGGTTGGCGGCGGCAGCAGCACAGGAGTCCATGACGGATGCGGCGATGGCAGCTACCGCTAGGGAAGGGGAGGCGGCGCAGCCCGGGGAGGCTGGAACAGCAGCAGGGGAAGCAGCAGCAGGTGCAGGTGGGGGTGGAGGTACGACAGTACGGTACCAGCCGGAGCTGCCGGTGCCGGACAACCTGGCGGATGTGGCAAACCTGCCGTACATCTGGCACAAGGTATGTGTCGTACAGGCGATGTGCGTGCATGTGGGCGGGTGACGTGTCAAACGTAGGATGTGTTGATGCCTGACCCCAATGGCACCCCTCTCCCCAACAACCCCCACGTGGCCCTCTTCTCCTTCTTCCTCCCCTCCATGTCGTATTCCCTCATCTTTCCCCCCTCCCCAGGGCTTGTCAGCTACATGTACCTCTTATCACACCACACATTGGAATATCGCTTTCCCCCTCCTGCAGGGCCGCGACTTCATCAAGGACGGCACGCCCATCTCGCTGGTGTTCCGCATGGCCACTGCGGCGGACGTGCGCGACATGCACCAGCCCAAGCGCACCCGCAGGCTGTGGACGGCGGCGGGGGGAGCGGGAGGCGGAGGAGGAGGCAGGGGGCGGGGAGGCGGCCAGCAGGGGCAGGGGCAGCGGCGCGGCAAACGGGCCTTCCGGCGGGGCGGCGGCGAGGAGGGCGGGGCGGAGGACATGGACGTGGACATGGAGGCGGAGGGGCCGGGGGATGGCATGGTGGGTCGGGAGGAGGAGAGGAGCGAGAGAGGTTATGGGGAGGAGGGAGAAAGACTGCGCCGTAGTGTGGTGTGGTCTGCAGTCCGCTTGTAGCTTGTTGCTGTGGGTTGTACAATGCTTGCAGGTGGCTTCTGACTGGCTTTGCACGCACCGGGTCTTGGCGCTTCGACGCTTACGCTCTCCTGCGTTACGCTCCCACATCTTCGCCGCGCATCATCCCACGCCCTCATCCACCCCATCCCGTCCCCACCTCCCATGCGGCCCCCCCTTATTCTCCGCCCTGCCTCCCTACCTCCCCATCCCCCACCCCCCCAGGACGAGGACGGCGATGTGCCCATGAAGCGCCAGCGGGGGACCCGCGGCGGCCAGCGGCTGGTGCGCAAGGAGCTGCGACCCGCGCTGGCGCCGTACGGGGGGGCGGCGCTGCTGCCGGGGGCGGGGGCGGGAGGAGAGGGGGGTGTGGGCGGGGTTACGGCGGCGCTGGCGGCGCGAGGGCATGTGTTGGATTACACGGAGTTGGAGGATGAGGGCCCCGCGGGGCTGGGAGAGGAGCTTGGGGAGGGGGCAGGGGCGGGAGGAGGAGGAGGTGGGGTGAGGCAGGGGTCAGGACGAGGTGCGGGAGGAGGTTGGGGAAGAGGAGGAGGTGGTGGAAGGTGGGGAGGGCGGCGGGGTCGGGGTCGAGGCGGGAAGGGGTGGGGAAGAGGAGGAGGAGGCCGGGAGGAGGGCGAGGAGGGTGAGGAGGAGGGGGCGGGTGGGGAGCAGGAGCAGGCGGGGAGGGAGGGTGTGGATTTGCGGGAGCTGCTGAAGGCGAAGCGGCGCGCGTTGCTAGCCCGGTTGCAGGAGGTGCAGGAGCGGGAGGGGCGGGAGGAGGGAGAGGAGGGGGGCGGAGGGGAGGAGGCGGGGGCGGTGGATGAATGACCGGCTTGGGGGGATCCTCGTGCCGCGTTGGATGTGGGGCACGATCGGATCGGCGGACTCGAGCGGCACTGGAAGGAAAAGGGGTAAAAAGGGAACACCAATGGGAGGGGGTAGGGAGATTCGGGTCTTGAAACTGGTGGGGGAGCGGGCAACCGTTTTATGGAAGACACTACAACCGTTTTGCAAAGGCTGACTTCTACTCGCGTTGTCCTCTTGCTTGTCGCGCTCGGCGTGCCGTGTGTTAGCGGTTTGTGACGGTAATCGGGTCGTGTTGCCTGTGCCTTTGTTGGGCCTCGTGTTTCCTGCCGCTGCCCCGAAGTTTGTGCTCTGCTGGTCGACGTTGGATGACGTCGGGGAGCACACACCATGCATGTTCACGGCTCCGAGTGGTCCGTCACGACACGGAAGGGCACCCCCCAGCCTGGAAGTAGGCTTGTTACGCATGCACGCTTCACCGGTATTCCCTTGTTGTTGACACCAACATGCTCGTTGCCAGCAGCACGCCGACTCACTGAGCGGCAGCGTCGGGGCAGAGGTTGCCCCAAGTTGCTGCTGCACCCCGCTGTGTGTCTTGTCTGGGCGCAGCTCGCTGGGCGTCTGTGAGGCAGCGCATGACACAGCATGAACATGGCACAGATCACGGGCAAAGAACGGGCTTTTTAAATTGCTACACTCGTATGATACCGGTGTACTCCCGGTGCGAGTGCGCTGCACTCCCCGGCAGCTGGTCCATGTCCGAAAGCAGGTGGCATCGATACATATGAGATATGACCCGTAGTCGCTTGTCCGTCGCTTGTCCGTACAGGACACATCTTCGGCCGTCCGCTGAATCCCGCTCATATACCGGTAGTTGGACCCCAAGTTTCCCCTCGCCGCTCGCAACCACTCAATCCCTTGCCCGTCTCCACCCCCCCTCCTCCTCTTTATCCCCCGCACCTCTCACCCTTTACCACCCGCCCCTGCTCCCCCTCCTCCCCCTCCCGCCCATCTGCTCCACTGTCGGTCCTCCGCACCCTCCGTGAAGCTCCGCCCCGCATGCTGCAGCACGCCGCCCTCCAGCTGCTTGTTGCACAGCGCCACCCGCCGCCGGTCGTAGCCCTCGAACCCCGGGGTGGATCGCAGCTGGTCGGCCGTGATGGGGTTGTCATGCAGCGAGAGGGAGGCCAGGCTGGAGCAGCCCTGCAGCAGCGCCGCGGGTACGGAGCCGATCCTGAGGAGGGGGAGGGGGGACGGGAAAGGAAGGAAAAAAGATGTGAAAAGTGAAGCAACTGAAAAGGAGGGATGGAGGGACGGAAAAGGGCGAAAGAGGAACAAGATCCGGGTCGCCCTCTCCCTTTGGTCTTTCCCTCTGCCGCTTTTGCTGTTGTCTTTCCTGCCTTTCCTGCGCGGGCGCGCATACAAACCTGTTCCGGCAATCACAGTACCGGTACGTCCGAGACTTCCGACTCGCGGCCAGTTTCCTCAGCACGCACCTGTTCCCGTCCAGTCTCAGGCTCCTGAGTGCCCCCAGCCGCCCCAGCTCCTCCGGCAGCGCTGCGATGCGGTTGCGCGCCGCGGAGAGCTCCTGCAGGCCCGAGCAGCAGCCTGACAGGGCAGGGCAGGGGGGGCAGGAGGGGGGAAGAGAGGATTGGGTGCGGTCCAAAGGCAAGTAACATGGTTGAGGAAGTAAGAGGATGAGGACTGGGTGTGTGAGGGGTGGGGGGGGGGCGCTATACGGCCTATACTTGAGGAAAGGGCCTGGGGCCTGGGAAAGGGCTAATCGTAGCTCCAGCCACCCTTGTTTCCTTCGCACACACACCCCCCCCCCACCTAGTTCCCTGGGCAGCTTGTTTGCCATCATCATTCAACACCTTGGGATCCTTCTTTCCACCTCACCTAGCTCCTTCGGCAGCTCCTGCAGCTGGTTGTCGTCCGCCGCCAGCAGCCGCAGCGCCCCGCTGCGCCCCAGCGAGGCGGGCAGCCGGGTCAGCGCGTTACCGCACACGCTGAGAACCTGTGGGGGTGGGGTGGGGCGACGGCAGGGGGCAGGCAGAAGGGAGCAGGAATAAAGGAGGAGGGAGCAGGAGGAAGCCGAGAAGAGGCGGATAGAAGGAATGGATGGGAAAGGGTGCGGAACCAGCTAGAACTAAGATGGTAGGATGGTAGGCAAAAGGATGGGTAAGGGACGGGGACACGCGGGGGAGCAGTGACGCAGCATGGCCTGGGTTTTCCACCCGGGCACCTCGCACCTGCAGCGCCCGCATGCCGCCCTCCCCGAACACCCCCTCCGGCAGCTCCCGCAGCCGATTGCCGTCCAGGTGAAGCGCCGTGAGCGACCCCAGCGACGCCAGCGGGGCACACCAGCACAGCCCCAGCCCCGCATCAGTAGTCCGAGCCTCCTCACGCCCCTGCTCCCTAGCAGCGCCCTCTGCTGCAGCGCCCTCCTCCTCCCCAGCTGCTGCTGCTGATCCCTTGGGCTGGTTGCCGACCCCGACGCCGTCGCCGTCGCCGCTGTCCCCCAGCGCATTGCGTTCCAGTCGCAGTGTGTGCAGACTGGTGAGGCGGCTCAGGGAGGCGGGCAGTGATGTGAGGCGGTTGTGGGAGAGGTCCGCGACGCGCGCGGAGGAGAGGCCGGGCGAGGAGAAGAGGTCGGCGGGCAGGGAGGAGAGTCCCAGGTCGCGGAGCGCGATGATGGCTGGAGGTGTATGGGGGTTGGGTTGGGGTGAGGGTGAGGGTGGTGTCAGGAAGGGAGGGAGGAGGGTAGGTGGTGGGGTTTGAGGAGGGGGTGGGGGAGGGCGGCGGAAGCGGTTCGCTGCAAGCATGTCATTGTGGTCAACATGCAGGAAGTCGGTTAAACAGACGGTCCCCAGTTTCAATGGAATGCATGCATGCGGGCTGTCCTGTCCAGTGTGAGTGCCTTCGTGCTGTGTGCCCTGTGTTGGGACTTGTTGCAACAAGCAGCAGGTGCAACGTCGAGGAGGACCCAACACGGCCGTTCCCTGCCTGTCTTCTCCCATGCCCGCTTGCGCTCCTGCCAGTCAATAGCTGGGTTTGCGGCCGCGGCCGCTGCTGCCGCTGCAGCGGACTTTTCAGCCGCAGCCATGGCAGTCGCAGCAGCGCCACCTAGGCCCTTGGCTTGGGCATACATGTCCCGCACGCGCTGTGCTGCCTCCTCCTGTCGCGCCTTTTTCTGCTGCTGCAGCGCCTGCTGCCCCTGCGTTGCGACGGCGGTGGCATCGCTGAGCAGCAGCATGAGCTTGGCGCCATGGGACAAGCCGGCCTTGGAGAGGTCCGAGCTGGCTGCGAGCACCTGTGAGGAAAAAACGCAGTACGACCAAGGGCACAGCGCTTTGTTTGAAAGACCAATCCAAACAAATGAGGCAGAAACCTCGTGAATGAAGCATTTGTGCACTTATACTTCTCTGTGACTGGCGAATCTTTGGCAGCAGTTGGCATTGGCGACGGGGTTCTGCATTGCGCCTCATTCTTACTTTACCCTTATAGATGAGCTTTTGTTTCCGCACAAACGCCCCTGTTAGCTCCTGAAGCCGCTCTTGGAGCTGCAACACGGTCGCGGATGGTGGAAGCGATGTTTCCACTTGCTGCGATCCATACTTTATGGATAGCGTCCAGAGTGGGGATTCCGAATGCGTCATAAGTGTGGCATATGTTGTCGAGCGCAGTAGCCACGCCAAACACGCTGAACTGCGACGTGTCTCGTTGTATGAGCGAGGGTAGTGGAGAGCGATCTAGCTGAAGGTATGGGGCCTCGCTTGCAATAGTGTGGTTACGACAGCTGGTCCAGACGAGGCAATGTGAGACGCAGCGGGTTACGCTCTCATCGTGCAGTACAGTGCGAGGGCAACGAACTTCTGGAGGCATAATGTCGTTCCGTTATTTTACACTGGACGATTGCTCATGCCTTGCAACGCTCGTTGCAACCCACCGCTACTACCGCCGAACCAGCAGCACTCGGTAGACCCGTCCCTTGCTCGCCTTCTCCACATACACCTCCCTCTCCGTCGGTGCTCCTACGGGGTTCTCCTCCAACCACCCTGCTTCCTGCCAAGAACCCTGAAACGCCAACAAATCCTCCTCCTCCTCGCCTCCACTGTCGCCTCTATGCCGCTCGCTCCAAGCACCGACCGTTGCAGCGTTGCTGTTGCCGCTGCCACCCCCCTCACATACCCCGCCATTTCCGATCGTGCCATGAGACAAGCCACCACCGCTTTCCCCACCCTCGCCTTCTAGCGGCGGCTTCAGTGCGGTGGCTGGAACGGGTGTTCCGGCAAGCGCACCCGTTGCAGCCACCCCACTGCCAACGTCAGCAACCGCCGCGGCTCCAGGGGGTGTCAGCGGCGTGCATGGGAACACCCGCTGCGTTGTGTGTACCTCGTCGTCCACTCGAAAGCAGCCGCCACCGTATCGCTCGAAGGCGTTCCGCATGTAAGCCGCGGTGTCCTCGAAATCCGATGTCAGGTATACGCGCGCTGCAGTAAGAGAAAGGCGAAGTAAGCAAAGTCAGCTTGCGCGCAAAAGCATAGAAGCCTAGACAGCCAAGCGCAAGGAAGGGGCCACAATCGCACATAATCAATTGCACATCCCACATAGCCACATCCCCTCCTCCCCAATCTCACCTCCCGGTTTCAACACCCGTGCAAGCGCCTCCACCAGCTCCCGCCCCACCATGTGGCGCTGCCGCCGCTGCTGCGGGTCGGGGTACTGCACGCTCACCAGCTCCACCGCACCCGGGTAGCAGCCCAGCAGCTGACCCGCGGACAGCACCGCATGCGCCTGCAGGTAGCGCACGTGGCCGGACATGCGGCGAGCGGCGGCCCAGCCGTTGGCGCGGTCTAGTAACTGCGAGGCGGAAGAGTAGCGATGAGGGGTTTGGGCGTGTGGTAGTAGATGTGGAAAGGTAGTAGATGTGCGGGATGGGCTTGGGAGGAGGATGGTTAGACGTGTTGGCATGCAAAGGAATGGATGGGTTTTGGATAGTAACAGGTGAATACAGATGTACGATCCCTCCGACAGAACGCAGGGTGTTAGTGCCCTCGCGTGCCTATAATAGGAACGAGGCTATTCTAGCATCACTTTTGACAGATGTCGCCACGGAACAGATGACAGCTGCTTCGAAGTGTGCATGATCGATATGTGTGAAAGAGATTTGCATCAACATCATCGCAAGAACAAGGCAGGTTAGGTAAATGTACGATCCCTCCGACAGAACGCAGGGTTGAAGAGTGCCCTCGCGTGCCTATAATAGGAACGAGACTGTTGTAGCACAACTTTTGACAGATGTCGCCACTTGGGAGGTGACAGCTGCTTCGAAATGTGCATGCATGCAGTATCTGGAATGAGGCTGCAACAACCAACACTCTCAACTTGTCATGTAATCATGTTCGATCCCTCCGACAGCTCCGCAGGGTTTAATCGCCCAAGCGTGCCTATAATAAGACCAAAGCGCTGTGGCACCGTATTTGACAGCTGTCGCCATGGGGAAGAGCGCGACGAGCTGTTCAGACGATGCAATCTGGAACACAAACCCCAATGCAGCATGCACGTGGCCACGCCATTTTGCCTAAGTGCAACTCTCCACCCGCCTTTACATTAAATGGGTTCTCAGCATTAACCGTGCAGAACAATTTGCTTACCGCTTTATGAACGTCGATGCCCAGGTAGTTCTTGCCGGGGCCCTGGCGGTGTGCCATGAGCAAGATGTAACGGCCAGCTCCGCAGCCAAGGTCCACGACCAAGGGTTTAGAAGGATCATCGAACAAAGCGCTCCAGTCGACATCAGCTGGCTGCTGGGACTCGGGGCGGCACAGGAAGGAGTAGTTCCGCCGAGTAATGGCGCCGCCGGCCTGCCTACAACCAAGAGCGGCATAGAAGTGTGAGTAGGATGGAGACTCACACCGGCAGAAACATTAGTTGCAGGTCTAGAGAATTGGAACTGTCTTCTTACATTTCGCTCCTGGTTGGTGAGCTTCAACTCGTGGAAAGGAGAATCCGGCGCGTCGGCGAAGCCATTCGCCAGCCAAGTCTGATGCTTGGGTACGCTGCTGTTAGCGCCCCTAGGTACAATAAGCGCGTCTCGATGCGACGCTCCATGATGGGTCCTGAATGAACGTCTAGGAACTTGTGCGCGGAAGGAAGCCGCCGCCGCCAGGGCATCCGCGCGCACGATACCGGTAGGCGCCTGAGGCAATACGCCCAGGCGGCGCTGCCGGTAACTTTGCGCAGGCGAAGCTGACTGCGCCTTCATGATTATGATCGTCGAGGCGCAGCGCTTATTTTTATTACTTTCGCAAATGGACGGCGGAAAGCATGCTTTCCACTATGCCAGGGTAGGCACAGCGTGAAGGAGATGCTACAGCACGCTGTATTGAAGTATGTGCTGGCATAAACAGCGTGAAGAGCAATAACGCGTTAGCATGTACGGCTCGTGGATCTGAACTTTGAAGACGGATCTGAGAGGATACGCCAAATGGATATAACTCAGGCTTCCGATAGCGGTCGATGCAGATACCTACTAACCAATCCACTCTTACTTTTTTGTGCCTCTTCAGCTCGTTGACCGTTTACCGACCTGACAGCCATGTGCCAAATTACCTTCAACCTTGACTGCAAGCTCGGCTCCTTTGGCCTGAAGCACCAGGGCCTGCTTCGTCTCCTTCTATGGCTGGCGGTTGCCTCTGCCGTCATCTTCATTGGTGGACTGTCGTCCCTGCAGAACGAATGTGCCGATGATGGCTTGTTCGCCGGGCACACTGACGGCCTCGACGGCGTTAACGGGTTCAGCGCCCAGGTCCTGACCTGCAAGAAGATTTTCCGCTGTAAGAAGACGTTCTTGCAACTGCTGTCCAATGCCATGCTACAATGTTTGACTGTCGCCCTAATCCCGGTCCTTCCTTGCGAAATGTGTCCTTTCAGTCTACTGGTTCATTGTCGTCTTCGAGTTTGTCATTGCGGCTCTGGGCATCTACGCCGTCTCCTGGTCTGGCAAGCTGGCGTCTTTCAAGTCTTCCCTTCTGGGCCTCTTCGTGATTGGAACCCTGCTGTTCATCTACACCACCGGTAAGCAGCAATTGCGGGCCTTCGTGCCTTGACTCAGTTACCGCTGTGTTCCACCACACACCGGATACTGCTTACGGTATATCACCTCCTGACCAACCCCTTGTCCTTCCCCGTGTGCGCCCTCTGCAACAGACGCTTTCCTGGGCCTGATTGAGGTTCCCAGGTTCCAGTCCGAGACCCTTCGTGACCGCAGCAAGACCGCTGTTGCTGGTGCCATCGTCACTGCCACGCTGAACGCGGTGATCGTCTTCGTCACCGGCTACGAGGCCTAGAGCAGTGTGCTGGGGATATGCTCGTGACGGCTGAACATACATATGAAAGGTTCATGTGACCCACGGTTAAAGGGGTTTTGTATTGTTGCCCTGACCGTAACCAAGTACATATGCGGATTAATAACTAGGACAGAACGGTTCCTGTCTTGTACATATCGTGAGCTTGGGCTATTCATCCAGTGTTACATGACCCCATGCGGTCCATTCGCTGCTAATGGCAGCTTGTAACAAATGCTATCAGTAATAACAACACCACATGTGTCTCCGCATCTCACACAACCATTGCACTCCTTACCACTCCTTACCACGTCGACACCAAACCAGCCGACCAGTTAAAGCACACCCGTCACCGTCCTCAGCATGCGATATAACGGCAGCCTTTGGCACTCCTAGTATCTTCACAAAGACGCGGTTACTGCCATGCTTCCTTGCAAATCATGCGTTATAGTTTTTATCGACACCCCGCCCGTTCTCAACCATTACTGCTCGACCCCACGCTCTTGGGCCAGTGCTGCTCGGGCAGCCGGTGGCAGAAGCGAGCCCTGCTCCGAGGCGCGAAGGCTGGGCGTCAGGGACCGTGCCCGCTGCTGCAACGCAACCGCGGCCATGTCAGATCCGAGAGCTTTCCGCGTCTCCTCGAGCTTCTTCTTCATCCATGCCATACGAGTGTAGTTAAGGGGCTTGTACAACCGCACAGGTACTTCTGGCTGGTTCGCCTCCGCCAGCTTTAGGACAGACATGTTCTTTAGCGTCAAGGACACGTTCTTCTTGCGGTTTCGCCGCTGCGAGGCTGTGAGCGGCTGCAGGCCGCTGGGTGGGTTCCATGCTCGCCCGCCTGACGTCTGTGGGAGCAATTGGGAAGGTGGAGTGGGGAGCAAACGCGTGAGCGGAGGAACGACCTGGCAAGGATGAAGCGTGCTGGCTTTGTTGCTACTATAGGCTTCAGCTGCATTAGGGGTACGCCAGTTGCACACCCCAGCATGCAGCCCGTATAGAGCGCGGGTTTCAGGGCCCCCACCCCACCGAGTTGACGCGACGCATGGTAACGTGCCTAAACGACAGCTCATAAGATCACTTCCCGTGAGGATGACCACCAAGCCGAGCAGCATTCCCTTGTGCTGCCATAGCCAGCGCTTGTGATTTTTGTGTTTGCACGTAGTCACACCGCGCCCGACAAGGAACCCTCCCCAACAGCGAATATAAACTTGTATGCACCTTAACGTTACTCCATTACACACGTCTTTCATACCCATTCCGACCATTGGCGACGAATCCCTAAGCATCATTGCCGCACACACCTTGTAGACGATCATCAGGCACCGCGAGAAGAACATTGTCGCAGTTTTGCTACTTCAAACGTTACTATTTAAGTTGGGCTGCGGCCTCGCTTGTGTCGCAACCTAGGCCGCCAAGTCGCCGTAAGGTCTCCGTCAGCTCCTAACGACCACAACAAAGTAAAAGTGACAAACGTAAGGTGTCTACAGTACAAGTTGGATAAACGTGAGTTATGCCCCGTTTAGCTAGCAATGGAGTGTAAGCGATGAATAATAGAAGCCAGGCTCGCCAACAGTGGTTGCTATTTTGTTTTGCATATACAGAAACAATTGAGTCAAGCTTACAGCTAATGGCTGTCCCGCGTTATGCGTGACAAGCATGACCTCACTGTAATCTGGGTCGCCCGATCGACAAAAGCTGTACAACCGAGATACTTCTTGTATACCAGCCCAACACTTCGTAGCTTATACTACATAGCTTTTCGTCATGCATCTAGGTAGCGCGCACCCGTCGGCAGGCCTAACGGCTCCTGGTGGACGACGACGGGCGCTGCAAGGTACGCAATTCTCCGGTCGAGCCGCACGTTGCTGTCGCCCAGTCACAGTCACAACCTACCATCAGTGCACACTTATTTTTTCGCTTCCTGTGGCATTCTTGGTACGAGGGCTTCCCGTCGGCTAAGTCGACTACCACCTCCGTGGCGCCCCGAACACCACTATGTAACGCATTGCACTGTTCCGTGCCCGTCCTTCCCTTCGACCTCCCCGTGCCCCTACTTGAATCCCGCAGTCCAAGCTGCTAAGAAGGATTCCTCCCCGTGGTCTTCTGGCGGCCCTAAGCGTGGCAAGGGTGGAGACAACCGCAGCGGCAACAGCAGCAGCGCCAGCAGCAGCAGCAGCAACAACAACAACAACAACAACAACAAGAGCAGCAGCCCCGGCGGCAGCAGCAAGAATCCATGGAAGGACCCACCAACATCGACCAAACCGTCCAAGCCAAGCAGTGCAGGCGGCTTCGGCACCAGCAGCAGCACCAGCCCTGGGACCTCCAGGGCGGCTCCTCCCAAGGAAACGACCATCACGGAACCCATCGGTGTAACACTCTTGGTGCGTTGAGGGGGGAAGGAAGGGCGTTTGGAGAGCTCCGAGGACCAGTGTGGGAGGAAGACAGGAAAGGCCCTGGCTGCTGGCTGCTGGTTGGCAGGCGGCCGCTGGAATTTGCATCCACACGCCTCCGTCATTATTAACCGCTGCGGCAACCGCTAGCTGTGCCATGATGTTCGCATGTGGCCGAGACCTAACACCCTGCAGCCGCTGTTTAACTGTGTCCTCCGCAGGATGAGCTAGGTCCCACGGAGAGCGCTGCACCACCCAAGTATGTGCTGTACGGCGCCGGTGTAGCTGCTGCCTGCGGCTGTTGCTGCCTGCGGCTGCTGCTGCCTGCGGCTGCTGCTGCCTGTAGCTGTTGCTGCCTGCTGGCGGCGTATCCACCATACCAGCGCTCCAGCTGGTCGCCTGGTGCATACTCGGCCAGCAGGGCTGCATTCCTGCATAGCTTCCTGTCTGCCCTTGCCCCTCACCTCATACTGCTCCCCTTATGGGCAGCTACCTGGCTGCTCTGCTATCTGGTTAGTCAAGCAGCCTGCCTAACGCTGTACCCTGCCCTGCACAGCTATCCCTCCTCCCTCAGCCCTTTCCATGCCCCCTTCCCGGCGCCTCCCTCCCTCCCCTGCCTGCTTGCTGCCGCAGGTGGGGCACCTTCTGCAGCCACCTGAACGGCGAGTGGGTGGGTCAGTACGCAGCCTACACGCCCTGGGAAGGTGGGCACGAGCTGGTGGTTGGACGGGGGTTGGGGGTTGGACGGTGGAGATTTCGTGGGGCGCAAGGACGTAGGACTGCCGTACCCATGAGCAATAATGCTTCAATGGGCACCGTTAAAAGGGGGAAGAAGACGACGAAAAGGGTGGAGGTAGCAGGGATTACCGGTGCTTTTTTAAGGTGTGCGGGCACAGGTACCGCCGCTGCCCGCTAGCATTATGAAATCCAAGGAATCCAAGAGGAACGCCAAGGAAGAGGTGCAGGAATAAGAGGTGGACGAAGCGGAGCAGCAACAGCAGCTGCTGCTGCTGCTGCTGCTGATCCAGCACAGGACTGTGCAGCGGCTATGCCCACGTCCTCAACATACACCGCTCTAAACTCCCCGTCCGTCCTCCGCAGGCAAGCCGGAGCCCGCCTGGCTGGACGAGCGCGGCAAGTACATCAATGTGGTGTACACGCGAGCGCTGGAGCACCGGCAGCTCTACCCGGCGGCCTCCGCACCGCCCTCCCCCACTGCACCGTCACCCGCATCGCAGCAGCAGCAGCAGCAGCAGGAAGAAGCGGAGCAGAGCCCGGTAAGGCACCAATGCGACAATGGGAGCTGTGTAGGAGGCGTGTGGAGGGTGCTATGTGGAGATGTGTTCATGTGGGTATTTAGAAAAATGGCCGCGAGTCGAAAAACGTACTGTGGTTGCAGAAAAATGAAGTGCGGCTTGGTGGGTGAGCGGGTGAGTGATGTCACCGAGGCATGTCCTACTGTCCTCATGCAGGGAGGAGGTGCCGAACACGGGGGAGACGGGCACGGCGGCAGCGGAGGCGAGGAAGCGGCGGCGACGGACGTGTTGCTGCGCAAGATGGGCAGGTGCGGGGTGGGGGATGGAGTCGCCTTGGTGGTGGTATCGTAGCGCCTGCTACCGAGCCCTGAGGGGCAGTGTTTGCCTTTTCAAGCAGGTTAAAGACCATTGTTCACAGGGCATTAGCAGCCAAGGAGTGCATGACGATTCCGTGCGCGGTTACCCGCCTGTTCTTAACCAGCACCTCGAGACTGCACCACCCTCGAAGCCCATTACTGTCAGTCCCAAACCCCCGTCGCTTACCCCGCTTCCACCCTTCCTGCTGCCCTCCCGCACCGCCTCTTCCCCTCCCTGCAGGTGCACCAAGCTATCCGCACTAGCCGACCTAAGGCTGCCGCCCGAGCGACCCATGGGTCATACCGACCTGCCTTCCAACTCCTCAGCCCCCAAGGACACCAGCAGCACCGGCGGCGGCAGCAGCAGCAGCAGCTGTACTGGGCACCAAGGGGCGCAGCAGCAGCAGCAACAGGACGGCAGCGGAGGAGGAAAGGGCGAGGAGGGGGAGCAAGAAGGGGAGGTGGACGAGGGGGAGGATCTGGGAGGCAGTGGGGATGTGGATGTGGAGGCGCTCAGCTACAACAGCGAAGGCGTGGTGGTGTTTGACGGCGGCAGCTACTCGGCGGGACCCGAGTACATTGGTGGGGATGCGGGCGAGGGTTGGGTGCTTGAGTTGGTCGTACGCAGGGGCAGTTGGGTTGGTGCGGGAGGGGCGGGGGTGGGTTCTGCTGATGCCGTGGTTACGAGGGGCGGTTACGGTATGAGGGGTCGTGTGGTCTACGTGACTGCTGTAACGGAGTACCCGCATTCCCATGGTCACGACGCAGGAAGGCAGTGTACCGAGTATCGCCAACCATGCAACCAACGCATGTAACGCTATTAACCCCACCACGCCCTGGCTCCTCCCCCCACCAACCGGCACGTGTCGCGGCCCTCCATGCAGGTCAGCAGCCGGTGAAGCTGATCAACGACGAGGCCCTCCAAGGCACCTCCGGGGAAGCGGGAACCTCCACCTCCTCGCGCTCCACCTCCGCCTTCCCATCCGCTGCCGCCCTCGAGGGCGGCCTTGATGATGAGGACGAGGAGGACAGTGAAGGCTATGAGGACGGCGAAGGCTATGAGGACGAGGACGAGGGCGAGGACGAGGAGGGCTATGAGGAGGAGGATGGCTCCCTGGTTCTCCCCACCAGCACCACCAGCGTCTTCGAGAGCTGCCTGGTGGACTGGGGCAGTCGCACCCGCATGCGCGCCAAGCTCACGTTGCGGATAGGGCAGCTGCCCGCTGCTGACGTCAACAACAGCAGCAACAACAACAACAGTGGCGGCGGAGGAGGGGGCGGAGGCGGAGGCGGGGAGGTGGATGTGGAGGTGCTGCGTGTGCTGTTGTTCCGGGAGCAGTGGCTGGGGCCGCCCAGCTGCGAGCGGATGAGCTGCGCGCCGGGGGAGGTGCGGGTGCTGGAGCGGCCGTGCACGGAGCTGCTGCGACCCACGCCGGAGCAGTTGCAGGTGGGTGTGCGGGGGCGGCGGGCGGAGGGGGCCGGGAGGGGGCCGGGAGGGGGCCGGCGAGAATGGGAGAAAGCTCTACCGGTAATAGTTACCGCTGGGTGGCTTGTGACCGGCATGTGTCGTAGCATTGGTCGTGACCGGCATGTGTCGTAGCATTGGGGGGGGTCGGGTTTGGGAGTTTGGGAAGGCGAGGGAACATGCAAAAAGGGGGGTTGGGAACGGCCCATGTAGAAGTGAGCGGGAGTACCGGCATGCAAATGGTGCAACTGCACCTGGCCCAGGGGGGGGGTAAGAAATTTTCTTATAAACCCCAACCCGAAATTTCCAAAGAGAAGGCCTCGGAGCCACCCACCCACCGCCAAGCGTGTCGTACAACCTGTAAACTATGCCAAAACGCCCGGGAAAAAAGCGTCTAGGTTCCTCTGCGCAAGCTCTATTAAATGCAGTCGAAAACCCCAAACCCCCTGGGAAGTCACAGCGTTGCACTATGGACGGCTAAGGTAACCATGTTCTTGGCCCCAGCTTGACTGATGTTATGTATTTGGCGCCTAGGAAGCACCACGGCCCTTCCATTTGCGCCATACCACCGCCAGTTCTGTTTTCACCAACCGAGACAACGGCGCCACCACGTTCCAGGTCCCTGCTCCTGCCTCCTCTTCCCCCTGTGCCGCTGGGCCCTCGATCATTCCCCTTGGCACCAATTCCCACGCCTGCTTGCTTCTGTGCTCTGCATCCCCACCCCATTCGTGGTCACTGTAAGTGCTTTCTCGCAGCTCAGTCTGTCTACTCCAACCCCGCATCCTCAGTCGTGTTCCACATCCATGGGGACATGCGACATGCTGCTATGCTAGGCTTTTACAAAGGGCCGACTAGCCGCATTCGCAATATATGTTTTCTACATAAGTTGTTTCATGTACGTTTGGGGATTGGGCAGTTCCGTTCGGCTACCGTGGTTCAGAGGTGAAGTGTCATTGGAACATCGGAAGCCGAGAAGTGACCATTTTGTTGATAGAACGAATTCTACGTATAAGAAACGAAGAAAGGATGGCAATACAGCTTTCAAAACCCTAACATGAGGCCTGGAAAAAATTTTCCGGAGGTTCATGTAAAAAAAGTCGTTGGGGTCCTGAACCCACCCACCCACCCCTGCCGTACAACCAACTTTGCAAGCCCATAACTTTTTCCCTACAACTCCAAACAGAAATCTGAAAGCAGATTCGGAGTCCCGACGCAAAGCGCCTTCAATTTGAGGGTTGGGGTCTATTTTTGCGCTTCCTACCCCCCCCTGACCTGGCCCCCTTTTTATTTACGTTTTCCACCTCACCCGCCCCCTCCCCCCGCCCCCTCCCCCGGGCAGGGCTCCTGGAACGTCTTCACCATGTCCGCAACCGGTTTTGATGAGGTGGACCCGCTCACAGGTGAGCCGCGCCCGGTGTTGCGTGTGATGCGTGGAGGCGTAGTACCGGTAGTCGGGAGACAGAGCAGTGCTCAACAAGCCCGCATGCGTTTTGTTTTGGATATACCGGTGTCGCGGTATGGGTGGGCCGGGCCCGGTGTTTCAGTTTTAGCTGCGTCTTATGCCGGATGCTGGTGCCGGGTGGGTGCTGACCTGGATGGGTGCCGGTACCTTACCGGTGGCAGCCCAGCGGTCCATCCCCCTGACCGAACCTCAGCCCTCATGCGTGCATGCATGTATGCATGCCATGCCGAAGCACATACCGGTATTGTGTGTATTGGGTGTGTTAAAAAAACTGGCCGCGAGTAGTAATGTACTGTCTATTGGGTGCGTGCACGTGCCCCCCATGCAGGCGAGGAGGGCCTGTCATGGGCCTACACCGCCTCCGAGGAGCAACAGCTGTGGGACGCCACCCGCCGGGCCCCCGCCGGGGACGACGGCGCTACCTTTTGGTTGCCAGGAGGGGTGGTGCTGTCGCTGCGCATGACGGACAACTACGTGCCTGCTGGCATGGATCTGGATTCGGAATCTGGATCCGAAACCGAGGGAGGAGGTCCAGGTCCTAGCAGCGCCGGCAGCAACAGTAGGGCATTGAAGAAGGGGCAGCAGCAGCAGGAGCAGCAGCGGGCGTTTCCTCGTGGGCTGTGTATCGGCATGGCATGGCTGTTGAAGGAGGGTAATGTGGCGCAGTTGGAGCGGGAGTACGACGGGTATGGGTATGTACGGGAGGTGCGGTTTTCACAGGCGGTCAAGGGAGGCTGGAGCGGGGGCAGGATGTAGAGCTGGTGTGAGATGCGTTTGGTGTTGCTCGGAGTGCCCATTGAGAGCGTGAAAAGCGTTGCGAGCGTTGTTGTTGACGTTTTACAGCACACCAGCTGTGCCAGCCGTTTGCGGAGCACCATGGATAGATGGATGGCCTTGTGCAGTGCAGTGCGGGTTTACGGGCCGAACGAGCGTGGGAACTTAGGCGAGAATGGGGGCGCGACGAGTTACAACAGAGGCAGAGCAATGACGTGCCGGTAACGGTAGACGCAGGAAGCAGACGCAGGGTGCTGTTGGCGCAGCTGCTATCCAACTTTTGCTGCAATGTCGGTTGGTGACTTGCTCTATGATGGGGCCGACAGGGGTGCATATGCATGTCGGCAGGATTGCATGCTGGCTCTTAGGCACAGCGCCTTTTTCAACGAGCCCCAGTTCGCAGGACACATGCATTCGATTTCTTGAACTATCGGCGTCAGAACAACTGACGCAGGTTGTGCCAAACTGCAGTGTAACTAACCCTCAGAATTGCTGCCGGGCACTGCATCACGTTGACCCTGGATGCTGTCTGTAGAGAAGCCGGGTCGGGAATCACATGCACCCTTATTGGGAAACACTTCCTTTACATGTGCTGGCTGGGTTGGCCGCACGTCGTGCCTACAGTCCTTGTGCTCCATGTGCCCACACAACAACATATGGGGCTGCATGTCGGAAGACGTCCTTTCAGCCACCCACCTCCCGGTGCTCCCTTATACTACTCGACAAGCGTGCCAGGAGAACCCTCATGTGACGCAATGTCGAAATTCGAGACCTCTCAAGTGGAGCACTCCATGCCCATGCGTGCATGCTGCATGAAAAGCACGGTGCACGATGAAACGTCCCATGCGCCACCTCGCGTAGTGAATCCCCTGCCTACCCACGGTGCATAAATTCGACGCCGGGTCCGGCTTCTAACCTCGTTAAAAGCATTAAACAACCCCACCGCTATCTCGAGCATCCGGCGCCACACACTCGCTTCCCAACTCGCTTCCGCGGTCACCCTCGCTGTTGGTACCGGGTAGTGTGCGACTGCAGCCCGCATGAACCGCTACCTCACCCTCGGGTCTCTCGTGTAGATCCTCTCTTGCAGTGTCTCCCAACATCTTCTTCTGGGTACGTACGTAAAGATACTAACACCCTTATCAATAACCGGATGCACTAACCGCTGCAACGGAGGCGGGCTTGGTAGTTTACCTCCCCAGATCTGCTGCCCAACCACAGCTGCCCACTCAGTCATTTACCGGTATACGGCCGGAAAGCTCTCTCTCTCTCCGCAGCTACGACGGATCCATGCATTGCGCTGCTACTTGCTACCCCTGCCAGGTGCTTGTGTGCTTGGCAAAATTGCATGCACGTGGCATCCGCCTGCTTGGAACCTTCCTGGAACCGCTGGTGCGTCAACGTTGCAATGTCCGCTGCATCCTCGTCTTGCCCCCAGCCTTGCTGCCCCTGACTTGTCCCTCAACCTCCCTCCTGCTCTAACCCTGCCTCGGCTGCCTGGGCCCTCCACTCCCCTCCCGTGCTGCCCCTGCGCTCTCCTGCCCCGATCCTTAACTCCCCCTCCTGCTGCGCTACCCCTGCCCCGGTCCTTAACTCCCCCTCCTGCTGCGCTACCCCTGCCTGGGCCTGTCGAACTTGAGCGCCTGCACCCGCGTGGTGAGCTGCTTGAGCCACTGCGGCCGCTTGTCCGTGCGAGCCTCCTCAAACTCTGACGCAGGGTTGGGGAGCGGCGAGGAGGAGAGGACGGAGGCAGGCGGGGGCGACAGGCAGGCCCGGCCAGGCGAGGGATGAAACACGAGGGTAGGGTAGCTGACCAGGTAGGTAGGCAGTTGGTGAACATCAAGCGTGTGGGAATTCTGGTGTATCATGAACCAAAGCCGCACGTCTTACTATGTTGTCTATACCGCAACACCGCAGCCTAGTTCCCCCGTTGTCAATCTCATATCCTGTTTTTTGAATTTATATTCCTGTTACGGTAACTGCAGTTACCCCAACCCACCTGGGTCCACCACAATGTAGTTGGAGCCCCAGGCCGCTCCGTAGCCCCAACCCAGACCCAGCCCCACTCCACAGCCGCCGCCTGCATGCAAGTACGGCACCACCTTCGGAGTACGGCTATGCGGCATGGGCCTCGCGAATGGTTCCCACATGGGCTGAGAAATCTTGGCTGCGGTGGTGTGGGCACTACAGGTGCACGTGGAGAAAGGAAGGGCGCGGCCCCGCAAGCCTTTACCCCCGGACTGTTGCACCCTAAGGGCGAGCGGGGTATCTGGTGTAGGGGCCCCATGCGCGCCGAGTCTATGACTCGGCGTGTGTGCCATGGACATACTGGGACTAACCGTTCCCTTGGCTGACGTGTTTGGCATGCGTACGCGTCCGCACCTGCCCCCATGCCGCCAACTCCAATTGATCCACCTCCAAAGCCATATCCGACTCCAAAGCCACAACCAGCGCCGAAGCCTTGCTTGTTGAGAGATGCAAGCACGCGCAGGCGTAAGTACTATGGCCGAAGTACAATGCATTAGGACTGTACTGGTCTATACGCTTTCTCACCAAAACCGACGCCACCGCCAACGAAGCTTCGCCCTCCCATTTTTAATGTTTCTTGGGAAGCCTCGATCACCTAGGGAGGAAGAAGTTTATACTTACTACAAATAGAGTGATATCCATTACTGTGTTTTCTCTTTAGCGTTAAGTTTAGCATTGATAAGGGGCGACCGGTAAACTTCTCAACGATGCGGCTGTGCTGCCATTATGTAATCACTGAACCGTCAGCATAGTTATCGAGCTGAACACGTATGCCAGAATACAGTGTTATTACTTGATATAATAAACATGGCTCCTGACGAAGCGCCGGCGCAGGAGGTGCCGCCTTCGTCGCGCTTATGTGTGAAGAACATTCCAAAATACGTTGATGAAGCGAAGCTTAAGGACTTTTTCAGCGCAAAGGGCGAGGTGACGGACGTGAAGGTGCTTCGCACAAAGTAAGCAAAGTAGTCGTTGGCGGCGGGGGATAGCAAGAGCGACAGCCGTAGAAAATCAGGAGCTGTAAGCCTTCGTAAGCTGACGTCGTCTGGGGCTCCTGCTTGTTTGCCTGGCGTTCCGTCGCAGGGATGGCCGTTCCCGTCAGCTGGGGTTCATCGGCTTCAAGTCAGCGGAGGAAGCAGCAACTGCTCTGCGCTACTACAACAAGTCTTACATGGATACCTCAAGGCTTCAAGTGGAGGTAGGGGGTTTGCGAGTGCGTGCCCGGGGAAGATTCCATGTCCCGCCGGGTCCACTTGTCGAGTCCTATACACCACGTCTCTTGTCCACCCAAACACCCTCACACATCCACACTACAATCGCACTTGGGTAAGTCCTCTGAACCCCGTCTTCGATTTCTGCCATGCCCCTCCTTTCTACCACCCCGCCCTAGTTCGCTCGCAAAGTTGGGGACGACCAGCTCCCTCGGCCCTGGAGCAAGCACACAGCCGGCAGTACGGCAAACAAGAAGGGGACGCAAGGCGCAGCGGCTCCGGTGGGCGGCAAGGGGGACGCTGTAGCTGTTGCGGCTGCCGCCAAGGCCGCGAAGGGGAAGGGCAAGTCGCAGGAGGAGCCCCGGCCGGAAGATGGTGGGTTCAGCGGTGCTGGGGGGAAGGGCCGTTCCTTGAGGAAGAGCCTTGGGCTGCGGCTGCTGCTGTTTTCGTCCTTCCCTTGCGCACCCCGCACCGCACCGTACTGGTTTCCGCTCTAGCTCCCTTTCCCAGCCACGCAAACCTGTCCTCTTCCCTGTCCTCAGCCCCGCTCCCTTTGACCGCCTGCATCCACTCATCCCATTCCCACCCACTCCCCAGATGACCCCAAGCTGCGGGAGTTCATGGCGCTCATGCAGCCGCGGGCCAAGGCGCGCATTTGGGGCAACGACGAGCTGCCGAACCAGCAGCAGGCCGCAGCGGATGCGGTCGCAGCGGCAGCCGCCCTGCACAAGCAGCAGCAGGAGCAGCAGCAGCGGCAGCGGCGGATGCAGCGCGAAGCCGGCGGCAGTGAGGATGGGGACGGAGAGGAGGACGAGGAGGAGGAGTACCAGGACTGGTCGGGCGCAGTGGCGAGGGCGCATCAGGCGGGAGATGGTGAGGAGGAGGAGGAGGAGGATGCAGACATGGCGGACCTGCGGGATGGGGATGATGATGATGATGAGGAGGAGGGTGGTGAGAAGCGGGGTAATGGCGGCGGCATGAGGGATGAGGTGGTTGTCAACGATGCGGTGTCTGACCTGGAGTATCTGCGAAGTCGCATGCGCCGCTGGGATGAGGACGACGAGGAGGAGGAGAAGGAGAAGGACAAGGGTACCGGAGGTGCGGGGGCGGAGGCGGCAGCGGCGCGCGGGGACCAGAGCGGTGTGGGTACCTCTCCCAGGTGTAAGCCGGCGGGAGCAGCAGCAGAAGCAGCAGCGGCTGTAGTAGACGACAAGGCTGGGCGGAAGGTAGCAGCCAAGAAGGGTGCTACCGCTGCCGCTGCTGCGGTCCGGAAGACCCATGGCTCGGGCGAGGAGGCTCCGGACGACGCCGGCGGGTCCGAGGATGCCGACGGCGACATTGACATGGAGGAGCGCGACCAGCAGCCGGACGCAGCTGCGAGCGGAGCAGCAGCAGCAGCAGCGGGGACGGCAGCAGCGGCAGCAAAGTCCTGGAGGGGCGCTGGCGGTGCTCCTGGGGGTGGTGGTGAGGAGGAGGAGGAGGAGGGCATCATGGAGACGGGTCGGCTGTTTGTGCGCAACCTGGCTTACACGGCCACTGAGAGCGACCTGAGTGAGCTGTTCGGCGCGTTTGGAGACCTGCAGGAGGTGCACCTGGTGCTGGAGAGGTGGGTGGGGCGGTGGGTGATGGGGGCAGAAGGGGGCTGTCGCTGGGGCGGGGATGCTAGGCCATCCCAACTTAATTTAAAACCCCAAGCCGAAACCCAGGAGACCACCACCACCTTCGCCGCTTTCCCCTCCCGCCCCCTTTCACCTCCTGCCCCCCCCCACAGGGAGACCAAGCGCTCCAAGGGGCTGGCCTACGTGCAGTTCCAAATGCCCGAGGACGCGGTCCGCGCGGCTCAGCAGCTGGACGGCACCATCTACCAGGGTCGCCTGCTGCACATCCTGCCCGCGAAACGACCACCAGGCGCCTCAGCACCCACAGGTGCTGCTGCTGGTGGTGGTGCTGCAGGCGAAGGGACAGCAGCCGCGGGAGAGGGAGAGGGAGCAGCCGCAGCAGCAGCAGGACCGGGCGGCAACGCCGGCCTGTCTACCTTCAAGGCGCAGCGGGAGGCGCAGCGCAAGGCGGATGCGGGCAACCGTGCTGCCTGGAACACGCTGTTCATGCGGGCGGACACGGTGGCGGATGCGGTTGCAGCGCACTTTGGGCTCAGCAAGGCTCAGCTGCTGGACCCCACCAGTGCGGCGGGAGGCGGAGGGGCGGGGGACAGCGTGGCGGTGCGCATGGCGTTGGGCGAGGCGCAAGTGATTGCCTCCACCAAGCAAGCGCTAGCAGAGGCAGGGGTGCAGGTAGAGGCGTTGGAACGCGCGGCGGCGGCCAGCGGCAAGGCCTCTGCCGTACGAACCGTGGCACGCAGTGGTACGACACTGCTGGTTAAGAACTTGCCATACAGTGCGGATGAGAACGAGCTGGCGGAGATGTTTGGGCGGTGCGGTCCGGTGGCGCGGCTGGTACTGCCGCCTGCTCGGGCGCTGGCGTTGGTGGAGTTCACGGAGCCGCAGGACGCGAGGGCGGCCTTTAGGTGGGGCTGGGTGGCGGGGCGGGTGGGCGGGGTTTGGCATCAGATTGGTAGGATGGATCCGCTGACCAATCCGCTGCCAAGACTGGTAGCGGATCCACCAACGTCGTTGGTTATTGTTTACGTCCCTCTGGGTGTGCGGGCTATTGCCTCTCGCCGCGCTGCTGTGCCGCGCTAAGTAGCCACCACGACGGATAGGGCGCTCAGGAGAGGGCTCTCATGAAAGGTCACTCACAAGAGGAAAAGGAGCCCAGCCTGCCTAACACCGCGCCTCTTGCTGTACCCACCGCCGACCTACCGTACCCTCTCCTCCTGTCCCCCTCCTGTCCCATGCTTCCCGCCCCGCTCCGCCCCGCCCCGGCAGGTCCCTGGCCTACAAGAAATACCACCATGTGCCCATCTATATGGAGTGGGCTCCCGCGGACGTCTTCTCCGCGCCGCCGCCCGCACAGCCCGCCGGCAAGCAGCTGCAGCAGCAGCCCGGGGGTGCTACGGCGGCTACAGCGGCAGCAGGGAAAGGTACGTCCGCCGCCGCTGCTGCTGCTTCTGATGCTGCTGCTGCTATCCTTGCTTTGGCAAGATGAGGTTGGATGGATATGTCCGCTAGGATGAAGATGAAAGACTTGCGTAGCCTCCTCATGCTGTAACCCTCCTGACCCTGGCTTGCCCCTGGCCGCCTACCCGCAGCCCCCAAGGCCGCCGCCGCGGCTGCCGCCGCCGCCGGGGATGCTGCTGCAGACGCCGCTGCCGCCGCTGACGGCGGCGGCGCCGTCAACCCCACTACGGTTGGCACCATCTACGTCAAGAACCTTGCCTTCGCCACCACCGATGCGGCGTTTCGGAAGCACTTTGACAGTGCTGTATCGGCGGTGGGCGGCTGCTTGCATTCCGCGGTGGTGGCTCGGAAGAAGGCCAAGGACGGTGCCGTACAGAGCCTGGGGTACGGCTTTGTGGAGGTGGACAGCGAGGCGGTGGCGGCGGCGGTGATTAAGAAGCTGCAGGTACGGGCAGGTGGCTGGGAAGGAAGGGTGCGGGTTTGAACTGGGTTTGGGTTTGAGAAGGGTTGCAAGTGTACGGCACCTGCGTGTTCCTAGGTTGCAAGGGTTTCGTCCATCACCCTTCGGTGCAAACGAAAGCTACTACTCTTTAGGGGCATGTGTTAACAGTGTAAGGACACGTGCAAGGGCATGTGTAAGGACGCTGGAGCTGACGTGGAGCTGACGTGGAGCTGACGCGCATCCTGTTTTTTGCTGCTGGGAAATGCTCCACAGGGGAGTCAGCTGGATGGTCACAAGCTGGCGCTGCAGCTCAGCAAGGGACGCAAGGCGGCGGCGGGCGGAGCAGCGACCCAGGGGTCGGCGAAGGCCAAGGCAGGGGAGGCGGACGGCAGCACCAAGCTGGTTGTGCGGAACTTGGCGTTCGAGGCTACCAAGAAGTAAGTGCGAGGGAGGGGATTGGGTTGGGAGTACGGCGGTTAGAGTAGTAAGGGGGCACACGGGAAGGAGGGAAGTGAGGGATTAGGCGGGGTGGGAGTGGAGTTGGTAAAGGCTGGGGGCGTGCGACCACGGCGGTGATGGTGGGAGAAAGGAGCATTATGGAGGTTCGCTTTGCAAATGCCAATAGCGGTATCGGTACTCTGTTAGCGATCCATCGTTCACCCCAAGTTCCTGCGCTAGGGCTGCTCTCTTCGGCGTCGACGGCTTTGCTAAGCTTCTGTCCCGGCCCGAACCTCGCAGGGATATCCAAGGCTTGTTTAACCCGTTCGGCCACCTCAAGTCCTGCCGCCTGCCCAAGAAGTTCGACGGCAGCCATCGTGGCTTTGCGTTCGTGGAGTTTGTCACCAAGCAGGAAGCTCGAAACGCGCTAGAAGGTAGGGGTTGCGGGGCTCGTTGAACCTGGAACGGCCTGCAATCGCCCACCTGCAAGTGGGGGTATTTATGCGCTCGTAGGATTCCCAGGTGTGTGCGGCCGGTGCACGGATGCCCAGAGACAACCCTTGGAACTGACAAGCTGCCCTAGTGCAAGACTTCATTTATCGACCAAATGCATTGACTCCAACATGTCCGGCTTGCCTTATCATAGCCGCTTTGTTAGTTTGCCAAAATGACATGCCATCCGAGTTAAGGCCGCAGCTGCGCACGTGCACGTTGTCGTCCGTATAATTATAAGGACGTGAATATGTTAGAAAGAAGTGATGCCCTTGCTTATGACTAATGGCTTGTGGACAGCGAGTACCTGGGCTAGTTTCTGTCTACTTGATAGAACATACGACACAGTGCAAATGACCGAACAAATAAAAACGTTCACACGTGTTTTACACATTCGTAATGACGGCGTCGATGACGTGATAAGATTAGCAGGAAAGCGAAAGCGGCAATGGCGAAATGACCGATATGATTATGCCCCGTCCATACATTGACACCTAGAAGCGTTAAGTACAAAAATGTTCCGTCAGGCAGTGCAAGCCTGGACGAGGTCTAGGCAGTTGGTAACAGTCCGTCCTGTTACCTTCTGCCTAGGGCCTCGTCCAGGCTTTGTGCCGCATGACGTGGTAGTTTGCTTAATGTCATGGATGTGTTGCGGATGTCATGTTTAATTCTGAACCTATCCACCTAACTAGTAGGTATGACTGTTGCCTGGGCTAGTGCCATACCTGGTAGTTCAGCTGTCTGGTCAGACGCACTTCTTGTTTTGCACGTATAGTGATTTAGGGTGCAGTGGCAAAGCCCAGGGCCTTGCTTCATGACTTTCACGTGACGTTAAGAGTCGCGTAACGTTTCCTTAGCTCTACAACCCTAAGCCTGCTTTAGCCGTACACCTCTGGGCCGTTTGGGCCGCCGTCTACGCACATCGTCCCGCCGCATGTACCCGTACTGACTTGCGTTCTGCGCCATACCTATCGCGCATTGCAGGTGTTGGCGGCACCCACCTTTACGGACGCCGCTTGGTGGTGGAGTATGCCAAGGAGGACGACGGGCTAGAAGAGCTTCGGAACAAGACAGCTGCGAAGTTTAAACGGGACGAGGAGGTTGAGGCGGGGGGTGCGCCAGCGAAGCGGTTGAAGGTGTAGGCTCCTGTGGTGCGTCCGTGGCAGGAGGAGTACCGGGCGAGGGTACCAGTAAATAGGAATCGACCCGGTCCAGTTATTGTCTGTAATGAGTCAAGAACAGCATTGCATACATTTTGTGGGATTCCTGCTTTGCCAGCTGGCTTGCGACGAGCAGAGGATAGACGGAATCCGGTTGACGAGGGTTGTTACTGCGGTGATGTACATCCGCCTCCTGCTCAGTGACCGTCGAACTGCCACTGCCCTTTATAATCGCGTTACAAGGTATACATATGATTAATACGGATTCCTACTATGCCGGACGGCTATCCTGGTAGAAATTACCGCTTCGCTCGCCTTTGTAATTCTGCTGCGTTCCATATATATACGGCAAATGCTCGTGCCTTAAACTACAAACCTTTTACTTTATCGAACCTGCGCAAGCGAGGGCGGTTGTCACGGGGGACCCCGTGGACACTGCTGCTTTTCGAGCCAATGCACTAGTAACATCAACAAATTAGTTGGATAGAGCTAGTAGACGGCACACTGGCCCATCTGTTTGCTCCTGACAGCTAGGCGCTTTCGGCCCCGGGTTCGTGCCATGGGTAACTGCTCCAGCCAACCTGATGCCGTAAGCATCTCACTTCGTGGCTCCAGAAGATTAAAGGGTGCGCTGTCCGCTGCTCAGTGGTGGACTGAACTTCTAATGAAGGGCGGTCGTCCGACGGCGTGAAAATCAAGACGTTCCCTGATCGTTCTGATTTTCAGATGTCAGCATTCGTGCAGAAGAATTGGGGTCTGTTCAAAAAGACGGAATTAAAGGTATGTAGGGTTCACCACCCTGTGTGGCAGACATGCGGCAACTTATTCGCTCCTTTTGTATCCCTTTTGGTGTATTCGGGGCGGACCCGTACAAAAACACAGGGATTTTATTGAAAGAAGGTCAGGGCCGGCTACGAACATTGTCGCGTGTGTCTTGGCGGGACCTTACCTCATTGGCCGGCGCTGCTTTACCCGAGGTGCGTGCGACCTTGACTCCCCAACAATTCAGCAAGTATTGGCATGGGGGAAAGCAGCCCTTTGCGGACGTATCTAGCCATCTTGCACGGCAACTCTCGTCGACAATTAACCATGGTAGCATGGCAGGCTCCCTCGTGCTTCCCCTCGAATACAAAAGCACATCACAGTGGCAGCGGCGTGGACCGTAGGCTTTGACCGCACAGTATCGCTTCCGCCGCCTGGAATTCGAGTCTCCCGGACTTGGGCTTGACAGGCTAGTCCCTTCGCTCCCCGGCACCTCAACTGCGGCAGTTGCCTGGGCCATCTGACAAATGGCGCCCGCGGCTAAGCCAACCGGCACGCGCTCACCCTAGCTGTTGGTCACCCGTTGGCCACATGCACGTGTCCACATGCACTCCCACGCTAGCCCATGCCAAGCCCCCCACCCACCCACCCACACTGCACGCGCATGGTGCTGTTCGTCGCCAACCTCCTCTCCCCCTCCAACATCGCCCTGCCCAACATCATCGCCATCACCACCACCACACCAGGGCATCGACAACGAGGGCGTGGGGCTGCAAGCCAAACTCGCAGCGCTGCACTGCCCGGAAGCCGCGGAGGTCTCCGCCACGCTGCAATTCCTCAAGTGCTCGGCTGCAGGCAGCGGCGGGCACCATCACATCAGCAGCCGCGGCAGCTACAGCACCAGCGGCGGCCTCATGAGCCCCAGCCCAGTCACCGCTGGCTTCGCCAGCCCCAGCCCAACCAACGGATTCCTTCCCTCCAGAGCCAGCAGAGGCGCAGGCAGCCCTACTGCGTGCTACAGCCCTAGCGGTGGTGGTTATGGCGGCGGCGGTGGCAGCGCCGGCGGCTACAGTGGTGGTAGCGTAAACACGGCCATCAGCCCCGTCGCGGGCGCGCGAGGCGGCGGGGGCAGCGGAGGCAGTGCCGGCAGCGGCAGCAACTTTAGCCCTAGCTTCTTCCGTCCCAGCGGCGGGGGCTGCAGCGTCAGCGCCATCACGTTCGAAGCTGCTGTGGGCGGGGAGGGGGGAGGAGGTGGAGAGGGGCAGGCGGAGGAGGCGAGTGCGAGGGCGGCGGAGTCGGTGTTGGGGTTGCTGGCGGTGGGTGCCAGTGCGCTGAGTCAGCGGGCGGCGGCGGTGCGGCAGGAGCTCAAGGTACGGTAGAGGCGACGGAGCCCCGGGGTGGTTGGTGGGGGGCTTGTGGGGAGGGAGATGTGGATTGCGGAGTGTGAGGCAGACAGCTTGGAACGGGCGCGCGGCACAAACCAGCAGTAGTTCTGGGTGTACGGGGTAGCAGCTGCCCCTGCCCCCAGCAGCTGCTGTTGGGTCATGTTGCCGTGTACCTGACTCCTGCCAGGCGCATCCCGTCATCCCATCCGTGCGTGTGCATGTGTGCTCCTCACTCAACCTTTACTGGGGTCACTCGCGGGTGGTGCTGCTGGTGGTAGCGGCGGTGGTGCTGCTGCTGCTGCTGGTGGCGGTGGTGGTGGTGGTGCTGGTGGTAGTAGAAGTAATAGTGTGTCGCTGCTGTTGCTGCTGTTGCTCTGCTGCCGCTGCTGCAGGCCTACTCCGCGGGGGACAGCAGCCCGGGGGGCGGCGCGGCGGATGAGGTGGCGGGGCGGCTGGAGGGGGTGGCGGCGGCGGCAGCGGAGGCGGGGAAGGTTCGAGAGGCGCTGCTGCTGTGCCTGCACGCGCACACGCTCAGGGTAGGTGTTTTGTGCGGCATGACGGAGGCGGCAGGGTTGTGGGGGGGCTTGTGGAGGGTGTGTGTGGAGATACCCGGATGCGGCGTGTGGAGATGCGGTACCGCTAGACTGCCCCCGTACCGGGCACCGTACCCCTCCATGCTGCCATTCATACCCGCCATGCAAGCCCCTCCTTCCCTTCCCCACCTCCTCTTCCCCACCTCCTCCCCTTCCTCACCTCCTCTTCCCCTCCAGAGCTCCGCCCTAGGTCCCGACTCGCCCGAGGCCGCCCACTGCCTGGTTCGTGTGGCGCACGTGCTCACCATGCTGGGCCACCTGGCGCAGGCGGAGCTGCTGGCCAAGTTCGCAGCGCACAAGATGGCGCAGGTGGGACGGCGGGGAAGGGGGTTGAAGTAAGAAACTAAAGAAAGGAGGGGAGGTCAGGAGAGAGATACCGACCCGTGGGGTGGGGTAAGTGGGGTGTGGGGGAAAGAAGTGATGGGATGGGGTGGGTGGGGTAAGGATGAGCTAGCCTGAGGCGGCGCCACCTCGGGCTCTTTCTGGGGGTACCTGAACCACGTGGCATGTGGGATCCAGCATGGGTAGCGAGCCATGTGGTTGCGGACCCGGGCGGGGTCCCACCCAGGAGGGGTGGGGGTTGCGGGCAGGAGTGGTGGCTGCAAGGTGCTGCTGGAACCGGGTGGTGGTTTCAGTTCTCAAACAAGTCGCCTGACAACAGTACAGGGTACAGGGCTGAGCACCATACACCGTAACACTGATGGCTAAAGGAAGCCAGTGCTTTCCACCACCTCTCAACCCGCATACACTGCTGCCCCGCTGTGCTCACATACCCACCGGTTGTACGATGGCCCCATGCGGCCTTGCGCCCCGCACCGCTGCTGCTCCCGCTGCTTTCGCCGCTGCTGCCGTGCCTTGCCGTACAGGGTTACGGGCTGTCCCACCGCGCCCCAGCGGAGGGGCTGCTGCTGTGCGGGGAGGTGCTGGGGCTGCAGGGCCGGTTCGAGGAGGCGCGGGCGCACCTCAGGTGGGGGGTCAAAGACCATACCATACCATAGGAAGCCACAAGGAGGGGGGGGGATAAGGGAAGGAAACCCAATGCGTTGAATGAGAATGGCAAACACGATGACAACTCCCATCAGAATGACTCTCCCTCCCTTACCCCCGTTGTCATCGTGTTTGCCATTCTTATTCAACGCAATGGGTTTCCTTCCCTTACCCTCCTTGATGGGAGTTGCAGAGGCAGAGGGCCACGTCTGGTGGGGGTTCAGGGGGCCGGGAAGGGCACGTCAGGGGTAACTAGTGGCAGGCTGGGGGCAAGCATGAGCAGGATAATCCTCATTCCCGGTATACCGGTAAGTAAAGGAAGTAGGTCCCCTAATTCCGGGCACTCTCTCGCCCACTTTGTCGCCCTCGCCCCTTTCCGCGCACTTTCCCCCGCCCTCGCCCCCTGTTGCTCCCGCCCCGCCAGATGCGCGCTCGAGCTGCACATCAGTGCGGTGGGACGGCAGACGGCGGAGACCGCTGACGTGTTCATGCGGCTAGGTGCGCATGGAGGGGAGAGAGGCGGGGCCCATGGTAGCGATGAGCGGCCGACCTTGCAACCGATCCACCTCCCTCCCTCTTCGTCTGCCACATGCGCGTGCGCTGTTGCCACCGACCTTCTCTGTTGCCGCATCAGTTCCCCCGCCTCTTTAACACTTCTCCCCAACCACCCTCTTCCTCCCCTCCATCACCCGGCCAGGCCTCTCCCTCCTCACCTACACTCCGCATTACCCCCCTCCCCGCCTGCCATCCACCCCTCCCCCAAATTCCACCCTTGGAGCTCCGTTGCTTCCCTTCCAATTATTTGTCACTCAAATCCCGCCACTCCCAACCCCGCCAGCCGAGCTACACCAGCAGCGGCGGCTGTACGATGAGGCCGCTCGGCTGTTTCGGCAGGCCTTCAATACACGCAAACGAGTGCTGGGAAACCACAACGCGGAGACGTTGGCAGCGCTGGAGGCGCTAGCAGGTGGGGGCGGAGCAGGACAGGACAGGACGCGGGAGGGGCTGCGGCCCTTAGGATCAACCTTAGGGCCTTGCGTTGTGGCTTAATTAGGAAACTGCACTCCTTTCCCTTCCACTCCTTCCGTACAGGCGTTATGTACGAAAACAAGCAGTACGTGCAGGCAGAGCACATGTACAACCAGCTGCTGCAAATGACGGCGGACATGCATGGCGGCGGCAACGCAGTGACCCCTGGGTCAGTGACGGCGTTGAAGCAGCTAGCGGCGGTCCAAGCGGCGGACGGACGCGTGTGGGAGGCGGAGGCCACGTTAAAACGGGCGCAGGCAGCAGCTGTCAAGGTATGCATGCGGGTTCTCATCGGTCCACACACAACCTGTGTTGTCTTCCTTTAGCTTTGGGTGCTGACGACGTGAGTATCCCGGCGCTCCACGTTCCAACACTTTCCATCCCTTCCCTTCAAAGCCCACGTTCAAAGCCCATGTTCCTTTCATGCTTTTCCCATGGTCTCTCCATGCTCCTCCCTTGTAGTTGTACGGCGCGGACCACCCGGTACCGCATGGCCTCAATCTGGACCTAGCTCGCCTGCTGATCACACGCAAGGACGCGGGGGAGGTGCACCTGCGGGCAGCTGAGCAGCTGCTGCGATCCACGCTGCGACCCACAACCCGCGTGGCTGCAGGGGCGGCGGGGCACATGGGGATGCACGGAGGAGGCGCCGGCGGCGGTGGGGGATTGCATGGCATGGGGCATGGACGGGAGGTTTCACATAGTACCTCCCAGCTGGGGATACCCCTGGGTGGCGGCGTGGGAGGGGCGGGGGTGCAGCAGGGGGCGTTGGTGGCTGGGTTAAGAGCGACAAGTGGTTTGGGTGGCGGGGGAGGAGGTGGGAGTGCGGGGGCGGGAGGGGGAGGGAGCGCACTGGACACGGCAGCGATGGTGGGAGCGAATGCGCAGGCGTTGCTTGCGGAGCTGGTAACACGGCGAGGGCGGCATGAGGAGGCAGAGCGACTGTACACGCAGGTAATGAAAGGGGGTTGGCGGCGAAATGGTGACGGGGGCGGGTGGGTCCGGGGGCGGGTGGGTTTCCTGGCCCAGGGATCTGCTTCGCTCGGGCTGCTACCAAGACAAGCGGAAAAGGAGGGGCCGCATGTGGCATCCCCTGGCTCCACCCGCGTGTGCATGCTCCCTCACACGGCCCCCTGCCTGCTCGCTCCCTGCCCGCCAACCCATCGCAAAACACCATGGCAACAAGCACCACCACCACCACCCCTCCTATCCCCGCACCCTCTCTCCCTTCCGCTCGTGTCATGCCGTACAGGCTCTGGACGCCTACACGCGGCACTACGGCACCGACCACCCCACCACCGCCCGCTGCATGTGCGATCTGGCCGCTGTCATGGCACGGAGGGGGCGAACAAGCCAGGGGGAACACATGGCACGCAGGGCGCTGGCTGCGGCCACTGCGGCTCATGGGGAGGGGCACCCAGCTGTGGCGGCATGCTGGGTGGCGCTGGGAGGTGAGGGTGCGAGAGGGGGGACGGGGGGGGAGCATGGGGAAGAGTGCGTACAGCGATGTTGGTTGACTTATTGTTCTCTTTCAGTCCTCGAGCAGCTGTTAGCTTTTTATCGCTGAGTAGCACCTTCAACGCGAAGCATATCTCTGGGGTCACGGCAACATCATTGACCCCTTTTTACATTTATCTATTTCACAAAATATAATATGAAAAGAAAAAAAAGGAATCGTTCCTCCCCTATACTGCAGATAATTTAATAGCCAAGGGCGACAACTTTGAGGCGCACTCCGTGTACCGTACGGCTTATGACATCATAGCAACCGCCAACGGTCAGGAAGACGAGGAGGCATTGCGTGTGGATCGTCTCATATCGCAACTGGACCAGGAGCTTGGTTGGGGTCAGCCGGAGGAAGGAAATGAGGGGTGAGAGCTTACAAGTCTTCGGGCTGGGGGCCGTGGGAAGGAGAGGCCAGGTGCCTAGGTGTGGGACTGACATTGTGAATGAACAGGGCTAGGACGGGACTTTGGAGGGCAGGATGGGTACCGGTATGCGTGTATACGTTGTGTGTGTTGTTCTGTTTCGGGAATTGCAGCTTGGCCCCAGCCGTGCAGGGCTGACGTTTTCGGGTTCGAGACGCGCGTGCGGGTGGCTTTTGTACTGTTGCCTTGCCCGGTCTGTTCGGGCTCGGGAGGGTAGCTGCGCGACTCCCGGGGAGGGCAACCTCTTTCTTTAGTCCGCAAAGCTGACTGATGACAGGCAGTTGTGCCGTATTTCCGGTGTCATGGCTTGGCCACTGGCCTCTTTGTTGTTCGCCGTTACAACTTGACCCTGCCTCCTACATGTTACATAAACAATGCGAACTGTTTTATGAGTGGTACGTACCTTGACTTGGCGGTGAAGTAGTATGAGGTGTGTGGAGTAAGATGTACGTCGGTGTGGATTAAACGAATGAAGGTCCTGGGCGAATGTGTAGCAAGGGCAGGGCCTGGTTCGGGTTTTATCTCGGTTCGCTTATTTGGACGAACGCTTATGGCTTATGGTGCAATCCGAAAGCACCGCGCAATCTCTGTACGGCGCATGCCGTCGTACAGCGACGTACACCTGTACTGCAGATGATTTACGCTTCCATGTACGGAATGCTGGGCATGTAGCTGCACCACAAGCCGCTGCTATTGAATAATCATATGAGGTTATGAGGTTTTATGACCGCGTCATTTCACCTGGCCACGTCTATCGCGTTGATGAATCGTTGCCTTGAATTTGTTCGCTTCTAGTCATTTTCGCGGCATCAATGCTTGCTGCTCAAAGCAACGCAGATTGCAAATGGTAGTTGGAGCGCGGAGGACTTCCGTGAGCCTTGCCGTCTGTTGCTGCTCAGCCTCCACGCGCAGGAAGGTGCTTGGGCGGCGGTGACTTAGGGTTTGGGCTTAGGTTTGTCTTAGGGCTCTTTCTCGGTTCTGCTGGGCTCCCGCTCTTCGTCGTGTGCTTGCTAGCACGTATTCATCCCGCTTTGGGTTCTCAGTGGTGAGGAAGATCGTTGGGCACATGCCTAGGGTGATTACGGAGGCGCCGGTGGCATGATTCAGGTATGGGATCGGTGATATGGCCAGTGGGCGTGGTGAGCAAGGGGCATATGGACGTTTTAAGTATATGACCCGTGGGTCAGAAGCAATAACGAAACAACACACCGAACAAAATATGCCCATTGCAAACGCGGCGTGGCAAGCCGTATCTTCACAGCGCGGTTAGGCTTGTGAAGCTCGTCTTTCTCCCCTGTTTGGAGAGGCATGTTTGGTGCGCTTTTCGCGCCATTTGTACGGACGTGGGGCATGGGTACAACGCATGGGTGCAGCGTATGGAGGTGGGCTGCACAGTCTGGTTGTGACAATGCCCTTTGCAAGAGGTATTTCACCGTGGGTGTGTGTTCGTGAACGAATCAGCAACGAATGTTTGAACACATTGTTATGTCATGTCGCACGGCTTCGCCTGTGCGTGTCGCTTGTTGTCATGTGTGTGCTCTACGTGGGAGCATTGTACGATTACATCATCCTCCTTCATAGCATGTACGGCATACGGGGTTGTTTGCCCGACTCTTTGAATGCTAAGAGTCGTGGAGGCCGTATGCATGGAAACACGTGAATGGGCTCGTTTGGTTTTATGAATGCGCGCAGTGGTTGCCTGTTTAAGTGCCTCACTCCCTCACAGGGACATGGCCTTAGCTAGGGCCAACGTGCCGGTTCCCATGTAGGTCGCTGCATTGGGTTGCGCTCTCACGTCTTAAGCTCGATCAACTATTCCGTGCCAAGAGTGAGTCGGGGAGGCGTGTGTCAGCGTAAGGATGGCGGCCTGCGCCAGCGTTTGGTTTGCTAAGCCTGGTACTGTTAGGGTGGTTGGTGTACTAAGGGGCATTGTACGGGTGAAGAGCCTGAGTCGGGGTTCCCCACCCTGAGAATGAGTGATAGAAATGAGGCGAGTCCCATGAGTGTGGAAATCACCCCAGGACTGCGTGATCTAGGTAGGTACGGTTGCCAGAGGGAGGTCAGGGGCGACAGCTATGTCGAAAGTTATGAAGAAGCCTTGTGGCTATTCCGATGGCATGACGAGCGGCTTGTCGTTATCCCGCAAAACTGTTGGTTACACGGCTTAGGAGCCAACCACTCGCATGGAGAGCCCCTTTGTAGCTGTACGACAGCTTTGGTTTCATTTGTGTGTGGATGCCGTACGGCCACGGTGGGAGTGTTTCCAGAGCTTCTGTGTTTGCCCTCCTATCTGGGCGTGCACGCTGGCTCTTAATGTGTGCCGTGCTTACTGACTAACACCAGCAGCAGAGATTCGTTGAAGCTACTAGCTTGGCGCATGTGTGTGCGCGTATTAGCAGGGGCTTGACCTCTTATGAGTCCTCGGCGCAATATTGCTTGCTTGCCTGTTTCCCGCATGTGTGGTGTGTGCACGCGTGCATGGGGGTAGGTTTCCTGTTTGCCATAAGCTGTGACCTTCATCAAGCTGTCCAAATTACACTGTTCCAGCCGTGTTTTTGGCTCGGTTGGCTTGGCGTTTACGTTTGTTCGGTACCTTATTCCACCTCTTGGGTGTCTTGGTGTGTTCCTGTGTGGGAGTGCAAAAGGGTGGAGTTAGGTGAACCCTAGAGCAAACACGACGGGATGGTGTGTGCCTTTTTCTCACGGCGGTCGTATCAGCTGCTCGCTTTACTATAGGCATCTGCCGAGCAGAGTTGTCGCTGTCACCTATTCAGCATGAAGTTTGCATCTAACGAATGGCAATGGGGCTCAAGGGAACGTCCGATCTTCTACCCGTACTCTGCGCCATAGAATGGCATGGAATCCGTTTATCAATGGAAGGGCGTGATGTGCCTTTGGCCTGATAGCATAAGAACGACGTGGATCATGTAGTAACGTTGCGTTTGGGGGGTCCCGGGTGCTAGCTGTTAGACGGCGGGGCACGGGTTTGCACTGGGTGGTTCAAGAGCCAGGACACCTGCTAGCATTGTATGCTACTAGCATTATTCATTAAGCAGCTTGCCGTGAGCTGGTTAGATAACCTCAGTGCTGGGCCTTTTATAGACGGTGTCGGGGTTGCGGGACTGGTACTGTCCTGACTGCTGCGACCCATTGGCCATAGCAAGCTGCCCATATGCAAGCCGCAGGCTTACAGCAAGACGGTAACTTTGTAAACACATAGCATGCGGTCTTATTTACGGCGAAGCATTCCGTCGTGTTTGCCGACGGCCCTTGTGCACTGGCAATGGGCGACGACGAGACCCCGACACAACTTCCTTCTCCGATTGCGTAACGAAGTTATGCCAGGAGGAAATGTATTGTAACCTAACCTTGCCAGAACCCGAGAAAACTATCCTTCAGTAATCGTGTCACGCCCTTGTTGTGTCACCTGCGTAACCTGATCAAATTTGCTTGGTCTGTGCGGTTACGCCTCTTAGCATATAATATTACATCATGAATAGCATAGTAGTTTCTGCAGCCTGAAACTTGTTATCACAAAGCTACATCGATTACTCGATAAACAACGGTCTACGCAACGGCGCCGCTGTACTCTACAGGAACCACAACTTCTCCTTGTCATATACACTGGAAATGCACTTACATACTATTCGCTTTAACTATCTCCTCCTGCCGACGAATTGGCTTACTGCTTAGTGCCTTGGCACGTTGCCAGACTTCAACAGGTCCTGGTCGCAACCACTATATACGTATACACGTCTTTTACTTGGCTCAACACATTGAGCCAAGTAGGGCAGCTAACGCCAGTAGGGCAGCTGGTTGCTTTGCACATCGCACCTTCCATCACTTAGAGCTCTGGTCATCCCAAGCTCAATACAGATGGAGCAAGTACGTTCGGGAAGCGACGAAGAACGCATCGGTGCCCTGTTTTCCGTCATGCCTGAGTTCAGCGTCATTGCAAATGCAGGCGCAACAGTTACAGCTTTCGGGTTCCCAGGCGTCTTCAAGTTGTGCTAGTGGTTCTACTGAGCCACCGCGATGGAGCCCTTCCAGCACTAGCGACGCGTCAAGCTGCGCCTGCACACCTGGCGACAACATAACCATCGAGCAGGTGAACTACGTACGGAGGCACCTCGAGGCCGGGTTTCAAGCAGATGACGCTACAATTGTTCGGTTCATACGCGCTACTGGCGGCAACCTCTCTTTGGTGAGTTTGCTACCCCGCCCGTTTGCTGTCCTGCACCATGTACAGCTTGGCGCGTTGGCCCTGGCCTTAGCATCCACGCTTTCCCTGACTCCTCCTCTGCGCAGTCTATCAAGCGCCTCAACACAACCCTTGCTTGGCGGGCACAATTTAAGCCCGAACAAGTCGTCTGCCGTGCCTGCGTACGGGAACCCAGGTACGATGCTGCACGACACGGCACGAAGCAAGCATAACTTCTTTCGCCTGTTTCCTGCATTCCACACACACTGCCTTTTTTGTCGCATGCGCACCAGTGCGCATTTCAGGTTTTTGTTGAACCCACCTGACTCTTCCCCCCTCGCTCTTTGTCGCAGGTCCCACTACATGCACCTGGTGGGGTACTGCACGCGTGGCCGACCCATCATCTACAGCTGCCTGGAGAACGCGCGCAACCGGGTGTTTGAGGACAACCGTGACCACATGATCCAGACCTTTGAGTGGGTAAGCGACGCAACGCAACATAAGCATCAGCACGCCTCACAATGCACGCCTCAGGGCAGATGTCGCGGTGGCAGGGGTCATGCAGAGGGGATGTGAGCAGGTGGACAGGGCCCTCATTCAGCGGACACATGCCGGTTAGCATCTGTTGCTGACCTCGTGGTTGCCGATGTTGCTGGGTGCAGGCGATCAAGTGCATGCCCCCCGGCGTGGATCAGTGGATCTGGGTGTGCGACTTCAAGGGATTCGGAATGGCCGACGTCAACCCCAAGCTTGCCAAGGTAAGATGCTTTGTCAGGTCACAGCCTTTGTCAGGAGTTTATCCATGAAATCAGGAGGGCGGGGAATACGAGGCGAGGCGTTTGCGGTCTCTGCCACGACGTCCTGTGCAGATTGGCGGTACATTGCTTACTAACACGCTCTTGTGCGACATCCGCATTATGTCACTGCCAACAGCCGCAACGACTGCTAACCCAATGGCATCCCATTATGGACTTGTACCTTTCTCCTCCTTGCCTCTTTCCTCTGTTGCCTAGCTCGCCACGCACATCCGCTCGTAACCTCTCTGCCCTGTCCGACCTTTTAACGCCTCTGTCCTTTCCGGGCTCCAACCCCTCCGTCCTTTCAAAAACCCCGCAGCTCTTCCTGGACATCAGCGCCGAGCACTACCCCGAGCGGCTGGGGCTCTTCCTGGTGGTGGACGCACCTGCGCTGTTTGGGCTGCTGTGGAAGGCCATCTCGGCGTTTGTGGACCCCAAGACCTACAAGAAGATTAGGTGAGTGTGCTGCGCTGTGCGCTTGCGCTTGCGTGAATGGGATCGCGCTTCATGGCAATGAATGTATTATGGGCAGGGAGCAAGGGACTGGGAAGGACATGGATGGTTGGTACCTAGATTGCACGCCAGTTTGCATTCATGTCGGTCAAGATACTGGTGTGGTGGTTCGTCTGCGGGCATGCTCGGTTAACACGCTCGCTCACGTCTTGAATGTCTCTTAACTACGCTTGTCCCTCCACTCCGCTTCCTACCACTCCCAGGTTCCTGCCGTTTGACGCCGGCAAGCCGGAGAAGCTGGCCAAGAGCTCTCTGAAGGCGGAGATGGACATGCACTTTGACACCGTCACCACCACCTGGCTGCTGCGGGAGATGGCGGAAAACCGCGACAAGGCCAAGGTGCGCGCGCGGGTAGTGGCCTAGGTTTCTGGACATGCGGCGGATTGTGGGCAGGGAAGGGAGAGCAGGGAGAGGGCACTGGGCACTGGGAAAGGGCCCTGGACCGGGCGCTCAGCACAGCCATGTAGCGGCCGTCCTCGTATGACCCGATTGCGTCTCTACTGCGCACGCACCATTCCACCTTGCTCACAGCGCCTTATTCGCCGCTGTTACCGTGCCCCAGGTGGCTCGCAAGGTGTACAACATGTTCAGCATGTACGAGCGGGCGATGGACGGCGAGCTCTGCGACCACGGACACGACGACCACAAGCGCTGCCACCACGGACACCTAACAGCCTCCGTGTCCGCAGCAGCAGCAGCCACGAAGGGTGCACAACAGGTTGGGGCTGAGAGCGGTGTCAACGCCAGCAGCAGCGGCGGGGGTGCGGCTCGCGAGGTGCATGTGCACGCAACAGCGCCTGGGGTCACCGCCGCAGCTGCAGTGGCGGCGGTGGCGACAGAGCAGCATAACCTGCTGGGTACGCCGGCGCTGCTGCATTCGTTCAACACGAGACCGGAGCTGCTGCTGCCGCAGGCGACGGCTACTGCTTGAAAACTGTAGAGGGCTGCTGAGGGGAAGGGAATAAGGGGTCGGGATAGGGATGGGTCGTATATAGCTGGTAGGGCTGGATGGTGCAGGCGGGGGCGGTCGCGGAGACGTTTGCCGAGACGTTAGTAGACGGAAACGTGAGTGAAGTAAGACAAAGCAAGCAATGCTTCCTCCCTTCGTTTTGTGGCTTGACTGGCAAGGTATTTTCCATGTGAGCTGTTTGAGTTCCGTGCAGGCTGCATGGGGCAGGGGAAGAGAGTAGGGGTTGCTTTAGAGGATTTGCATGCTGGAGGGATGGGCAGGCAACAACAGCACAACACTTACACTCCTAGAGGACTTGGCGACTAGGGTTTCGGTTTCCGGCGACTAGGGATTCGGCTTCTGGTGATCAACTTTCTGTCAGCAGCTGCTTGCAAACGCGTTGCACGGTGTGGGCCTGGTCGTCAGTAGCGTGCACTAGCTGCATGCGTTTTGCCTGTTGTGTTGTCACAGTGCGCTCTGTCGTGCGTTGCTTGGAGTTACTATAAACATTTATATACTGGTTGGGTTATGAGTTGGTGGGGCTGTAGTGTCCCCCACCGAAGGGTGGCTTTACCAGCCGCTTGTGATAAGATGCGCTTGCATGGTGGCTCTGGGGGCGTTCGCTTGCGTTACATGCGGGTAACAGTGCATCATGTTGTCGTGATTTACCTGGTCATGAGCACAATGAGTGCATCTTGCTTGTCTAACGACTTTTATAGCTTTTGGTTAAAAACATGATGGGTTTATGCTGTAGGGCCCGTGCGGCAAAGCTTCTTGCGTCTCTCCAAAGCGGCCAGTGTGAAGTATAATGCTGTGTTTGCCTACGCCTGGCCCGATTGCCGCTCGGGGGATGTTAGGGGGAAATCCCGTCTTAAGGAACAACCCGGCGATTGCGCGTGTAGGGGGCTGCTTAATGAGATTCCTGAGAGTATTCGGAGCCTGAGGCTCACCTTGTTTTCGTTCGTGCCATCTGCTGTATTTTGCGACACCGCGGTGTCCACGCATGGTAGTATACGTGCAAAGCCTTGTGTCTTTACTCTTGGCTGTGGACTTCCTTAACTGTTGGTTATTTTTCCTTCTCACCGCATACTCCTTACTCTGTGTTTGTATCCCAACATCTATACGAACTGTCACTCTGCGTTAGGACGCAGCCATCCTTGTAACCTGTACACTGCTTACCCTCGAAATTTTGAGATACCGGTAGGGGCGCTAGCCAACTAACACGTACAGGATGGCTAGAACCGGTATACTGGAGGTGGACATCCGACCTGGTACAGAAGCACAAACTGACCCATGGCGCCATGAGCCGGTATCCCTGCTGCTAAGTTCCTGTGGTCCATCCCAACGAGATCCCAACCACTCGACTAGCGGTTTGAGCCACGTACGAGGACAGCATAGTATTTAAGCAGCAACCAGGGGCAACAACTGGGTTTTAGCGATGCTGGGGCCAAGCGGCCAGGTGTCGTGGCGTGGCATGGTTCATAGGCCATAGTGCGGCTGCCCACGTGATTCCGTTATCCATGGGTAGGGCCGACCCCTCGGCGCGCAAGGACCCTTCCTTAGGAACTCCTATGCTCCTGGCCGCTTCACGGCTTCCACACAAGGGCTGGAGGTGCTGGGAAAATGGAGGGAAGGGCCCACAGACGACTCTGGCTAGTACAGGAGGCTGGCCAGTATATCATACCAGGCATATAAGTTGTGGGGAGCTCGTGCGGGAACCCGCGAGCCGCATGTACGGAACCGCGGGAACGTGATATCCTAATGGAAGGCTGGAGGAATACTACCGATACAATGCGCCATTGTTATATAATTAAATGTTTGTATTGCGGTGCTCCAAGTGTGCTTAGACCACTCCGTCATACAATTTTTGGACAGAGACCGCTTACTTGCGTCTGTCGAGGTTCCGACCATTTACACTCGCAGTTGTCAAGTGTTACTAAAATCCAGTATAATCACATTATGATGTCACGTAAGCGCGTCGATGGCAGTGTTTTATTCATATGACTTAGACTAAAATTAGTTGGCATGGAGTTGACCAGTGGCGTCCGATAGTGCAAATGGACTGCCGACTTGGCTCCAAGCTTATTTTTAATTAGACACTCTATGGCTCACCTTGGAGTTTAGCTGAAGGTGCGGAGGAGCCAAAGACTATCATTCCTTAAAGTTTGCTCCATTAACAGCTTCCGACGTACTTGCAATCCACCTCCAGTTTCCGGCATGTGCACAGAACTGCAACGTACCAAGCGCACAAATGTCGTTATACGTGCTAGGCCCGTATCTACTGTATGGGTGTCATTGAGGTTTTGTGCTTGCTCCGTTCCTGTTGACACTGTTTGGCGTCGGGAACCAACCTTTTGCCTTTCTGACGTTTCCCGACCATGGCCCCTTGCGACACGTGCGTAGGCATTTCCTGGCAACGGCTCCAGGCGCTGAAAAGCTTCACCAGAGGCGAAGAATGGCAAAAAGCAAACAGGCAAACCACCTCAGACGGCTGCGGGAGACCGGCCGCTGTAGCAACAACAGCGGCAGTAGCAGCCGCAGCAGCGATAGCCGCACGTGCTCTGTAGGCCGCTTGCCAGCCGCAATTCGGAGCTGCATGCAGCGGCTGCCAGCAGCGGCAGACGTGCTGCTTTCCTGCCGCGAAGGCCGTCTTGAAACGTCTTCTTTGCCGAGAGCGGCAGCTGCCGTGGACGGACTTCTTCAAGAAACCCAACGCTTTGCGTCGTCGCTGCCAACGGGAGCTGAAGGCAGCCGCGATACCTCATCACCAGCAGCTTTAGCCGCAGCGGAGATCCTGGCCGATGAGCCCTTTCGCGTGGCGCTGCTGCGGCTGGTGGCAGCGGGGCTGCGGCTGGCACCGGAGGAGCTGTCTTTTCCGTACAACGAGGGCTCAGAGCATGCTAACCGACCCGCGTTCGCCCTTACAGTGGCCATATGCTGCGTGTCGCGCCTCATGCAGGCCTCCTCAGGAATCGAAGGGCCGCTACCCCCCCACGTGCTGGACTTTGGCCTCAAGCTGCTGCGCATGCAGAGCCTGCAGGCGCTCAGCCGCCAGATGGCGGAGGTGGCGGCGAGCCTGCCGCAGCTCGACGACTACCGGTACACTCTGACTACCCAAGAGGAGCAGCCGCAACAGCAGCAGCCGCAGCAACCGCGCTTAAGACTGCCGTGGGACAAGGATGTAGTTGCGGTCACGCATGCCCTGTTCTTTGCCACTACCGCCATCGGTTTCATGCATGCCACTGTGACCATGTTAATAGCTTGTACCGGGGTGCAGCAGCAGCGGCTGCCGTCATCACCATCACAACTACAGCAACAGCTCTACCGCTCCGAGCTAGCGGCCGCCCTGCGGGACAGCTGCGTGATGGAGCACGCGGCCAGGCTGCTGCTGCAGGTTGGGATGATGGTGGGGCCGACGCAACCAGATGAGATTCACGCTGGTCAGCGTGCGATGCTGATGGATGTTGCCAGCCAGTTCAACGCAACATACATGAGTATCAGCCATGTCTACTCTGGCATTACGGATGAAGGGGTTTCCTCCTCCAGGTCCTTTGAGACCGACCCCGCCGACTTCGCTGTTGCAGCCGGCCAGCTCCGTGAGGTGCTAACCGGCCGCTGCGCCCAGCACGCGGTGCTGCTACACGGCCTGGCGGCGCTGAGTACGGCGGACGGGGGGTCCTTTTACGGCCTGCCGACGTGGCCGATGGAGAGCCTGCCTGCGGAGTTTGACGTCCACACAATCGCCTGTACCGCAAACCTCCCTACCGGAAAGGTTGAACCCTTCCTTGCCGTACTTGCCGCGCTTGACCCCACAATTCGAGTAACGCCTCCGGGCAGGCGTGCAACCAGGATGATAGCGCTGCGGATTGCACGGCTGGCGGTGGTTTCGGCGCAGGAGTGGCAGGGCGTTTGTGCAGCGGCGGCGGATCTACACGGCACCCCGGAAGCCGCGGCCGTCCTTGCTCATGCGGTGTCTTCCATGCCGCTTAATGCAATCCTGGCAGGCACTGACGCGAGAGACGTAGCCATCCTAGCAATGGCTCGTGCACGGCAGCTCATGCGGGACCCACCAGAGGGATTGCGTGCTGCGGAGGCGTCGTCCGCTGCCGCTTGGGTGGCGGAGGCGGCGGAGTGGTGGCAGCTGGTAGCGGAGGCGATGCGGCATGTCCTGCCTCTGGCGAATGAGGAGCAGGTGATGAAGTTGGCCAAGCAGGTTTCTGAGCAGCTGCAGGTTGGAGCGGAGGCGAAGTCAATTCGACTGAACACGGAAGGTAGGCCTTGCGGTGGGAATAGTGGGCGAGGGACCGCGGCTTAAAACCTGATATGTACGCATTATGCGGAGGAGAGCGCCCCGTGTTTGGAATGGCTGCATGTGTTTGCGGCTGCACGCGCCTAAAGTATACCTTCAAGCAGCAAACCAGAGACTGCTTTGCATGTTTGCCTGCTCTTTTGATTGACTGTTCGCCTGGTACCAGCCCTTGGTGCTCAGCAAGTGTCTACAGTGGATGTCCTTATCTCTCACGCCCACACTCCTGCAGGTGCGCTGTCGGGTGGGCTGCTGCCCTGCCTGGAGCGCCTGATGCGCCGGGCTGGAGTCAACAATGGTGGGCCCGAGGCAGCCATGGTGCGTGGGCTGCTGACGCAGGACGCCGTCCACACTCGCCTCGCATCCGCCGTCGTCAACGGCGAGCCTCGCCAGGCTGCTGCGCTGGTGGCCACCATGGGCAAGATACTGCGGCAGATGGACCCACGGGTCGCTGTCGAAGCGCTAGGGACGGCAGACAGCTCGCATCAGCCTGTCCAGCACTGCATCGGTTACTTCTTGGCCATCGCCGAGGAGGACCTGGGTGGTGAAGTCGGCGAGACCGCTTGGGCCATCGCGGTGAAGAGACGCGGCTGCAAGGATACGGCTGCTGGGCCAGGAAGAGCAGTAACAGCAGAGGACCCAGCGACTCGCTTGTCACAACTTGCGCAGCTGGTCTCATGTGTGTTATGGGAATGGGCGCCGCAGCTGTCACGGCTGACATACCACGCTGTGCAGCTGGCGAATGCTGGCAGTCTTGAGTGGGTGAGTGCTGGCCACCGCCTCATGGCTCGGATGTTACAGTGGCTGCCGCTCCTTGCGTGGGTGTGCGGAAGCGCAAGCAGCACGTGCGGCGGCGATGGTGGCGGCTGCTCCATGAGCGGAGGCAGCAGCGAGTGGCGGCGGCTGTTGCTAACGGAGTTGGATGCCGTACCGCTGCTGGGCTCCGTACTGCAGCTGTACGTGAGCACGCTGCAAGGTGGACGCGGCACGGCGGACGTACAGCCTCTGCCGGCTGATGAGCTGGTTGGCACCTGCTGCATTGTTGCGGCTGCATGCCCGCAGCAGGTGCGGCAGGCGGCAGTGGAGGGCTCCTGGCGCCCGGAGCTGCTGCGCGCGCTGGTACGGGTGCTGCGGGCTGGACAGCAACCCAGCGAGGATGGCGGTGGAGGCCCAGGTGATGGCAGCAGCCATGGCGGCAGAGGCGGCTGGGACCCAGTTTACAATGCGGCGGAGCTCCTTGCGGCGCAGTTGGAGGAGTGGCGGGACGCTGGTGAGGGAGGCCATGCTGTTGTTGACGAGGACAGTGGCATGCGTTTATTCCAGGCGGTGCTCCCCCTAATATCGGCGGAGTTAAAGGCACTGGCGGCGGCCCTGGTAACGCCGGTGGAGCTGCGGCGGCGGGGGCTGCTGCGGGGCTGCGGCAACCCGCACTGCAGCAACCTGGCTGGGGACAGCGAGGCGGAGGTGAAGCTGAAAGCCTGCGGGCGGTGCGGGCAGGTGGGGTACTGCTGCCGGGAGTGCCAGGTGGCGCACTGGCGGGCGGGGCACAAGGAGGCGTGCGGGCGGGTGGGTTAGAAAGGCCGAGCACGGCTTGGGGGATAGATGAATGAATGAATAACCGTTATAATGGTTCCCTAAAAGGGAACACGGGCGGTGGATTGGCTAATATCTGGAGCAGAGTAGTTGTACGATAGGAACCACCAAGGCTTGCTGGTCACTTGGCGACGCTTTTGCCGGCAGCCACCTCTGTCAGCTTGCTTGCTGAGGAAGGGGAGGATGCCCCGATGGGAAGGTGCAGGTTGGGGGAAAAGCGTGATTGGCAAGGCGATAGCCTGAGCGATGATAGTCTCAAGGGGTGGAAGGATGGTTCGTGAACAGCGTTCCATGCTTGCAGGGGTGCCCTGTGCCGATGTTTTGGGTGGATGCAGGGCACCATGGGTAGATGCAGGCATGCGGGAGTGTGAGCTGAGAACCCGCAGGACAGAACTTAGGCGTTAGGAGGCAAAACAGGTTCACCCCAACCACGTTGTAGGTGTTCCGGCCAGGGCTGGGTTGAGATTATGCTGCCATTGTTTGTTTTCGGGATCACGCGAGGGTGTCCTGGGTAGTTTATGGGGTGCTAGGCTGCACATGAGCCTGCAACGGAATGCATGGCAAAGTATCCAGACTGGGCAGGCGGCGTGGTGCAGTCACGGGGGAGCTGTAAGGCCAGGGCGTGAAGGTCGACGGCGTCATCATGCTGTGCCATGCATGCGCTGTTGACATTAGGTTTGGGAACAGGAGCGACATTGCGCTGCTGCTTGTGCACAGCAGCAGGTGGAGGGTGAGATACGGTGGCGGCGGCAAGGGGCGCAGCCGGACCAGCCTGCAGCGGTGCAGCCCACCTACGGTACATGCCAGTCCCAGTCTACCAGGCAAACCCCCTCCGCCCACGCCAGCTTAAGCTGGCGTTCGAGGAGATTGTGTTGCACCTTGCATGGTCGCATGGCCAACGCGGCAACTGCGCTGGGAAGAATCCTGACCGACAGCGCCCGCTGGGGGATGGGACCCTCTCCTTGCTGGGCACGTGATACCGAAGGATCGGGTGGATTCAAAGTAGGCTGTGCCTACAAAGGCAACCGTTTCTGAGCTTGTAAAGATCGCAAGCCAGCCTCGTCTCCCTCCGTCCTTCCAAGAGCCGCCCCCTGGGGTTCTCAACGCAAGGACAAGATTCGAGTCTAGCCAAGAACAGCTTTACAGCGGATTAGTACCTTCAGTCTTGCATCCCAGCCCTCATGCAACGCAACAACAGCGAAATAGCTGATACCCAACTGCTACACCCAATCAGTCCGTCAGCGGCATAGAAGCCACTTCTGCACCGCAAAGTCCTAGCATTATTTGAGTTGAACCAGTTAGGGATACATTTGTTCGAAGCACTGCGTGCTGTCTTCACACGAGCGTCTCTGAAACGCTGTACTTAGGCCTTACCACGCACTAGAACGCGCCGGCGCAACCCACCCTTGAAATTGTGTTGCCGCCCACACGGTCCCTCCGGTTGTTTGCAAGGCCAACTATTGCAACAGCCCAGCAGGCAAGCTGGAGATTGAGTACGTGGATGCTCTAGGTGTCGAACAGCTATGCGGGGTATTGCCACGGGCAACGAACTTCCGTTGCCGCCGTACACACAGAACCCGCCTGCCCGTCACGGCCGTCCGAACCATCAGGGTTGTCTGGCTACCAGATTCTTGAGTATCCAGAATTGTTCGTCTGCCCTCTATGGTCCGCTACCTGCTGCTATTGCCCTTACAATGGCTACGCTGATCTGGCTTCTATTTTAGCGATCAATGACAGGACACTGTTTCAGCTCCTTATAAATGTACATCTCAAACTAGGTGCGCCTGAAATAGCAGCATAAGGTAGGATTGATAGGGCCTAGGCGCCTAGCACGTGAAGCTTAGCCCTCCCCTTGCCCCCCTGTTTCTATGGGCGTCTCTCCAGCTCGCAAACCAGACGCTGCTTTGATGTTGAGGACTTCCATTTTGGCACTGCGCGTAGCGATGTTTATACTTGCGAATGGCTTCTTCGTCAACTCGCACTCGCCCCCGGTGATATGTCCATAGGCATACCTGTTGGAAGCTTTGGCGGCAAGGCACGTGATCCCGAAATGACTCCACATCGACATGCGAGGCCCAACAGCCAGAGAGCAGGCATCAGCAAAAACAGCAGAAACCGTAACAATGGAGGGGCCACACGGGATCAGTTCCCAGTCTCAATCAGAAGCTGTATCCAACGGGTACCAAGTGCGGCCATGGTCCTGCTTTCCGGTCAGCGCAGGATAAGAGGCGATGTGGCATCGTCCGTGCTCAAGGCGGGAAAAACTTTATCTGAGGATATCCTTAGCATCGATGGCTTTGTAAGAGAGCTAGCATACCGGTATTGCGCGGAGGCGGCAGGCGATAGCGACAGTAGCGACACCTCATCACCAGCAGCTTTAGCCGCAGCGGAGATCCTGGCCGATGAGCCCTTCCGGGTGGCACTGCTGCGGCTGGTGGCAGCGGGGCTGCGGCTGGCGCCGGAGGAGCTGCCTTTTCCGAGCAGCGAGGGCTCAGAGCATGCTAACCGACCCACATACGCCTTCACAGCGGTCATGTGCTGCGTGTCGTGCCTCATGCAGGCCTCCACGGAAGTCAAAGGGCCGCTGCCGCCACACGTGCTGGACTTCGCAATGAAGCTGCTGCGCATGCAGAGCCTGCAGGCGCTCAGCCGGCAGATGGCGGCGGTGGCGGCGAGCCTGCCGCAGCCGGATGACGAAGCAGCGGGCACTGCCTCTGAACAATTGCAGGGGCGCCAGCGGCAGAACACGGAACGGGCGGGCAGCAGAGGTGCAAAAGTGGTAACCCTGCGTGCCTTGGTGCTTGTCGAAACCGCAGCAAACTTTCTGATCCCCATCACCAACACAGCCCTTGATCTCCAGGAGCAACAGCTCTACCGCTCCGCGCTTGCGGCCGCCCTGCGGGACAGCAGCGTGATGGAGCACGCGGCCAGGCTGCTGTTGCGTCTTGAGGTGGTGGCAAGTATGGGGTACTTGCAGGGCGAGCAGCCCCAAGGTGTCATGAAGAAGAACGCAAGCAAGTACATCAACCTCTACCACAACATCCAGCTTCTCTGCAGAAACTTGACGCGTGACTCCTCCACCGAAGGCGCCCACACTAGCGCCGGCCAGCTTCGTGAGGTGCTGTCCGGCCGCTGCGCCCAACACGCCGTTGTCGTACACGGCCTGGCGGCGCTGTGTACGGCGGACGGCGGCTCCACGTACGGCCTGCCGCTGGACCTTCTCCACATTTTGCCTATTGAGTTCCGTGGAAGAGCAGCCAACGGCATGCCGGTCCTGGCATCCGTATGCTTAATTGCAGCAATGGGAGCACATGCCCCCGCGCTCGGTAGGCGTGCGACACGGGAGTTGGCGCTGCGGATCGGTCGCCTGGCGGTGGGGTCGGCGCAGGTGCCGCAAGCCGTGGCTGCTGCGGCGGTGGCCGCTGGGTTCCAATGTGGCTGCGAAACCGGGGACTCCGCCACCGCTGCTGCGGCTGCTGCTGCTGCCTGCCCGGCGCCTCTAAGTTCGCTTCGCGCGGTGCTGACAGAACGGGGAGCTGCAGACGCCGCCATATATGCGGTGAGGTGTGCACGCCTGCTCATGCGGCCTCTGCCGGCCGGCCCTATTGCTGCAGCAACGGAGGCAGCCGCTGCCGCCTGGTTGGCGGAGGCGGCGGAGTGGTGGCAGCTGGTGGCTGAGGTGGCGCGGTACGTCCTGCCTCTGGCGAATGAGGAGCAGGTGATGGCGCTGGCCAAGCAGGTTTCTGGGCAGCTGATGGTCGGAGCAGAGAGTGAGGAGGAGGAGTCGTGGCGGCTTAGCAGGGAAGGTAGGCCGCGAGACCGAGTTGGGGTGCGGGGTTTCGACCATAAAGCCCGGTGTGCCCCATTGCGGTGCGCTGCACAAGCCAAGAATGGGCACGACAGTCACAGTGCACGCAGAAGTGATGCTGGGGCAGCAGTGCGTGCACTAAAGAGCCTTCCCGTTTCCTCCATAATCATGTAGTGCTAAGTCGCTAGGAGGGTCACCGGGCCTGAGCTACTATCTCCCCTGTCCGCCCCGAAATCCCAGGTGCGCTGTCGGGCGGTCTGCTGCCCTGCCTGGAGCGCCTGATGCGCCGCGCCGGAGACTGTCCCAGCGGGCGTGAGGGCAATCTGGTGCGATTCCTCCTACGTTGGGACAAGCAGCAGGGCGCAGCAGTTCACACGCGCCTCGCATCCGTCGTCATCAACGGCGACCTCCGCCAGGCTACTGCGCTGGTGGCCACCCTGGGCAAGTTACTGCGGCAGATGGACCCACGGGTCCATTTGATAGGGCCGGCAACGTCAGACAGCCCAAATTGGTTTGTTTATAAGGCCATCGACGTGTTCCTGACGATACTGGATGACGCGCTGCTGGCCTCTGCACAGGCGGCTCTTCCTTCAGATCTGGCAGAAGGCTCCTATGGCGCTGTTCACGACACCACTTGGCTGGCAGCCGCAGCTGCTGCTGCAGGGGCCTCCGAATCTACTCGGTTCCCAAAAGCGTTGGCCTCCTGCATCGCATGGGAATGGCTCCCACCGCTGTCGTTCCTGGCTCAACAGGCAGTGCGGCAGGCAAACGCTGGCAACCCTGAATGGGTGCCTGGTGCCTTGCTCCTCACCAGGCGGGTGCTTCGCTGGCTGCCGGCCATTGCACTCGCAATCGGCATGGCCAAACGCAACCGTGATGCTGATGGCTCTGGCTGTGGTGATGACAGCTGCATGTGGCGGCAGCTGCTGCTGGCGGAGATGGATGTCGTACCGCTGCTGGGCTCTACCCTGCAGCTGTACGTGTCTGTGCGGCTAGGCGGTTTCAACACGTACGCCCTGGAAATTGCCGTGTCAGATTTTCTCATTGCGAGTTGCTGCATTGTTGCGGCTGCATGCCCGCAGCAGGTGCGGCAGGCGGCAGTGGAGGGCTCCTGGCGCCCGGAGCTGCTGCGCGCGCTGGTACGGGAGCTGCAGGCTGAACAGCAGCCCAGCGGCGACGGTTCGGGCGCCAGTGCCGGCGGCGATGATGGCTTGGTAAACCCATGCCCCGTGGCGGAGGCCCTGGCGGTGCAGCTGGAGAAGTGGCGCGATGCCGGTGCTGCTGCTGCTTCTGATAACAGCGGCGCTGACGGCGGCTACATGCCCGTGGGCGATGAGGAGAGTCTGCAAAGGCTGGAGATTCTGCTGGGTGCCGGAGTGTTGGTTCCATTGGACCTTGCTCTAGCGCGGGCCCTGGTTGATACCGCTGCGGCGTCAGTCCCGCTGCGGCGGCGGCGGGGGCTGCTGCGGGGCTGCGGCAACCCGCACTGCAGCAACCTGGCTGGGGACAGTGAGGCGGAGGTGAAGCTGAAGGCGTGCGGGCGGTGCGGGGCTGTGGGGTACTGCTGCAGGGAGTGCCAGGTGGCGCACTGGCGGGCGGGGCACAAGGAGGCGTGCGGGCGGGTGGGTGCGAGTGGGTAGGGAGAAGACGCGCCGGGGTGGGGAACGAGTAGACTGGGTGGTGCTTGGGTCAGAGGGTACGGGGCTGCAAAATCAGCTGGGCTGGGCTGTGCAGGCAACGTAGGCAAGGGCTGGTTGGGTGGCCGTGGAAGGGTAAGAGGGGTGTGAAACGCGTCTTAGCTCCGATGTGTGTGTGCATGAAATACTTTTAGCATGAGTATACAAATGACACCACAGTCCCGGGTGTGCATGCATGACAAACATTTGGGTTGTTATGTCTTGGAGCATGGTTGTGCGGTAGCCTTTTCATGGGCTTGACGTGTCTGGAGCTGTCCTGGGGCTCGAGGAGGGGAATCGCAGGCTTCCACCTCAGTAACTATGCCATGGGTACAAGGGGCTAACGAGGTATGGCGGTACCATGTATTGGTAGTTTGGGACCCCAAAGGTGTGCGGCTGGATAGGGTAACGATAAGCAAGAGCTGATTAGACTGCCGGTATGTAACGGGTTAGGGATGTAGCAAGCAAAAGCAGCCAGGTTCCAGGATTCTTGACGGACTGCGGTGTTACTACAAATCACAAACGAGTATGAAACCAACGTAGTGGCCTCCATCAGCCGGGCCATCCACCCACCAATTGACCGCGCGCATCCGAAATCCACAAATCCAGCCCTCTGCAGCCGCACCCCGCCGGGCATCTGCTAGCGAGCAAGACAAGGCAACAACTAACTACCAGCCAGGCCGCAACGCCGTGCGTGGGCCTAACCAAGCAGAAACAGTTCTCTTCGAGTAGGGCGTCTGCGCTGGAGCCCCAGCAGGTCACAGACATGTACATCCACTAAACGGCCGACATAGCCAGGAGCACCGCCCTGCACAAGCTACAACCTGTCCTCAACTCCCCTGCGTCCAGCCCCCCAGGCCAGACAGCTCCAGGCCCTTCACAGCCCGCCAGCGTCACCTCCAGCTACGAAGACGGCTTCTCTACGCCGTCATGACCTTGGATTTGTGGTCCCCGTCGTCTTCGCCTCTGCAGCAGCAGCTGCAGCACTCCCGTAGACACTTGCACGCCTGCAAAGGGCAAAGCCAGCAGCAGCAGGCAGGCAGGTTCTTGTGCTGTTCTACGAGCCCAAGTTGACAGGGCTTTGTGCTACTCAGCGTAGCTCACTGCGTAGCTAACAGCGCGACACTGCATGCACAGTCATGCACAGCGCTTCGCTGGCATTCCGGTAGTCAAGAATACAAACTAGTCACTCAAGAGTCAAGACCAGTGTCCTAACAGTCCTAACAAAATCCGACGAAGGGTCGAGCGCATCTGCAGTACAGCCAGCCCATCATGCAAGGCGTGCATCCAAGCAAGCATGCATGCAAGTACCGGTATGCATGCATGCACGCATGTAAGCTAACCCGCAGTTCAGCAACTGCAACCAGCCGACTCACGTCCACCAAGCAGACAAGGGCAGTCACCAGCGCCAGCGCCGCGCAGGTCCACGTCATCACCACCACCGCGTCCCGCCAGCCCTCGTTGGCTAGGCCCAGGTCATTGCTGTCCTTGACCTTCTTGGCAAGCACGATGGAGGCAATGATCCACCTGGCAGGCAGGGTGACGACGGGATGACCCGCGGGTCGGCTTACACGTCTCCTTGCACCTCAACAACTCATGGAACAAAACAAGTTGGCAGGGAAAGGTTTGCCTTTGCTGCACTCAACCATGACAGACGCTGAGATACAGAAGAATGATGCCGATACACTGGCCTGGGCCGTCTACCGGCGTTCGACTTGCAGCTAGTCCAGCCCTAACCTTCCCCATTTCCTATGTTCGTCTGCCGCCCTGCCCCGCCCCGCCCTGCCGAAACGCCTGGGCAACCCCTCAAAGCCGCCCCTCATGTCGTACCATGCTGACTGGAAGCATGCTACGATGAACTCCAGCCAGCCGCCCAGCCCGCAGCAATTGCATGTGAAGCACTGTACGGCAGGAGAAGGGGATGGAGGATGGATGGTGGGGTCAGGACGTAAGGTGCTCATGTGCACTCCCTTGTAGGGATGTTAAAAAGCCCACGGGCGAGGCTGGTGCTGGTGGGGTGGCGGAGAGAACCGCCATTTGGTGCATGGTGCATCAGAACCCTGTCTCCTTCCTTGCAGGGCTTTCACAACCAGCCCCACCGACTTCAAGCTGGGCGATTCTCCAAGTCAACCCTGGCAGCCATTTATACCCGAGCCCTGGTCTGGCTCTGATCGCGCACATGTATCCACACGCCCAACTTCATCTTCTGGCAATCATAGTTCGTCCCGACTCGCGGCCATTTCTGTTAACACTACCCCCAAACGGCCCAAACCAGCGGTACCCAAGCCAACCCACCATAAGGGTCGATAGCAGCATGGAGACTAGCAGCGACAGGCCGCACACCGCGTATGTGTATAGGCACACGTTGGCACCGCGCACATCGCCGGACAACAGACATTCTGCATGAAGTGCTGCAGGGAGGGGAGGAGCAAGGGCAGAGGGAGGGAAGTAAGGAGGGGAGGGCACGAGGGAGACGCGGCAAGGGGGCGAGAAGGAATAAGGAGGGAGAGCAGGGAGCGCATTGCCAGCTGACATGGGCTGGTTTTGGCCCCCGTTGAGACGTCCTAACGAAGCTACCCAATGCATCCATGTGCCTCCTCTTTCTTTCCCCCTAAAGGGCTCAGGATTAGGAAGGGCCCGATTGCAGCCTGCCCCAGCAGCAGCAGTTACGTGGCTTACGATTGCTCAGTCCAGCCACTTTAAAGTCAACGTTGTACAGCTTTAGCGTGACGACAACAATAATTGCTGTCGCAAGGAAGACCTGAAATCAATAGGGAAGCAACATGAGAGTTTACATGGGCGAAGAGGCGTTAGCCCAGGGCACTCCGACCCATGGAGCTGCCATTGCACGTCACAAGTGCCCGAAGGCGGAAATTGGCCAATTGCTTGAACGCAGTAGAGTGAGGAGCATAATGATGTATAACGACTGCATTGCATGCCCAAGTCACGCTTTGCTTAGGGGTTCCATTTCCTCTTGAAGCAACCGCAAGTCTCGTCCGTAAAGCTAAGTGAGCCCGAAGCTTACGCCAGTATTTCCAGCGCAAGGTGTATAAATTACGTTATGTGGCAGTATAGCTCAGTGGCTGGTACTTCGATGGTACTGAATGGCGCAGCCCCGGTCCACGCTTCTTACCTTCAATAATGAGCATAGTCCAACGACGACCTTCTTAAAGATTGCCATAGCGCAGCAACACATTTTGCCGTCGTCGCTAATCGGCTTTGAAAGGCGAGGCTCGCGTTGATAACAGCCAGAAAAGGAGCCCTTGATGAAAATACTCCGTACACGACGTTACTGCAACTTTACACCTTTCAGGGGAATCGCGCAACACTCGTATAGGTAGCTGCTAGTACCCGTACGTTGGCGGTTAGCGATGACTTCAAAATTTGTGCTGTGATGGAACCCGCTATCTAGGAAGGCTGTTATGGCAACCCCTCCTTTACACTGGTCTCAGCTTGGTGCGTTATACGCTCTTTGGCTGCTGCAAAACCCTTGCCGGGCAACTGCCTCGTTGCCACTTTAGCTCCGTCTGCCGTTATTGAGGGCAGCTTTGGTACCTATGCCGTTGCCAACTGCTCACTAAGGCTCAAGGTGGAACCCTAAGCTGTCGATGCTGCCCGTGCCACCGCCCGTGCGCCCGTGCCCGTGCCCGTGCACAGACCCGGTGGACGCAACAAGACATGGGACTGCATTGTGTACGGGACGGCTTGGCCAGCAGGGCATCCGGGTTATTCTACGGATAGAGGTCGGGGTGTGGAACCTCACTTTGTGCTTTCTGGCAACTGGTGGAGGTTGGTGTGTTTCACTTAACCCCCAACCCCCCCTCTCGATCAGCCGTCCCTCACAGTCTTCTGTAAGCCAATGCCGTACACGGTCAACATGTCGTACAAACGATACGGTTTGTTGTCGTGGCTGGTCACGTAGAGCTGCAATCTGGTCTTGAAAGACACTTCCGCAGGTGCAGCCAGCAATGCTTCCAAGGACATACGCCATCCCTTGCCGCATTGCCCGTGATTTCCATGTACGAACTATGCTGGTGATTGCCACTTCCTCCGATGCCGCGATACAGTGCAAACGGCTCGGCACCCCGGGATTACTTCTCGTCCCCGTACCAATAGCACTCAAGCAGGAGAGCCACTCCGCCTCCAACGCTTGCGCCGGGAATCTGGGCCCGTATGAAGGAAACTTACTACCCTCTTCCAATACATGCAGTCCCCTTGCAGACATCCTAGTGATTGCCCTCACGTACTACATCACAACGCAAGCAGTACCAATTGCATCGTAATGCATGCTTGCGCTGCCAAACCCTGCTGCCGCCCACGTGCCCGTGGCCATCCTGCTGCCTACCTTTCCCCTTCCCTCTCTCCGTCTCCCGCTAATGAGATCCCCGCCTCCCTTCGCCACAGCTTGCATGCACACCTCTCAAAGCATACAATCCTTGTGCATAAAACCGCTCAGGTACAGGTACAGGTACCTTCCTCGAGGTTTTACCCCCGTTGCACTGCATCATGAGCCACACTGCACTCTTAAACTGCACACAATTATCACATGGCGGCCTGAAATACTAAACATGACATGGTAACTTGGTAAGGGCACGCGATATCCTGATTAGCAGCACTACTAAAGATATCCGGTATCTTGCTACCGGTTCCACGTATCAACCCCGAACATGTGCGCGCTGGAGGATCAATCGCATGGGGTCGTTACCAACCGCCACCGCTATCACCGCCACCAGCGCCATCCCTTCTTCCTAGGAGAGGCCGAGGAGGCCGAGGACGAAGTCGGTAACGTCGAGGATGATGATGATACTTCCAACTCCTTGCCAGAGCCCCCACCTCTCCAGCCGCTACCGCCACCACTACCTGCAAAACCACCACCTCCGAAACCAGTTTCCTCCGCTCTTAACTGCGTGTAAGCTCCCGTATCCGATCGCGCAACCACCATGATCGTCGGAGGCCCTCCGTGCCCCACTCCGCCCGCAAACCCAAGCCTAACATCCTCACTAGTGCTACTCCCACCTCCGCCGCCAGCTACTTTAAACCCGCTGCTGTGGCTTCCAAAGCCCGAAGAAGCTGTCGCAGCAGCCGAGGGCGGCAGGCTACCACTCATCTCCACATACTCCTCCCCGCCGCCCAGTCGCTTGCGCCGCCGCAGACTGCTGCGCCAGCGCGCCTCGGGTCGGTCCGGGCAGCAGCAGCAGCGGCACAGGCAGCCGCAACAGTGCACCAGGCAGCCGCATGCCTGGCGGGAAGGAGGTGGTGGTGGTGGGGGGTGCACATGTGGCGACAAGGACCCGTCTTTGGAGGGTGACAGGCTGCAACCTGCAGCCCGTCATCATGCCCAACCTCTTCACGCGCACCCCTCCACCCCTTCCCTCCCCCCGTAAGTCGTGTGGCGGTGACACTCCAGAGGTGTCATGGTGGTTGGGTTTCGGGCGCTGACGTCGTGACAGTAAGTCTCTCCTTCTCAGGCTACCCTCATGTGGGCCATGGCCTGTCCCCTCTCCTCCCCCTGTCCTACCCCTTTTTCCCCCTCTCACCTCAACCAGCAGTAGCGCCCCCGAGGCCGCAAACGCGCCCATCAGCACCCACGACAGCACCAACACCGCGCCCCGCCACTGCCGTACACTACGCGGAGTCCACTGCCGTACAAGCGCCTCCAGCTGGGAGGCCACGTCAGCACCCACGGGCGGGGCAGGCAGCGCCGGCGGTGGCGGGGAAGGAGGCGGGGGCAGCAGGGCGGATGCACCCGGGAGGAGGGAGGCGGCGGGCGGGGGCGGGAGCTGGTAGCCGACGATGAACTGCAGGGCTGCGGGAGCTGCGTTGACGGCCACGTCGGTGTGCTTCTGGAGGGGGTTGGGAGGAGGGGTTGAGAGGTGGGTGGGGTTGTGGGGATGAGCGTGAGTCCGGATTGGAGGTGGGTCGGTCTGGAAGAGAGGCAGAGGATGAGGCCTAGGGTGAGGGCAGGGAGAGGGGTTCCCGGGTGGACTGGTTTGACGCTTTTGTCCGGCATGGAAGGCGGTAGCACGAACAACGAGCACATGCGCGGTTGGCTTGCCGCAAACACGCCTACCTGGACCACCAGAGCCGCCGCCAGCCACCAGGCCGCCCCCAGCACTGCGAACAGCAGCTCTAGCATGGGGCCCCAGCCGCAGCAGTGGCAGGTGCACCACTGCAGGGAGGGGCGAGGGAGGGAGAGGGAGGAGGAGAGGGAGGAGTGGAGGGACGGGCCCCGGTCAGGGTGCAGGGAGGGAGGGGGTGAGAAGAGGGAGGTCAGTGGTAGCAGCGCGCTGCAGGGGAAGAGGGAGGCCAGGGGGAGATACCGGCAAAAGGGAACAGGCCGAGTCGCAAATGTAGGAGGGATGGAACGCGGAGGTGGGAATAGCGGGGAACCCACTAGCCAGCCTGTTGAGTGACAAGACCCGCCTACACATGTTCATCCATGGCACTCACCAGCAGGCTGGCCATTATAAACGTAGCGACCAAGCTGACAGCGCAAACGGCGTATACGTACGAGCACATGGTGTGATTGTTGGTGTCGTACAGCTGCCCTACTTTGCCGCGCTTCTGAAGCAGACATGCTGCGTGCACATGCAATGGGCCCGTTGTGGTGTTCAGGTCCACGTCGACATCGGCTGGTCCAGCGGGTGAAGATGTACGAGATGTGAAGGGAGGTGGAGAAACTTGAACACTGTTTGCGCTGGGATTGCTGTTTGCTGGAGAAGTTACTTCGGCCCCGGTTACCATGCCGGTGATGTCGGCAAGGTTGCTGACCGGCAGCTGCAGTTCAATGCGAACGTTCTCCAGCTTCACAGCCACAATGACTATGATGCTAATGCTGAGCAGCACCTGCAAGTGTGCGGCAAAGCCATGTAACACTCGACCTGTTCAAGTCGCCACGCGAAAACAGCGCATTATCTTGGTATATAGTTGTCCTTTTATGCCAATACCAACCTTCAAAACTGCCATGGACGTCAGCGCTGCCCGCGAGAAGCACGAGTAAGCGTTCGATGCGAAGCATTCTAGACAGCCCATTTGTTGCACCTTACGGAGTATCAACACTTAACCAGAGAGGCTATATCTTTAGCAGTTTAGGCTTAGTGGAACACCATGATTCGACGCTTGGAGCAAAGGGCAACTAACACCATCAACAAAGCTGCATCAGGTAGACGTGGCATATACACCGACAATACAAAGCGAAGGCAACTACTTGAGGCCAAAGCCCGCTTTTTTGCGGCACCCATAGTACGACGACTACTCGTCTTCCTGTCTATCGGCTGTCGTCGCCGATGTCCGGTTTAAAGGACTGCCCGCTACTTGTCGGTCAGTTTTCGTTCGGCGAACGGAGCAACAAGTCGCCGCTGGACTGAAAGCCGCAGTAGACCATTTACGAGATAGCTATCTTATAAACCCAAACGTACCAGAGGGCGGAACACGGCCTTAACCGTCTCTGTCCACTGTTACGGGACTACCTTGGGGGTTGTATGTTGTCAGGGGAACACAGCGCATAGCGCGGCAGTAGCGATACAGATGGACTGATGGACTTGGCGACGTTCAAGGTATCCCCGCCAATGCAAGGTATCCCCGCCTACGTCATAATCTAGATAAACTGTAAGAATTGATGTTGGTTGTGCAAACCCAGCGAGCTCTACGGAAGGGCCACTCTGGAGAAGGGTCACAAGGCAATGGATCACACGTGTGAGATTGTTTTCCTCACTTACCGCCGATGTACGGGCTCCAGAACACACTGATGCGTTAGATATTTCTGCACTTATAATAAAACGAACGGGTTCTTCCTGTCATAACCCCACCGTGAAAGAGCTGGATGCACTGACTGACTATCACAGGCGTCTTGGAGTTTAGTCAACATGCATTGGCATGACGCTGACCCATTTAAGTCAGTAGCAAGTTACTGATACATAGTTGGGCCTGTGATGCCTGAAGAGGCGATTGACAATAAGGTGCTAGGGCCCAGGGGTAATCCTTACGATGAGCGATCTTCGATTACCCCGGATGATACCTGTAGGACTATTTAAGTGAAAAGCGTGTCTATAGCATTCGCTTGGCTTCAGTAGTTACTCCGCTTGCCTCGCAGCTTCTCTCCTATTTCGATTGTAAGCTTAAACACAAGCTGGCGGCCGTTAGCTGGTTTAATGTGCATCTAGCAAGAGCATTGGGGTTGTATTCTGCAAAGGCTCTTCTTGCATCGGGGCATCCTTAAGTCGCATCGGCTTTCCCAAACGTGTTCACGAGCAGACAGCCATCGGATCGCACAAAAAGTTACTTGGGCTTGCAGCTTTTTGCACATTATAAACAATAAATGTAAGTCTATCCTCAGCTTGACTATAATGGCTTAATTGGTTCCTGGCTTTTCGACTGCCACCTCAGCTCGTCGCAGCAATGAGTCGTTGGCTCCAGCGTTCTAGTACCATGTTTCTTTCGCGTTCAATCATACACAGGGGCTTCTCCAAGCAATACAGTTGTAACGCCAAGCGCGTAAGCGAGCCTGGAACACCGTCGATGGGCGTGCCTGCATACTTGCGCTACTTAGCGCGCCTTGCAGGCAGGCAGCTGCGCCTCCGGACACCATCCGATGGAAGGCTCTCGCTAGCAGGGCCCGCAGACCTCCCAGGCCTGCTGCCATACACGCACCCTATCAGCGGCCATCGGAACCGCAGCTTTGAGGATCGGCATCTCCAGCTGTGGGTCGCGGTGCGTGGGGATGTGGGGTTCAGCTGTGGTGGGGGACACTGCCGGGTGGGTCGGGTTGGCAGGCTTTCGGGTGGCGTCGTGCCTGTTGCAAATTCGCACCAAGGTTGACCTGGCTCCCGGCTGCAAGCGCACGGAATGTCTGTGTGCGCGAGGACTGGGACACGATAAACGAGCTAGTACCCTTGATAAATGCTGTTGAAGTGTGTTGGGCACTGGGAAACCTTCCTACCTGAATACCACCTACCATGCAGCAGTCGGCCGCGATCCGCAGCCTGATGACCCTTCATGCGTACCCGTCCACCCCCCTGCCTCCCAAAACCTGCAGAACCTGAGGCACCCGAGGCCGCCGCAGCTGCAGCAGCAGCAGCACGGGCAACCTGAACCCGGCCACAGCACCGAGCCGGCCCAGGCCGCACCGCATGCCGCACCGGTCTCCGTTGCTCCTGATGTTGGAAGCCACGAGAACGGGAGCAACGGCGTCAGCAGCAATGTTGGAGGGGTTACCAACAGCTTGACGGCCCAAAGCGGCGCTGGAGGCCGCGACAGGGAGTTAGAACCGGCAGGAGCAGCAGCAGCAGGAGCTGCAGCAAGCGACGCTGCGCCGCAGGGCCGCCGGCGCTCCCTGCACCTGCACGTCAACCCCCACCCCCACCCCCACCTGCACCTCCCCTACCGCCCCGCCCACCCGCACCCCCACCAACCCCACAACCCCAGCTCCCACACCCCACCTCAAGACGCCAGCCAACCCAACCCGCAGCACCCTGAGTCCCAGCCAGGCCAACAACAGTCCGTCGACGCCTCTTTGCAGCCGCAGCAGCCTCATCGCCCCCCCCTGCTCTTCCGCGTCAACCCGCCCTCCACCCCGCACCCCCACATACACTCCCACAGCCACCACCACCACCACCACCACCCTGCACGGTCGCCGCCGCTCCTGGAAATCTACTACCCCTTCGCAAGCCACCCAGACCTCTGGAAGCAGTACCTCAGTCCCTCGCAGCCCGAGCAGCAGCAGCAGCTGCAAGATGACGTCAGCCGACCCATGGGTCACTGCCTGGACCCAGGCCCCTGGATCGAGGACTTTGACACGTTTGCTGCTGACGTGGCTGCTCGGCACGTGGGCCACATCCCCGACAGCATGCTGGTGACAGCATCCATGGAACGTCTGACGTGGCATGTGCACACGCCACCAATGCAGGGAGGGGCTGGGGAAGCAGGCATTGCTCAGGCGGGGGAGGGCGTGCCGGCGGGGGAGCAGCAGGGCGGCAGCGGGGCAGGGGGCGGGGCAGCATGCGGCCGCTGGGCGCCGCTGGCTCCGGTGGACATGCGGCTGACTGGCAAGGTGGGCAGGGGGGGCAGGGCGGGGGGGGGGGGCAGGGCGGGGGTCAGAGCTTTGGCATGTGCTGCTTAGACCAGGCTAGCGGAAGTTGGCATGGGGCGGCTTACGAGGAGGATGTTGGTTTCTGGAATGGCGCGCTTTGCGGCCAGCGCTGTCAAGTACTAATACCACTTCACCTTTCGAACGATGGGCAGCTGCACATGTACCCCAGGCAGGGTCGCCCCCGCGTTTTATCGTCACCACTGCGGTTCGTCGTTACCGAGCAACACGCTGCAACGAAGCCTCCACCAACTAATTGCCCCCCCCCCCCGGCGCGCCTCCTCCCCTTCCCCCACCCGCAGGTGACGTGGGTGGGTCGTAGCACTATGGAGGTGGTGCTGCAGCTCGCCACCTCCGAGCCGCCCTTCTGCCCACCTGCACTACCCGCACCCGCACCTGACGCCCTGCCACCCGACCACCCCACACCCGCCGCTCCAAACTCAGCTGCTGTTGCACACGAGGCTTCCGCTGCAGAGGCTGTCGCTGCTGCTACTGCGACTGCAATTGCAACTGTTACCGCACCCAACAGCAACGGCGGCGATATGGTGGCGGCGGCGGCGCTGCCGCCGGGTCGGTTGCTAGCCACCGCGGAATTCGTGATGGCGCTGCGCGACTCTTCGCTGCGTCGTGCGGTTGACGTGCCGCCGCTGCATCCGCGGGACGCCACCGAGCGGGCGCTGTTCCGCCGGGGTCGCGACAACAACCGGCTGCGGCAGGCGCGGCGGGAGCGTGATGCCGCTGCAGCAGCCGCCGCTCACACGCATGCAACCACCGCAGCAGCACCCCCGGCAGCAGCGCAAAACGGCGGTAGTAGCAATGGCGATTCCCGAAGCGAAAACAAACACGCGCACACCGCAGACACCGCCAACGATGCTTTGGTTTCCGCTGCTGACGTCGGCGGCGGCGGCGGCTCCGACGGCAGCGACCGTACGGTGGCTGTACGGCAGACCGAGGTGCATTGTACGGTTGTGACGGAGTACAAGGACCGTAACACCAGCGACACCATCTTTGGCGGCCACCTGCTAAGGCTAGCGTACGACGCGGCCGTGGCGGCGGCGGCGGCCTTTGCTGGCGCGCCGTGCGAGTTGCTGTGGCTGGAGGAGGCTGTGATCCGCGCGCCGGCGCGAGTGGGCGATACACTCGACGCCGTGGGCCGAGTGGTGTGGGCCGAGCCGGGTGGCCGAGCGATGCGAGTGGCGGTGCAAGTGGACCGGTACGGCTCGTCGGCGCCGTCGCAGTATGCACTGGCGTTGACGCTGGCGGCGGCGTTCCTGGCGCCGGAGGGGTCGCTGCCGGCGGCGGCGGCGGCGGAGGTGAATGCGCACTCGACGGCGGTTGTAGCGGGTGAGGAGGGTGATGGCGGCAGGCGGGGCCTGCGCAGCGTGGTTGCGGGTAGTCCGGCGGAGGTGCAGGCGGCACAGGCGGCGCAGCGGCGGCATGCCGCGGTGCTGGAGGCGTTGGAGCGGGACGAGGAGGAGGAGGAGGAGAACGAGGAGGAGGAGGCCGATGGTGTGAAGGAGAGAGAGAGAGTCAGGCTCGTAGCTTGCTTATGATTAAATGTTTCCCTTGTCGTTGGTTTCTATCGTTGGTTGTGGTAGGCATCCTCCACTTAGCTTGTACGTGCAGCGCGCCAAAAGAGGAAATGTGCCCGCTTGGCATGCGCCGTTTGTAAACGTGTTGCATTATTACTCCGCTGCCACGGCTTTCCACCTGGGACACTCTTGCGATTGGTGCGACTTTAGAACGTATGCTGCTACCGTTCCAATGGTACGGCAGTCTTGTTGAGTGAGCGATTGCACGGCAGTCGCGTGGCCGGGGTAGCTAGCAGCGCGTGAAATGTCTGTCGTCGACCCTTACACGCTTGGCCCTTGGATCCCCTTTGACCAGAAGGAGTCACAAGCAACAGTGAAAGCACTGTCTCTGCCATGCTCATTGTGCAATGAGCCGCTTTGCATCCCGCTTTCCATCCTAATCCTTCGGGCGACAATTTAACAGTTCCCGCCCTTTACCAATCGCTTTCCGCCGGGGCGCATGTTGCAACTGGCCGCAACCCCCACCCCATCCTTGCATCCGGCAATCCTGCGTTGCAGTCGTCCTAATCCTAATCCTCTTCAGCCACGTCATACTCCAGGACGCAGCATGCAGCCTATGTCCCTGCGGCGATGTGCATCTGCCTGCTACCAACGAGCCACACCCAGCGGGCGCATTCGCATGCAGCCAAGTCCTTCACCCTGTCCCGCTGCAAAACTAAACCTGCATGACAATTACCTCCTCTCCCATGGCTCCATCCTACCCGCCCTGACCTCCACTATCCTTGTTTCCTGGCCCCATCTCAACCGCCTTCCACTTCAACGATCCCTACTCCCCACAAGCGCTCAAGTGTACCACACTTCGATACCCCTCTCCCACCTGCTATACCGGAACTCCATGCTCCCAAGTTCCCACCCTCCGTCAGTTCGTCTTTCCCCCCTACCCGTCCGCGGCGCCTGTTTTCTGTCCGCCCCCACCCGCACAGCTACGCCCCCACCCGTGCAAGCGCCTCCTGCACGTACTGCTTGGGGTCAGGGATCTCCGCAAGCACCGGCCGCTCCACCTTGCTGGCGTTGGCCAGACGAGCGTAGGCGGCGGAGTAGCCCTGCGCGGGAGGTGAGTGTGAGGGGGCGGGAGGTGAAGGAGCGCGTGGGGGTGAGGACGTTGCACAAGGAGAACGCGCAAGTCAAAACACATGCGGCGCAGCGGACTATGTAGCACCGGTGGGTCGTGCCTGCCGCTAGGAGGAGAGATGCAGCGGCACGTGCCACACCGAACCGTCAAAGCAACGCACGCTCTTACTTCTTCGTTGTTCCAGGCCCAAACAACAAACCGGCATTCACCTATTCACCCAGCCAACCTGACGCAACCCAACCAGCACCCACCTGCGCCTCCTCGAAATCCGGCTCCTCCTCCTCCTGCCCCGCGCCGCCCCCGCCGCCGCTCGCCATCTTGTCTACCAGACCCTTGCGTAGTCCCGCCCACAGAGCCGCCTGCGGCCCCGCGGCGCTGAACCCCGGCAGCTCCGTGAGCAGCTTGGCGCCTGCCACCGCCACCAGCTTCTCCTCCTCGGGACCCTCAATGGACGCTAGCGTGGGCAGCCACACCTGAGGGCGGGAGGGCGTGTGAGTGCGTGAGCGTGACGATGGTGTTGAAGGGAACGGGAGGGAATAGGGGGGTGACTGACCCATGGGACGCACGGCGGATATCAGGATTATATTACTTCAATTGTGTCATGGTACCCATTGACAGGAGGAATGACAGCGCTCTTTACTCGACACGACAGCAGCGGAAACGTATCAGAGGACGTGGGGTTGTTGTAAGGGACAAGCAACCCTAATTACGACCAAAACAACACTCCTCACCTTCACACCCACACTTCATCTTCCTGCAATCACAGTACCTTCCGCCTCGCGGCCAGTTATCTTGACACACATGTTGTCCTACTCAACTACACATGCTGCGCCACCACCACCACCATCACCCTCAGCTGCCCTCCTCCCCTTCGCACCCCCCCCTCGCCTCCCCCCCCCGCACCTGCTGCAGCAGCATGTACATGATGCCCGGCTGCACCTTGTCCAGTTGCTGGCAGGCGGCTGCGGGGCCGTGCTTGCAGATGAAGAGCGCCAGGAAGACGGAGAAGAAGCGGCAGAACTGGGGGGGGCGGGGGGAGGGAGGAGGAGGGGATAATATGCACAGGGTTACTCGAGAGGAAGAGGGAGAGATGAAGAGGGAGAGGGAAGGGACGCAAAGGAGTGTTCGTGCCTACACCGTCCAAACCTCACAAAAACCCGGAACCAACGACGACAGGAAAGCAACGCAACCCACACCCGCCCATACATGGCCAACTCGCGGCCAATTTTCTTAACACATGGCCAACATCCTTAAATCACGCCCACACACCCACAACAACAGCAACACCGCGCGAGCACCTTGGGTGTCTTGGTGCCGCTGAGTCGCTGGAACATGAGCGTCCACACGGAAGGCAGGTACTGCTCGTACGCGGGCAGCGGCAGCGACTCCACGATGGCGTTGACGATGTAGAAGCCCTCATGGTCGTGTGCGCGCGAGGACAGCAGCTTCTGGAACACCCCCAGCACCGCCACCAGGTGTCCGCCCGACACCACCTCGGCACCCGCCTTGGTCAGGTAGGCCTGTGCGGCAGGTGGGGGGGGAGGGGAGGGGAGGGGAGGGGAGGGGAGGGGAGGGGAGGGGAGGGGAGGGGAGGGGAGGGGAGGGGAGGGGAGGGGAGGGGAGGGGAGGGGAGGGGAGGGGAGGGGAGGGGAGGGGAGGGGAGGGGAGGGGAGGGGAGGGGAGGGGAGGGGAGGGGAGGGGAGGGGAGGGGAGGGGAGGGGAGGGGAGGGGAGGGGAGGGGAGGGGAGGGGAGGGGAGGGGAGGGGAGGGGAGGGGAGGGGAGGGGAGGGGAGGGGAGGGGAGGGGAGGGGAGGGGAGGGGAGGGGAGGGGAGGGGAGGGGAGGGGAGGGGAGGGGAGGGGAGGGGAGGGGAGGGGAGGGGAGGGGAGGGGAGGGGAGGGGAGGGGAGGGGAGGGGAGGGGAGGGGAGGGGAGGGGAGGGGAGGGGAGGGGAGGGGAGGGGAGGGGAGGGGAGGGGAGGGGAGGGGAGGGGAGGGGAGGGGAGGGGAGGGGAGGGGAGGGGAGGGGAGGGGAGGGGAGGGGAGGGGAGGGGAGGGGAGGGGAGGGGAGGGGAGGGGAGGGGAGGGGAGGGGAGGGGAGGGGAGGGGAGGGGAGGGGAGGGGAAGGTGGGTAAAGTGCCACATACATAACAAGCACCTACCGCACAACAACAACAACAACAACAACAACAACACTCAGCAGCATCTCTACCCCCAGCCCCCACAACCACCAGCGCCCCCCCCCCCACACCTGCAGCAGCCGCACCAGCGCCGGCACATTGCCCGACCGCTCCCAAAACACGGGCGACAGCAGCGGCGGGAAGATCTGAAGGTACAGCTGCGGCAGCGGCGCGGACCTCAGCTCGATGAGCTGTGAGAACACCTGGAACACGTAGGGGTGGAACTCCTGCGGGGGGGGGGGGGCGGAGGTGGGGGCAGATGCAGAGATGGGGTGCGGGGGAGCAGGGGTGGTGAGGGCGTGAGGGGCAAATGTGGTAGGTCGAGGAGGCGGCAGAGGTCGTGGCGGAGAGGCAGCAGGAGTGAGCAGTGAAACAACAGCAGCAGGCCGGCAGCTGGCGCGAGGTACGGCATCGTGACCTATCACGATGGCACCTGGCACGTCAGCTATTTTACCACTATCACACCACACACTGGATATTCTGTTTTTCCCCACCTGCACGTCCTGCTGCAGCACCATCTCAAAGGCGGGGAACAGCGCGGCCTCGTACTCCGCGATGCTGGCGGCGTTGGCTGCAGTGCCGTGGCGAATGAGCGCCGCCACGCTCTCGAAGAGGTAGTGGTTGAAGGAGGGGTTGCGCGGGTTGCGGCACACCTCCACCAGCATGGCGGCCAGGCGCTGGGGGTGGGTGGGGGGAGACGGGGGTGCATGGGCGCGAGGGGGTGAGGATGGAGGGGTGGTTGGGGGAGGTGCGGGCATGCGAAAGGACCGGCAACATTTGCTGTGGGCAGGGCTCCTAGCCAGCTGCCCATCCATGGGATACGGGTTGAAAAGGCAAGCAGGTTGTAAAATCCCACCATGGAGTAGAGTCCATACCGTTGTCCACACCACACCTAATGCACCTCTCCCCACCCAACCCACCCTCCTCACCCCATCCCTTAGGTCATACATCTTCCTCACCCCACCCCACTCCCCATCCCACATTGGAATTTCTTCTTTTCCCCCCACCTGCAGGCACACCGCCGAGACGGGCGCAATGGCGGGTCCCACGAACCCGATCACCCTCATGATGCACTTCATGAGGTACTCGTTCTCCGAGCTGTCGGGCAGCTTGAAGCCCGCGAACAACCGCTCCAACAGCGGCTGGAGGGGGCGGGCGGCAGGAGGGGAGGAGGGGGGAGGGGGAAGGCGGAAGGGGTGGGGGAGGGGTGGTGGGAGGGGGAGGTGCAATGAAGGCGGCAAGGTACGGGGCAGAGGCAAGGGTTAACCCCGGCTGTGCTGTGGGCAGGTTACTGCATGCACCCCGCCCCCACCTGCAGGTGTGCCCCCAGGTCCTGGCTGCTGAACCGCAGCCCCCTGCCCGCCCCCGCCTCCTTCAGGCTCAGCAGCCGCTCCAGGCAGATGGCCGCGTAGCTGTGCACCACGCAGTACTCGCAGCCCAGCAGCGCCACCAGCGGGGGCACGGCGGCCAGGCAGGCCTCCTTGGGGAGCAGGGATCTGCGGGGGGAGGAGGGGAGGGGAGAAGGGGGGGCCCGGGAGGGAGGGAGGTGAGGGAAAGAGGGAAGGTAATTCCGCATTTGGCTGGAGTTAGTACTGCGTGTAGTCATAGGTTGCAGGCTGCATGGTTGTGGGGACGAGTGCCAAGCAGAGGGGAGTGGCAAGGGGGAAAGGAGCAGGTGGCGAGAATGGTACGGTAGGAGCGTGTTAGGGAAGCCGGAGGACAAAGGGGCGAACAACGGCGAACAAGGGGGTAGGAAGGTAGGCAGGTAGGGGCGGGAGGCAGCAGCAGAGGCAACCAGCGAGCGCACATGGAGGGTAGGGGAGGGGTGATGGCGCCAACCTAGCTGCTCCACCTAGCTAGCTGCTCTACCCAGCTGCCCTACCGGGAGTGAGCCCCCACCTGAATGTGGTCACGAACTTGATGGCATCCGCCTTGAGCAGCGGGTTGTCGTTCAGCTTGGGGTTCTACGGGGGTGAGGGTGCGGGGTGGAGGTGGAGGGGCGGGTTAGAGGAAGCCGGCGAAACGTTAGTGACCTAGGGTCTTTTTACACAAACCCTGTGGGCGCAACGAACCCCCTCGCCCACCCTCCGCCCCCTTCCTCTTCTCACCTGCAGCTCCGGCACAACCCATCTCTCCAGATCCCGACGCCCCTCTCAGCCCCCGTCCCCCCCTCCTCCCAAACCCCCCCTCCTCCCGCCCCCCCCACCTGCAGCTCCGGCAGCACCTGCCCCGAGTAGAAGTCCAGCGTGTTGACCAGCTGCGTGGTGCTGGTGGCGCCCTGGGCGGCGGTGCGACCCTGGGGGGGGGGGGGGAGCGGGGTGGGGGGTGGGGGGGAGACATGAGGAGTGCAGCAACGGAGTCCCGATCCCAAATCCCGACTCAGGGAGGGGCAGGGAGAGGTGAGGGGCAGGTGAGGTGCGGGGCGGTAGGTGTGCGGGTAGGAGGGGGCAGGCGGGGATCGCAAGTAAGGTCGCATGCCATGGCGACTGCAGCTGTGGCGGCATCCGGGCAGCTGCTGTGGCGGCATCCGGGCAGCTGCTGTGGCGGGTGTAGAGGGAGGGGTTGTCGTACCTTTACCGACAGCGCGGTGACCATGTAGATGGCGCAGTCCTTGGAGCGCCAGTTGGCGGCGGGATTGGAGGCGTAGTCGGCCAGGGCGGCGGCTGGGGGGGAAGGAAGGGGGGAAGGGGGGGGAGGCGGAGGTGGAGCAGGGAGGGAGCAGGAGAAGTGGAGATCGGTACGGCAGAGTCCTGGATGTTCACGCATGAGGAGTGCCTGGGTGCTGCTGGCCCGTTGCTGGCCCCTGACAATCATGCCGCGTGTCAAGAAACTCGTGTTTCAGACGTTGGCGGGTGCTGCTGGTGCAATACCACATGTTCCGGCAACCATAGCACGTTTCTACCGCGGCCAGGTCTCTTTAAGCACAAACACACACACACGCGCGCGCTACCCACTGATGTATCCAGTGAACAGCCGCGACACCTCCGCCGGGAAGCGCTCCGTCAGCGAGCGAACCAGGTCGGCAGCGGCGCGGCGCCTGGGGTGTGACCGGGGCGGGGAAGAGGGTGAAGAGAAGAATACCCAATGTGTTGGATGGTCGGGAGGGCAGGAGTAGCAGGAAGAGGAGGATGAGGAGGAGCAGGGTTGCAAGTTATAGCTCTGGTCCTCATCCAGGAACGTTCGCCAAGGAAAGCCGAATTCAAGTCCTCACACACACCCCAGTCTGCCTGCTCACGGCCTTCCACGGATGGCCTCCCCTATCATACACCTGCCCACACACCTCCATGCACACACTTAGGTACCTGAGTGTGTGCATGGAGGTGTGTGGGCAGGTGTATGATAGGGGAGGCCATCCGTGGAAGGCCGTGAGCAGGCAGACTGGAGTGTGTGTGAGGACTTGCATACCAGGGGCATGAAGGAAGGTACGCCGTATATTACGCTAGGGTATACTACCCACGCGTCGCAGCCAGGCCCAACACTCCGTCTCCGCAACCATCGAGCCTGCCCCCTCAGCAGTTTACACAGCAGCCCGCCCGCCGTCCAATGAACCACCACCCTGCCGGCCCCTATCTGCTACACACCCTGACATCCTGACACCGGAGATCACCCTTAAACAACGCACCGTGTGTCGCTGTCTCCCCCCTCCGCGTCCCGGCGAATGTACTCGGTGGGGTTCATCTCAAACATCTCCTCATCCTCCGGCCGCACCCGCAGGTTGGGCACGATGACGGACTCGCAGATCTGCTGCAACGCGCCGTCCGCAGCAAACAAGCCTGTGCGGGGGGGGACGGGCGATGGGCGAGAGGTGCGGGTGCGGGAGTGGTTGGAGGCAATGTGGGAATGCAGGTAGGGCGGCGGGCAACAACCCGGGGGGTGGTGGTTGCAGGAGGAGGTGTGCGGGCAGGGGGTTGCGGATTGCGAGGGGGTGCGGATGGGGGAGAGGTCGCAAGGGTGGTGCTGGTGTCAGTGCATGTGGTTAGCGTGTAAGGCGCCGACCCAGACCTTCCGGCCCACCCAAACGACTCACCCTCACCCCCACCTCCACCCCCCCACCCACCCACCTGAGAACACGCCCTTGGCAATGGTGTTGAGGAACTTGATGGCGGCCATGGCCAGGTTGTCCTGGCGTACGACACATCAGGGGTGGAGGGAGGTGTACGACACATCAGGGGAGGAGGGAGGTGTACGACACATCAGGGGAGGAGGGAGGTGTACGACACATCAGGGGAGGAGGGAGGTGTACGACACATCAGGGGAGGAGGGAGGTGTACGACACATCAGGGGAGGAGGGTGGTGTACGACACATCAGGGGAGGAGGCAGGTGTACGGCACAGGTGTATATGTACGACACGATAGCCAGGAAAGTGAACCTTAAAGCCCCAGGGTGACGCAGTCCGCCGTGTATCCTCCACCACCACTTCGCACCTGCCCCACCCTCCTGCCCCACCCTCCTGCCCCACCCTCCTGCCCCACCCTCCTCCCCACCCTCCTGCCCCACCCTCCTGCCCCACCCTCCTGCCCCACCCTCCTCCCCACCCTCCTGCCCCACCCTCCTCCCCACCCTCCTGCCCCACCCTCCTCCCCACCCTCCTGCCCCACCCTCCTCCCCACCCTCCTGCCCCACCCTCCTCCCCACCCTCCTCCCCACCCTCCTGCCCCACCCTCGTGCCCCACCTGTCCCGGCTTGGGCGAGACCTTCATGAGCACCTGCCACACGGAGGCGGCGAAGCGCTGCAGGTGCGGCTTGAAGGTGTCCTCGTCGATCTCAAGAAGAAGGTCAACCGTCTGGGGGGGGGCCGGGGAGGGGAGGGGTTGGGGGTTGGGAGTTGGGTGGGAGGGAGGGGGGAGGCTGGCGGTGGTGGGTCAAGGGAAAGGAACGAACTTAAGACAGCGTGGCCGTTTGAGAAGGGCCTTAAAACAGCTGGCAGCGTGTTGTATGTTGCGGGTAATAGGCACCCTGCTAAACAGAATGCTGTGCCCCTTGCCTACACAGCTGCCTACCTGTGCTCAACCCATTACCCCACTCCCCACCCCCCCTCCAGTCCCGCCCCCCCCCTCCATGCAGCCCACCTGACACACCGCGGTCTTCACCCCGTCCAGCACGCCCTCCTTCTCCGCGTCCGCCTCCTCCAGCGCGGGGTTCTCGTACGTCAGCAGCGAGTGCATCTCGTCCATCCAGAAACCCAGCTCGCCCTCAGTGGCCTGGGGTGCAGGGGGAGGCAGGGGAGGTAGGGGGAGGGGGAGGCGGGGATGAGAGGGTAGAGGTGTGTGTGGGCCATGTGCATGCCCCCATCTGGTCTGGGGTTTCTGACACTAGGGCCGGCATGCCAGCATCCAACCCCACCGTCTCCAAGCTGCCAGCCTGCACCCTTCCCGCACTCTTAACCCTCCTACCCATCCACCCCACCTCTAACCTGTGGTCCCCCTATGGTTCGGTATGGTCTTTGGGCTGGCTCACATGTTGCAAACCATGATGACACCTTATCACACGGTCATTTAGTTACTGTTTCCTCTTTACCCCCCACTCACATCCGACAGCCCCATGGAGCACAGCGAGTAGAAGATGCGGAAGCTCAGCCGCATGCAGCCCAGCAGCTGCCGCAGCGGCTCCACACCCGCCCCCTGCCCCGCCGCGGACAGCCCGGGGAACAGGCCGCTCAGCCGCGCGTGCGTGTCGTGCAGCGGGCGCAGGAAGGCCTGCTGGCACATGTCCAGCTCCTGCGCCAGCGCGTTGTTGCTGGAGGGCTGCCCGCGGAAGCGCTTGAACACGTTGTTGGCGACCTGGGGGAGGGGGAAGGAGGAGGGGGAGGGAAGGGACGGGGGCAGTTGGGGAACGGTAGGTGGGGTTCGGAGGAGGAGCTTGGTTAGGCCAAGCAAACGTACTGCGGGTTGCTGACCCATGATGTCAGCGCAACCGGAAGGTGAAGGTGATGCATCATACCCTGCCATGCGCATCAAGAGCGGCCCTCCTACTACCGTGTGCGTTTACACTCCAACCCCCCTCTCCCCGCTCCTCACACGGTCCGTTAGTTGTTTCCTCTTTGCCCCTCTCACCTCCCCCCACCGCACCTGCAGCACGCCCCGCACCACGCCCAGGTCCTCCGTGCCCAGCTTGGCCACCAGCTCCGGCAGCAGCTGCGGCCAGTGCGCGGGGAAGTCGTAGGCGCAGATGATGGACAGCGCCTCGCTCAGCTGTGCGGCCACCAGCGGGGGGGAGGAGAGCGTCACGCCGACCAGCAGCTGCTTGATTTGGGCCTGTTGGGGGGGGAGGGGTCGGGTGGGCGGGGAGGGGAGGGGGGCGGGGGTCAGGTGGAGGGGGGTGGATGAGAAGCGACGCACTGCGAGGGAAAGGAGGGGGGTTGGGGAAGGAGCCAGCCATGTGGGTCAGAGGGGGGGGGAGGATGTTCGTCAAAACCCGGGTTGCTGGATGCGTTTCAGGCTCCAGGCTATGACGCCATGTACACCTCTCGCAATATGCGTCCCAGTAACGCTGCCCCAGGGTTGCGAGGTTACCTTCTCAGCGTCCGGCAGCGGCTGGGCGCCTCCGTACAGGTCCGCCTCGCTGGGCACCTGCGCAGCGGCATCAGTGGTGGGTGCCCAGGTGCTTGCGTGTTTCCGAGTGTCATGGCTGGTACGGCATTGTGCGCATGCCGTACACGCCATGAGGGAGAGGGGACCAAGAGCAAGGGTGAGCAAGGGGATCCGTAGCGGGACGGTGTGTCTGCCAGGTGACGGCATGCCCCCCAGGTAGACGGACGATGTCATAACCCTCATAACCGAGCACTGCTGCGCCAGGATTTCCCCAGGCACGTCAATAGCCACCAGAGCACATGCAGCGCTTTGTTACGAAAAACGGGTTGGAAAAGATCGCCAGGACGGATCGCGCGGTCTTAACCTCCTCACCCAACGGTACTTGACGGTATTTTTGAAGTTCACAGCTGCAGATTGCCGAATGCTGCCATCGACAGGAGTGGCCGCGAGCTGCATGCACCGTTAAACCGCGTTTAGTATGCTGTGCCGTTTTTGAGCGCGCGCAAAGTGGTGCATCGCCGCCAAGGCATCCCACCTTCAGAACCTTAATGCAATGCCCCGGTTGCTGGGCTGCAGCCTTTAGTTGCTGTTCGGCGGCTTTAATTGCATCCTGCAATTCGTAGCGACGCGATTGAATTGTGGGTAGAAGGCACATCAGAGCACAAGTCCAGGACTGTTGCAGTGCTGATCAGCCACCTTGTCAGGCGAAAGTGTTTGCTGAAAGATTACAGCGAGCTGCTGCAGCTCGGCCTCCATGGCTTCCCCGCCAAAGAGTTCCAAACCGAAGATGGCGCGGATCTCCCAGAACTCAGCGCGAAGTCCTTACGCCAAGGGGTTATATTAGCTTTAAAGGACTCTCACTGCTTAATAATTGTAAGCCGTAATAAACAGAAGTGGACTAGAAATGCGTAGAAGGCTTGCGCGGTTGGTGCGTGTCCGGAGGGTTACAAATGCACAGCCAGTGAACGTTGCTAGAAGAAAGATGCTTACAAATGTACTATACTACTTTATAATCGCCATGCTTGCTCTCTGCTTGCGGAGTCCTCCTTGGATCGTAAATGTCGTGCAATGCAACACATACAGTTTGGAAACTGAATCGACAAGCTTTTATACATGCATGCAGAAATGGCGACCACGCACGAAGAAGATACAAGCTCATACGTTAGCTCGTCAGAAGACGATGACGAGCAGCTTGTGAACCCATCGGGAGCTGCTGGCCGCGATGAGGACTGGGATGAGTGGCAGGAAGAAGCTTGCGACGCAGATGAGGATGCGACTAAAAGTCTTTTCGGTCCTGAACGGTTGCCGAACCCAGAGGCGGCGATGGAACACGACGCTGCCAAGTATGGCTTCGACTTGCGCCAGTTCGCCATACAGGTACCCAATATGCCGATATATAATATAAAGGGTATGGGCTACTCGCGTTGCGTTGCTGGTGAACCAGTTTGGCGGCCGCCAACGGCCTTAGGTAACTCATTAGGATGGCACGGTGACGCCGGCCGATGTGACCAGCGTTTTCCACCCAGATGGGTCTTGTCCCCGCCCCTTTACTGCTTAAACCCTACAGCCACGCCAGCAAAGCGCAGCTGTACCCACCACACCGCCAACCGTCCATTCCCCGGACCCCACAAACCCACGTCCCCAAACCTCTCACCCACTACCGTACCCCCTCCCCAACATAGGCTGTTTCGCCACTCTCATTCAACACATTTAACATTCTCCTTTCCCCACCATTACCTCACTACCACTCACCCAATCACGCAGGAGGGGCTCGACGAGTACGGCATCATCCGCGTCATCAACTTCATCCGTACGGAGGTTGCTGCCGGTCGCGACCCGCTACCGCTGCTAGCCGCGTCTCGCAGCAGCACCTCCACCTCCGCCTCACCCGCCTGGGCGGATGACCGCTACCTTCTGCCCGCCTTGCAAGACGACGCGCTGCTGTTCTACGACTACGAGGAGGTGGCAGCGGAGGCGGCGGAGGCGGCAGCAGCAGCTCGGGCTGCGGCAGGAGCAAGCGGTGCTGGCGATGCGGGGTGCGTGGGGGAGGGGGAGGGCTAGGAGGGGGACCGTGGAGGACAGGGTCTTCTAGGGGGGCGTTTGAGTGGAGTACAAACGCGTGTGCGTGTGTCGTTCCCCTAAACCAAACCACGATCCTTTACCGCGTGTCCCTTCATCTTCCTCGTTCTTCTTCCTCAGGGCTGGGCCGAGTGGTGCCAGCAGCAGCGCGCCCACAGCTCCCTCCACGGCAGCTGCGGTGGCTGCTGAGGCGGCTCGGTTGCGGGCTGAGAACGAGGCGCTGCGGACGGCTCTGGAGGCGATGCGGCAGGCGTTCATGCCGGAGGAGCTGCGGGAAGGTGGGGGGGGGGGTGAAAGACCGTACCGAACCATAGGATACGTTGGGGCAAGACAAAGGGGGTAGGGGGGCAGGAGAGGGAGACGTCACGGTGGGAAGAGGCACGGCAAGGAGGTTGGGAGGGACTGGTGGCTGGTGTGACCAAGGGGTTAGCTGGGAGAAGGATAGCGTGGGGTGTGCTTGTGCAAGTGTGCATGCTTGATGACGTGGTTTGGGTCGGCTGGGAATGCGAGGAAGAGGAGGAGGAGGAGGAGGAGCGTACATGGCGCAGGGTTGGCCGCAGGGGAAAGCAGTGGGATGAAGGGCTTAGCGGAGACCCTAAGGAGCAGCCCTAGGAGTGGTGCGTGAGCAATGCCGTCCTTACACGCCCTTGCCCCTGCAGTGCTTGCCGGGGAGGCGCCATCCTCATCCGCGCCCGCAGCAGCAGCTGCCGCTGCCCCTCAAGAGCCCAGCACCTCCACAGCGGCTGCACCCGCACCCGCAGCAGCTGCCCCCTCCGCTGCTCCTGCTACGGCAGAGGAGAGGGAGGAGGTGGCCGCAGCCGCCGCAGTGGCAGCCGACAAGGCCCGAAAGGTGGATGCGGCGTATTTCGACAGCTACAGCTACTTTGACATTCACCGGGAGATGCTGGGTGACAAGGTACGGCAGGGCAGCGGGTACGGCAGGGGATCCTGGATCTTGTTTGGGGGGTGCAATGCGCCGTCATGTCGTCATGAAGGGCATCCTCGCATGGAACGGCAATGCTCATAGCAACACGCATCCGTGTCACCTTTGTTTCGTCCACTCCCTTTTCCTTCCCTCCCTCCCTAACCCTGCCTTGTTTGTGGCACTCCTTGCTTGTGCCCCCCCCCCCCGCCCCCCCCCCCCCAGCCCCGCACCGAGGCCTACCGCGCCGCCCTGGAGTGCAACCCGGGGCTGCTGCGGGGGGCTGCCGTGCTGGATGTGGGGTGCGGCACCGGCATCCTGTCGCTGTTCGCGTGCCGGGCGGGCGCGAGCAGGGTGGTGGCGGTGGACGGCAGCGAGCGCATTGCGGGGTTTGCGAGGTGGGTGGGTGGGGGTGGGGGTGGGGGGGAAGGGGCTGGCAGAAGAGGGAAGAAGTGCCTCATTGGCTTCCCAAGAGGAGGAGGTGGGCGGGGGGGTGCAAGGTGAGGGGTTGTAGAGGGCCGGCGTGCGGCAGCGGAGAGTGGAAGACGGTAACTGACGCAAAAGATGATAACTGGTGTACAAACGAAATGACAACCCCACGACCACCACTTCCCCCCCCCTCCCACCCCCTCTCCTCCCCCAGGCGCCATGCGGAGTTGGCCGGCTACAGCAGCAGCAGCGGCGGCCCCATGACGGTAGTGGCGGGCAAGGTGGAGCAGCTGGACGGGCAGCTGCCGGTGGACAAGGTGGGGGCGGGGGGGCGGGGTGGGGGAGTCTTCGCACTCCTCGCAGCCTTAAACTGCCCGCACGCCTCACGCCTCACGCTTCGCCCGCGCCCCTCTTGACCCCACAACCCCCGCCCCCACATCACGCTCGCCACCCCCCGTCCCCCCGTCCCCACTGCCCCCCCCTCCCGGCAGGTCGATGTGATTGTGAGCGAGTGGATGGGCTACGCGCTGCTGTTCGAGACCATGCTAGACACGGTACTGCACGCGCGTGATCGCTACCTGAAGCCGGGGGGCGCGCTTCTGCCTGACCGGGCGGCCATCTACATCGCGGGTAGGAGGAGGGGGTGGTGGTGAGGGTGGGTAAAACAATAAGGGAAGTGACGAAGTGTAAGACGAGGCTTCACAGGGGGATTGGGGGGCGGTGCGGTGGGAAGGGCGAAAAAGACCGGGGTACAGCATGTCGTTGGGCGGGCGGTTGGGCTACCTACCAACCCACCCACCCACTGCCTTCACCCTTCACCTCACCTCGCCTCGCCTCGCGCTCACCTCCCAGGTGCCAGCAGTGCCGCGGGGGGACTGGGCTTCTGGAACGACGTGTACGGTTTCGACATGCGGCCGGTGGCAGCTGCCATTGCGGAGGCGGGTCAGGGGCAGGCGGTGGTGCTGGAGGTGAAGAAGGAACACCTGGTCACATCCACCGCGTGTGTAAAGGTGAGACGCGTTGGGGGGCGCGGGGCCTAGCTCTAAGCGTGGGTGTGTTTACAAAGCTGCGTATGCGTGGGTGTTTTACAAGCTTACAACAGCGGAAGGATGGCGGGGGTGTGGTTTGAAGTGGTAGCGTTGTGAGACGCGTGACATTGCCGTTGATGCTTACTGTGTATGTGTACCGGTGTATGTGTACCGGTATCGGTATCAACGGATGGCCGCAAACATACTGGCGTGTCCTGACCTGCCCGCCCGCTCTACCCGCCCCGCCCCGCCCCGCCCCGCCCCCCCAGGAGCTGGACCTGTGCACCATGCGCTCCGAGGACCAGGACTTCACCGCCGACTTCAGGCTGGAGGCCCTCCCGGCGACAACCTCCCAGCAACAACCACAAGAACAGCAGCAGCAACAGCAACAACAGGGCAGCTCCGGCACCTCGCCGCCGCCGCAGCAGGTGCCTCAGGAGGTGGGCTGCATCGCGCTGTGGTTCGACACCGCCTTCTCCTCCCGCCACTGCGCCGAGCACCCCGTCCTACTCTCCACCTCGCCCTTCGCGCCGCCAACCCACTGGGCGCAGACGCTGCTCACGCTGCGGCGCCCAGTGCCCCTGGCAGCCCCCTCCGCCCCCTCCGCCCCCTCCGCCTCCGCCTCCTCCGCATCCTCCGCGTCGCAGCAGCAGGACCCTGCACAAGCCGCCGCCCCCCCAACCGCCAGCGTGATCACGGGTCGGCTGAGCATGGTTCGCAGCCGCGCGCACCACCGCAGTCTAGACATCGCGCTGCAGTACCGCGCGGAGCTGAGTGACGGGGGCGTGATTGAGGAGGCGCAGCTGTACCACATGAGCGTCACGGCGCCGGCGTGAGGGGAGGGGGAGGGAGGGAGGAGCAGGGTGCTGGTGGTGGTAGGGGGGATGCGGGGGTTGGAAAGCAGGGTGCCTAATGTGTTGAATGAGGATACGGGGTGTACAGGGGTGGCGGGCGGGGGCAGTGGGGGATGCAGGGTGGGGAAGGCGGAAACAACTAACTAGCCATGTGACAAGGCTGCATCCTGGTTTGCAGCATCATGGTAGCCAGCCAGGCCCGCGCAGCCGGAGTAGCCAAGTCAGGGGAGCGGGAGGGGAAAAAATTATATAAAAGTGAAACAACGAATCCCAATCCCATATCCCGACTCATGCAGTGAGCGGGAGGGGAGGGGCGGAGCGGGGGAGGGGGTGTTTTTGGCAGGAAGCGTAGGCCGCATGGGCGCTTTGGCTGTGATTCAGTCGCTGCGTGACGTAGTGGAATAAGTAGTGTGGCAGGGTCTTATGAAGTTATGGTGGTGTGTGGGTTTGTGGGATATCAGGAGGGACTGAGAGGTACCGCGCGTGCGTAGCGGAAGCGGGCTGGTAGTGGCGGCCGTTGCGGGCGCTGCGGTGGGCGTACAGGGTTATGATAAGTACTGTAACTAGGGTCAACCAGATATTGGGGACGAACCTTCCTTATTCTCAGATGCTGAGCACTTGTCCTATACGCCGTACGGACCCCATGGGTTTCAGAAGATTTCTCTTGTCTTCGGAGCAATCCGTCTGACTTGCCTCAATCTCCACGGCCACAGCCCGCGACTAGCAGTCACTGATTATGAGTGCATTTGCATATGGATATCAAATCATGTGCAGGCAGTCAGAGCAGACAATCAGTGCTGTGATTGCTGTCAACATGTCGAACGTCATGGGTGAGCTACTCGGCGGGGTGGCTAACTGGCCTAACTGACCGGTAACTTTTTACTACTGAATATGCTCTGGTGGAAATTTGCAAGCGAGCTACCTCTATCAGCGTACCACGTTCATAGCGCTGCAAGAGCTGTCAGGAAAAGGAATTGACCTTGGCCGGTTCCGAAAGAACTGGAACGATAGTTGCCACGGGGCGTCAACTTCAGTAGCAGGTTTAGCAAAACGCGCAAATCATCAAGCAAAACGCTCAAACTTGGCTGCTAGTTACGGTAATTGGGCTTTGCGCTGCGCTGATGGTAAAAAAATTTGCCGAGCTGACGAATTGGTCTACACGTTGCAGCTTGGAAGCGATACACCGTAGCAATGCTAAAACCATGCCAAGGAATATTATACCATGAATAAGCTGTGCACGTCGAAACTAGAGCTCCCGACTCGACGTACGGCCCGCTAGCCAGTGCCACGTCCCTGAGCCACATCTCTCCCTCTCCCAGCACCACCCATCCATCTTGGGGCCGCCACCACAAGCTGCCCCCGCCTGTGGACTGCACTACACAGCGCCTAAACACCCTCAGCAGCGGCTGCGACACCAATGACAGCTTCTGCACCCTCTCCCGAGCCCGCCTCTCCACCTCTCAACAGCCCAGGGGGTGCCCACCTCGCCAGCAAATCAAACGCACCGTTGCTGCGGGTGCAGCTGCCCGGCGGATATCGCCTGCAGCGGCTGCTGGCCAGGACGCATTTCTCCTCCGTCTGGCTGGCCGCACCATCGCCGCCATCACCACCGGCATCGGCGGAGGAGGCACAAGCAGGCGTACGATGGGACGAAGGCGGGGAGGCATGTGTGGTCATCAAGGTGCGGTACGCAAACCAGGGGGGCAACCAGGGTGTGGAATCAGCTCCGGCGACAGCAGCCTGGAGCCTGCAGCCACAACCGGGAAGCCGGGGCATACTCAGCCGTTCCGTTCCCTGTGTATGCATCAGGAAAGCGGTGTGTGGTTGCACAACAGCTACAGGCCTACAGCAAACGTGCATATCAGTGCCGATCGTGTACTTTTCGGTGTGTGCTAAGAAAATTGGCCGCGTTTCGGAACGTACTGTGATTGCCGGAAGATGACGTCGATGTGTGTGTGGTGTCGCTGCCTTCCTGCCTCAGGCGCTGGATGCCTGCCGATCCAGCCACGCAGCAGCAGCAGCCAATGAGGCCGCCGCACTCCGCCGCGTCGCGGCAGTCCTTACCAGGAACCCAAGCATACCCACAATTACGCCCGAAGCAGCAGGAGCAGCTGCAGCTGCAGTGCCAGCCGAAACAGCTGTCGGCAAGGCGACCGGCAGGGGCACCCCTGCTGCTGCTGCGGCTGCATGGGGCGGCGGGCGCTGGTGTGTCCGAAGCGAGCTGCTTGCGGAGGAGGAGGAGCAGCAACAGCTTCCTGGCTGCCCGCAGCAGGGACACCGCCGCCGCAAACATGCCCACCAAGCTGGCAGGCAGTGCAGTGGGCTGTCGACCCGGCTCTGGGCGGCTACTCCAAGCTTGCCCAAGCGGAATCCACTGTCGGGAGAAGGAGCTTCCGCTGCTGCTGCTGCTGCTTCCGCTGCTGCTGTTAACGCGCAGGTGTGCAGTAGCGCCCCGGGTGCTGACGGCGATGAGGACAGCCGCACCCGCACGGGCACTGGTATGTCTTCTAGTGGCGCTGCGCTGCTGCACGCGGCTGCCGCTCAGAAAGCGCTGGCCCTGCCGCCACCACCGTTCGTGCGGCTGCTTGACACGTTCACGGTGCGGACACATGCAGAGGACGGGGAAGGGGGCGAGGATGAGGGCGGGAATGGCGACAATGAGGAGGAGCAAACCGGCTCCAGCTTTCGCCGGCGGCACCGTGACAATGGTGTTCACGCCTGGCGATGTCTGGTGCTGGAGCGGTTGGGGCCCTCGGCGCTAGACGTGCTGGCGCGCTGGCAGCAGCGCATGCAGCGGCGGCTGGGTGGTTTGCCGGGCGGAAGGGAGCGGCGGGAGAGGCAGGCTGGCAGGGTCGGCAGGGGTGCTCCTGCGGGTGGCGCCGCTGCGGGGGCTGCTGCTACGGGTGGTGGTGGTGCTGCCCCTGTGGGGCTGCCCCCTGCCGCGGTGCGGGGCCTGGCAGCTCAGGCACTGGTCGCACTGGACCTGATGCACAGGTGGGGGGGTGGGGGGGACGTTGGTGCTGTACCAAGCGTAGCATACGCCACAGACACTACCTCCCCAAGCGAACCAACCAACCGACTTCACCCACTTCCCCCAGATCTGCCAGGTTGGTCCATGGCGACATCAAACCCGACAACTTCGCACTTCGCCTCCCTCCACCACCGCCTGCACCCCCCGCGACAACCCCCTCGGCAGCCCCCGCAGCGGCAGCCCCCTTGCAAGCGGAGCCCTGGCTGCCTGACGCCGTAGCAGGGGCAGCAGCAGCGGCAGCAGCGGCAACAGCAGCGGCAGCAGCGGCAACAGCAGCGGCAACAACCGGAGCAGCAAGGGCAGGAGCAGGAGCAGCAGGGGCAACAGGAGCAGCAGCAACATCAGGGAATCCGGTGGGAGTGCTGAAGTGCACCAGCCGCCCGCAAGACCGATGGCGCTGGGCGCTCTTGGACTTTGGCAGCGCATGCAGCCTGGAGGACGGACCCGTGGGTCACCAACAACAGCCCTTGCGAGGTGCGTCGCATGGGAAGATGCAATGCGTACACTTCTAATCATGATGAGTGTAGGTGCTTGGGCCCTATGCTCATTCATTCGCCTCCCCTCCTTCCTTTTCCAAACTCATCCCACGCTAATCCGTGTTTCCTGCTCCGCATGTGGTTTGGTATTGTACCGCTCTGCAACGTGTACCGCCCTTCCCTTCCCACAGACCGGGTACGCTCCTGTGCACCTCCGCCCTCTTCCCGCGGCAACAGCACAGCCTCGCCCTCCTCCTCATCAACACCATCAACGTCATCAGCACCATCAAGCTCCCCAACTCCCGCCCCCTGGTACGACACCCCCTCCTACGCCGCTCCGGAACTGACGCTTGGTCTTCCGCCCTCGCCCGCCTCCGACATGTGGTCCCTGGGATGCACCCTGTACGAACTAGCCACCGGATCCAAGCTCCTGCCCATCCCGCCACAACTCCTAACACAGCACGGCACACAACAAGACAGCGGGGATAGCGAGGACGATGACGATGCTCACGGCGGTTTGGGTGCGGCGGAGTTTCATTTGGCGCTGGTAACTCAGCTCCTGGGCCGGCCGCCCAGGCAGCTCATAGCGCGTGCGCCGAGGGCGAGTTGGTTTTTCGATGCACGGAAACGGCGGTTATGGATTGAGGAGGAGTACGACATGCCGCCTCCTCGCAGCCTCGCTTTGCGGATTCGGGAGTGTGCAGGTGCAGGGGCTTCTGCTCCTGCTACAATGGCTATTGGGACAGCAGCAGCAGCAGCAGCAGCTGCTACGGCGGTGGCGGTACTAGATGAGGAAGGGGAGGATGTTGGGTTGATGGTGCCATGCAGCGGTGGAGGTGGGGAGTGGGACGAGGCGGAATGGCGGGGGTTGCACGGCTTCTTGGTTCCCTTGCTTCGATGGGACCCGCAGGAACGACCCACCGCGGGGAAGGCGGCGAGGCATCCCTGGCTGGCGGGGGAGTCGCAGCGACGGCGGCGGGGAGAGGTGGAGGAGGGGGCAGGAGCAACTGGAGAGAAAGGAACAGCCGCAGGAGGAGGGGTGCGGTGAGAAGTAAGCGAGGCAAGCTGTTTGGGCTGTTGGCGACGCGTCCGCAGCTGCTCTCATGTTCGCAGTGTTGGGGTGGACGCGCGGTGGAGGAGGGATGAGAGGCCGGGAGGAGAGGGGTGAGTGTCGTGACCCCTAGTGAGGTGATGCAGGACGCGTGGTGGCGGTGGCGGTGGTGTGCGTTGGCGGCATACGGTGCGGGTGGCAGCGGTAGCGGCAGAGCGGAGGGATTGCGGGTCTGCTCGTTCCTTCCCTTTCGAGGGAGTCGCGTTACAGGCTCACAGCTTTGAACAGCACCGCAATCAAAACGCCGGACCTCCTGACACGCCGGCAGCTTGCTGTAGGCCGGTAAGCTCCAACAGGTTACCCCGCCGTCAGCACCCAACCACCTCAGCTTGGCTACCCGTCTTCCGACACTCCACACACTTATTATTTGGCTCTTTTATAATTCAAATCCCTGCACGCCCTCGCTGCTATGTCAGCATCATCATCAGCATCATCCCAATCATCACCACCACGCCCCATCCCCTCCTGCACCTGCACAAACAGCCCCCTCCCCGCATCGCTGCGGCTCAAACGCAGCGGATCGGCGGTCATGCGGACTCCTCGCTCCGCCAAGGGAGCCACCCGTGTTGTAACTCGTACCGCGGCCAGTTCCCGGCCACATCCACATCGACAGCAGCAACCGACCAATTGCCATGTTACCCGGACCAACCACCAAGCCAACCAACAAACTCTGCTGGCTGCAAACCCTGTTCCTAAGCCTACAAACAACACGCTACAACGGAGGGAGGGACTCCCAAGCGGACTCCCAAACACCTCACACCCCTGTAGCCATGTCGGGCCGCCCCTCCTGCCACCAGACACAGGCATCCTGCGCTTCACACCTCATGCCTGCCTGCCACCCAAGAAAACACACACATCCACCCGACCCGGCTCAGTTTATCTAATCCACCCGACCGCGACGGAAAGTCCGCCGATTGCCCCAGGGTCCCGCTGTCACAAATACCAGCAACACAACCTTCCCTACTAGCCACGCAGGCCAGCCAGATCACATGTAACCCCACACATTCCTCCTCCGCCGCCGCCCTCCTTCCCAAGAAGGCCTCGCTTCTGCTTCCTGCATTACATTCCGCTACTACTATTGCTACAACACAAGGATAAGCCACATACTAAGAAAACGGGCCCCTTGTGTTCGCTAGTCCTGACTTGTCAGTCCTAAGGACTAAGGGCGTCTTCGTTCCTCTGCACCCGTTGCACCTCTTCTCACCCCTTGTACACTCATGTTCGCTTGTCGCACGTAGCACCGCACAACGTTGCGTGATATCCAACGTTCCCAGCGGCAACACCCCCACTCCCACCACAACCAGCACCGCCAGATCCCGCCCAACCCACTCTGCATCCCTCCCTCCTCCCTCCTCCCCTCCCCGCTCACGGGATATGGGAACCGGACTCCGCTGCCTCACGTTTCATTCGCCTCAGTCAGTCCCCTCCCGCCCCCCTCACGCCGCATACCCCAGACCCATGCACACGTACTTGAGGTTCATGAACTCCGCCAGGCCGTACTTGGACTGCTCGCGACCCAGCCCCGAGGCCTTCACCCCGCCGAAGGGCGCCACCTCGGAGGTGATTCCCACCTCATTCAGGCCCACCTGTGTGGGGGGAGGGGAGAGGGGTGGTAAGGCGCATGTATGGGCGCACATGTGGCGAACTGACAGCAGCAGCAGCAGCAGCAGCAGCAGCAGCAGCTCCTCCCTCTCCAACTCCCCACCTCCCTTCTCCATCCTCACTCCCTTCCTCCCCTGTTCCTCCCCTCCATGCCACAGTTGACCCCCCCTGCCTGCCCTGCTGCCCCCCCCCCCCCCACCATGCCGAACTCCAGCTCCTCCGCCACCCTCCACGCCCGCGCCAGGTCGCGTGTGTAGCAGTAGGCCGCCAGCCCGTACTCGGTGGTGTTGGCCAGCAGCACCGCCTCCTCGTCGCTGCGGAAGCGGAACAGCGGGATGAGCGGGCCGAACGTCTCCTCCTTGAAACACCGCCTGGGGGAGGGGGGAGCGGGAGGGAGGGAGGGAGGGGGAAAGGTAGGCAGGGAGGTTGAGGGGGGGTAGCAACCAAGGAGACTGCCGATGTCCTTAACACCCACACTCCCACCCCGGGCCCACCCATCTGGACAAGCGACCCATCTGGAGTCCGCAGCTCCGAGCACCCTTCTCCCCCCCCTCCTCCCCTACCCTCCCCCCCCCCCCCCTCCCCCCCTCCCCCCCTCCTCCCCTACCCTCCCCCCCCCTCCCCCCCTCCCCCCCTCCTCCCCTACCCTCCCCCCTCCTCCCCCCCTCCTCCCCCCCCACCCACATGTCTATGCTGGCCTCCGCAATGACGGTGGGTGCGAAGAAGTTCCCCCCCTGCAGCCCCTCCGGCAGCTGCTCCGGCCGCCCGCCCCCCACCAGCACCTTGCCGCCCTTGGACACCGCGTCCGACACGTGGCCGGTAACCTGGGGCGGGGGGGGGGGGAAAGAGGGGGGGGTTAAGAGAGCAAAGACACAAGGTGAAACCCGCTCCGCTAGTCGTTTTTGTGCCCCGGATGTTACCACAGGATGTTCCGCCTCTCCTGCTTTCCCGCCCTCCTCCCCCTCCCCGCAGTAAGTAACCCCTTCCCCCGCCCTCCCTCCCTCCTCCTCCCTTCCCCCACCTTCTCCAGCGCTGCGGGGCTGATGAGCGGCCCCACCGCCACCCCCTCCTCACTGCCGTCGCCCACTCGCAGCTTGCGGGTGAGGGCAGCAACCGAGTCTGGGGGGAAGAGGGGGGGAGCAGGGGGGGGGGGGGAGAGGGGGGAGGAGGGGGAAGAGGGGGAAAAGCGCAGCAGGGTAAGGGTGGAATGGAGAGTGAGGGGTGTGGGGCT